TAAAACAGTGTCAAAGCTGAAAGCAATGAGTTCAGACTGTTTCTTCAGATTTGTTCAGCTTTGTGAAGTAAACAACTGAGAACAGAAGGTTTTTAATGAATAATGATTGTTAAAAGAATACATATGCTTTTTCGCTTTTATTCCACTACCACTGACATCTCTGTTAGCTAAATATGAAGCTACAGTCAAGAAAAGGTTAGCTTAGCTTAGCACAAAGACCAGAAAGAGCTGCAAACCGTTTGCCAGCCTTATGTACCGGATTATTTATTGGCCAGAGGGCAGAGAAAGTGGTTTCCCTGATTCCAGTCTAAATGCTAGCTACCAGCTTACACCTCCCGGAAAACCATGTGTTATCACACTTTTTTGTAAGACTTAAATTACATTAATTTGTTAATTAGTGGAATTTATAGATTTTGTTACTTTCAGGAAGAGCTTGGCTAGCTGTTTCCCTCTTATCCCAGTCTTTATGCTAAACTAAGCTAAGCTAACCAGCTTAAGTCCACCAAAGGAACTATACCCCAGAACTAGGACTCACTGAGTTTCCGATGAAGGGACCAAGGTCTAAATTTAGTTCTAGGGTAAGGTGACCAGATTTCTGAAACGAAAACCACAGACATTTTTGGTTTGGTGGTCAGTATGTCATTAAAAAATATGTTATTATGAAATAGAAAAGGGGGACAATTTCGGTTTTATAATCTGTCAAATATAATTCTTCTGAATGAATGATGCATTTTGAGGCAGAAACTTCCTTTCAGTCAATAAGTAGAGGCTGCAATTACTTTCTGGCAAGTAGAATACTGCACTTTACGTGTGTGTTTGCCCATTTAAAAGGTATTTCAACAGGTAAAAAGGACTGGATTGGTTGGTACACAGCATGTTAAATAAGTCATAAGGATAATTGCAAAAGAGATCTTGTCTTTAGTTTATATATAACTGAGCAGTAAGTCATGTTAATTATAGGCTACATTCGTTTTCCAAATATGAACAAGGATATTAGACATAGGCCTGCCAAACACATAATCTATCAGCAACTACAGGCTTCAATTATTGCCTATAATCACGTAAATGTCATGCTTGGTTACGATAAACTGCAAACACTTCACTTCACTTTTGTGAACACAATTGTGATTATTCTATTAAAAGAAACGTTAAAAGTAGGCCTATCTCAAAGACATATCTTAGCTATTACCACGGACAAGTGATGTTTATTAGCATGTTATGTCTGTTTGATTCAGATAAAAGCAGCTGCAGACTTAAAGAGACTGGGCGGTACAGCTTTAACATGCTGCACGTGGACAGCAATCAGTTTTCAGCGATCACTTTTTCGGCACTACACCTGTACGCTCTGCTGTCCAGTCTTTCCAGCCACGTAAAATCTGATTTCAGGTCTGTTACCTTATACAGTCTATGAATAACACACAGTTAAAAACGGGGACATTTCCGGGGACAGCTCCAGATGGGGACAGGCCACCAAAACTGGGGACTGGCCCCGGAAAATGGGGACATCTGGTCACCCTATTCTAGGGTATAGTTTTTCATTATATTCCAATCAAATCTGACATTCATTTATAAATTAATATAAAAAACAAACGAGAGTGGTCTCAATCTTCTTATTGAACTCTCCCCTAAAAAAGAACAGAAGCTTATTTTCCAGTCGCTTCCTTTAAACAGGAAACATTAACTTGTATACTGTTGTCTTGTGAAAGTAAATGTATATAATCTGGACAGAGTTCAGATACACTGCGTGTAAGAAAAGATGTAGGCTGGGGGAAAAGTGAAACAATATGAACAGAGTGCCCTGTTCTCATAAAATTTCATTTTAACAATCTTGATGATGTGAAATGTAACAATTATAGAGTACAACAGACTGTCTGCTGGTTGGCATATGTCTGTATAAAAGTGAGGTCTGGGAGTGCAGTACAGTGTGTGTGTGTGTGTGTGTGTGTGTGTGTGTGTGTGTGTGTGTGTGTGTGTACGTTTGCAAGTTGTGCTGTATCTACTGTGTGTAGTGGTAACAAATAATGGCAGGATGGACGTTTGGCTGTAGAGGGGAAGAGGGAGAAATAAAACACTAAGCTGAATCACAGATCTGTTACAATCTGGATACTCAGCACATTCCAGTTGTATCTCTCTCCCTCCCTTCTTCCCTCACCCGCATGCACGCACGAACACACACACATTTCTAAATGAGGGGGGTTCAAACTTGATGATAGTTGACCTCCCAGACACGCACATCACAGCAGATCATTGTTATCTACATGAGAACAAACAAAAGGCAACAAGGGAGTAAAAAAATGAAGATACAAAAATTAAAAGATCAGATATGGAGATGCATTTGTATAGCCTCTTGTTATTGTAAACCTGGTTATGAAAACTTAATGTAAAAGCAGGCAAAGCACAAACATGTTGCGATTAAAATGTCAGAAAGGATGGTTTCGGCTTCTCAAATGTTAAGATTCGGTGCTTTTCCTTGTCGTAAATTATAGTAAACTGAATATCTCTGAATATCTAGCAAGTAATAAGAATACATAATCAAAACACAGAGTGATCCATACATTATATTGCTATACGTATTCATATTCAGGTGTATTTCTTTTCAAAACCACATTCTTTAAGATCATTAATACTGATTTTCATATGCTAACTTTGTCTATAAAAAAGTACATTATAAGCTCACTCGCCACCGCGGCAGCAGATTTGATCTCTCAGCCACCTCTAAGTGACTCATACAAATTGATTCAGAGCATAACATCTAAAAACTAGTGCTTTCACTTTTTAAATAGTGATAGAGTAACTTTCACCTCTGACTGGCACTTTCACACCCCTGACGCACCATGATTGCGAGATGAAAAAACATGAACTCTACAGCTTCGTCTGCCTAAGAAGTGGAATCTTTAGTTGACAAGACAATAATCATGTAATCGTGTATATGTAATAAAAAAGCTGTGCTCTTAAATGTTGAACAACCACTCAATTTTAAAAGTTCTTTCTGCGTGGTTGCATTTATCCAGACAGGGGAAAGACTGTCTCTTTGACTCTCCTGGCCAACTAGGGAAAAACGTGGCAAATGTTTTTATTAAATCAGCTTAATAATATGTCCATGAAATCCTCATCGGTCCTCACCCTTGTGCCAGTCATTCCCCAGCAAGTTTTTTTACCAATACTTTCTTTCATCGAGTTCTTCCCTAAAAGCCAGTGGTTGAGGAATTATTTAGCCTTCTTTACCCTAGACTTAAGTAAACGTACTAATGCCAAACTGTAAGAATACTCAGTAATCAGGAAAATGTACTTAATCACTTGGCCCCTGTGACTGTTATACTATATTCTTTTATCACACATATATATATATATATATATATATATATATATATATATAGTAACTCTTATTACTCATACATTAAATGTAAAAAGCAGCTGCTGGTTGAAGTGGAGCTCATTTTGAACTTCTCTACTTAGGACTGCAAGTAATGATTATTTTCATTATGGATTAATCTGCTGATTACTCTCCCAATTAATCAGTTGTTTGGTTTGTAAAAATTACTGAGAAATACTCATCACAATAAACCAGAGCCCAAAGTGACACCTACATGATGCATGCACACACACACACACACACCAACGTGGCACTATCTTTGTGGAGACCCGTCATTGACATAATGCATTACACCTTGCCCCTTAACCATCAACAACTACATGAGTAACCTAAACCCTAACCCAATCTAACCTGAAGCCTAAAACCAAGTCTTGACCCTCAAAAAGCCATTTAAACTTGTGTAGTCTAGCATTTTGGTCCCCAAAGCCGTCTGATCCCACAAGTATAGTGGAACCCAGTTTTTTGGACCCCACTAATGAAGTAAGTCCACGAGCCCACACACACGTTTCTTGTTGCCTTAGGGATTTCACTGCAGGCAAGTTCTAGTTTAACCCCATATAGCACCCTTAAAACATCTACAGAAAATGAACTCAGTGAAAAAGGAGCATCCCTGACACCCTCCCCTTTTTTTATCATCTCAAATACAGTCTGTCAGCCTGGTGGTGACAGAAATGTGAGCAGATGTGCACAAGCAGGTGGAAAATGTCAATTCTGTTAATGTGTTCTTGAGTCCAGAGAAAGGCACATTTTCTTCCCTATACAGCATTCACACATACACACCAGAGTCCACACGTGGTCTCCAATTTCCAGAATCAGGATTTTAACTGTCACAGAAAGAGAGATTCAGTGGCAATGATCTTTGCTCTTCCTCCTAATGCTAAGATTAAAAATAAAAACGGCCATGGGGTAAAGGAAGTAAGATACACAAAAAGCATGAATTATTCATGAAAGAAACAAAGAGACAGCCAGAGATGTGCGCACACGTAGTGAAAATGAACTTCTGTGGTGACTTTCACACAACAAACACACAGCCTGTGGGCTGTCAAAACATGACGAATTCAAATTGGCTTCAGCAACTCAGCACTTACACACCAGATAGCGAGATAAGATAGGAAGTGCACTATCTGAACCCAAATGATTTCAGGGAAGATCAACTAAAGTCCCAGCAGCATTGGGAAATACTCTGTTTTGGCTTGTTTGAACAAGATATAGAGTCCAGTGATGACTTGTAATGTTTAATTGTACTACTGACTGTACAATCACTGCCTATGAGTCTTCTATGCATCTGTGTTTGAATCAGAATATTTGGCAAGTTGCGTTATGTTAATGAAGATTTTTAAACAGGTGTCAGTGACTTCTTCTAAACTTATTCAAGACCCACTAAATTAAGTAACATGTGGATTGACTGTTATAAATCTAATAAAGCTTGTGTGTGTACGCTTGTGTGTGTGTGTGTTGGGCAATCCAATGCCTCACCGTCAATAAAAGTTGTTTTTCCCACTTATCACTGGAGTTCTCTATCTGATTCAGAATTACAAGTTAAGGCACAACAGATGCGTTCGAAAGAAAGTCATAATATTTTCAGCCATATTGTCAGGAGGAGAGGAGAACAAGGGTAATCACTCACCGAAAAAGACACAAAGAACATCCACCCCGATCAGAATCAGCTTCTTTCTTTGCTCTGTCATGTTTACTCCGATGCCGCTTCACTTTCATAAATAAATCGTGTTTTTTTAAAGAAAGCAGAGGGCAGAGTTGCAGTCTAAGAAACACCTGGAGTTACTATTGGAAAAGTGCTATCAGGACAAGTAGACCTGCTTGTTCTTCCGGCTCCGCGCCTCTGTGTAGGATTACCTGCCCGCCCTCCAGTCAGTCTGTCTGTACACTGCTCTTTCAGGTGAGCAGGAGGAGTCCTGTCTTTTTATGCATGAGGGACACGTCTGTCTGCACAAACAGCGATCTGAAAGGATTTGTTTTCCCGAAATCCTCTCGGAGGAAAAATCCCTGCTTTCTCTCTATTTTCCCTTTCTCTGCCTTGCCCTCTGGATTTCCAAGCAGTGAAATGAACCACGTGGGTAAATTTTCTGGTAAAGGCATGGCACATCCGTCTCAAAAACTTAATATAGTAGGCCTGTGACAGTATTTTAACAGAGGTCTCAGACTAGTAGGGAAAACTGACATTGACAGACGACAGTCTGTAAGGCTGCTAACACAACTGATTTGGGATTAAAGTATTTACCAAACTTTTCAGATATCACTTTGTTTGTGTCCACATTATGGAAGCCTTTTCTGACCAAAAAAAGAAAACAGATCAGGGTATGGATAATAACTGTGCTGTTATGGCTGTAACGTGGTGTGTTTTTCTGCCTCATATTTGAACTTAAAAAACAAATTTTGACCAATTCATGATTCTGACTTAATATTTCACAGTTTTGACTTTTAAAGTCAAGACATAAAAAGTCACGAGTTTGACTTAAATGCATGTAATAAGTTTGAAAAAGCCCAAAGTCCACCCCAAAGGTACTATCTCTCACAGAAAACACTGCTCCTGAATTGCCCAGCTGGATTGTATTGCAGCTTTACTTCTGTAACACCTGTGACATACCCAGACAGAAAAAAACATACCTCAAAACCCCTTGTGGAAGTTGTGCAATGTTTCAAGTAAACATGTCGTTCAATCCAAAAAATGTTGCAAACAGTTACAAACCATTTTGAGATTGAACTTGCCCCTGGTTTCTGGTTTGTCAGAACCCACTCTACTCTGCTTTTGATTGGCTAGTAGTTCTTAACTAAGAACTGCACATGTGCAACTCTTGGGGCCTTTCCGAAACTGCTTGCTACTCCTTCTACCTACCTGCTTCCACTCCGTTTGTGCGTTCAATGCGGAGGGTCCACCACCTTGAGTGCCATCCGAAACCAGTGAGGGCATAGTAGTAGTGGGTTGTTAAACTCTCCAATGCCTATTGAGCACCAATGCCGGCTTGTTGAAGGTGTGTAACACACTTTGCTGCACGATGGGGGACCTTTCTTTCAATGTGAGTTCCGGTTATCATGTAGGATTTTTAAATTCAGAAACTACACTAACATTTCATATCACCATTCACAGGTTAACAACATTGTGTTCAATAAACAATGCTCTTGTATGATAGACAATACAACTGTTGTTTTTATTGAATCTTATTTCATCATTTTATATTTTATATTTATGGGGGGGGAGTGTTACGGAGGAGTATGTATTGTTGTGGTGTTTTGTCTCTTTCTCCCATTGCTAGGTTTCGGTGTGTGGTAATTGCAGACAGAACCCACCTGTGCTCATTCAGCTGCAGAATAAAGGAGGTGGTCATTCCTTCGTTGTGCCGGCTAGCGGCAGACTGTGCTCAGAGGGGAGCATGTGAAGCCGTTTGTTTTTTGCAGAGTAATGACTCCTGTGATTTTTGTTTGCTTTTGTTCTAATTATAAAACATGCAGTTACTTTTTTCATCCAGTGTCTCCCATCCTTACTTTCGTCACTTAACATCAATGGTTACTCCGTAATCCCCTACTGGGACGTAACATCATATGAAAATCTTCAGCCAAAACAAAATAGCCTACATTAAACAACAGCTTAATAGAACATGGCACAATGAGGCACTCAGGGGGATCACATAACAAGCAACAAAGGCATTAAAGAAAAAGGTCTTTGAAAAATTTAAAACACTAAAAATGTACAGACTATATAATGCTTCAATATAATGTTTGATTTATTTTGAAATGTATTTGTGAATGTAGGCCTAATATTTTTTAAACAAGATAAAGAGGTTCAAATAGACTTCTTTTACAATGAATATCAATCTGTTCATAAAATAATATATTTCTTTTTTGTAAATATGTAAAGCCATAGTCTTTAAGAATTTTCAAAATCTAACCAAAATAATTTGTAATTCTGGTTCATAAACAAACACAAAATAAATGACAAATGCTTTCAGTTTCATTACTTTAAAAACACACTTTTCTTCAACATCAATCCTGAATCTTAATACAACTGTTGTTTATTTCATGCAAATATTAGAGGAGCAAGTGCAGCAGTAAGGTCAGATCCTATTTACTTTGGGGGGAGAGGTTAGTTCATCCGAAAGTTGACTGCTGTATTTATACCCTACGTGGATTAGGGAGCTCGATTTGGCTGTGAGGGTGACTCCGACCAGAGTTCACTCTGTGTCAGAGTTGAAGTGTTGAGGGTCTAGTTTTGGAAGTAGAAGTGAGATGCTTCACTCGGTAGCGAAACCGGAGCGGTCAACACACAGGGTGAAAAAAGGTGCTGCAGCAATGTAAACCTATTCCTTTAAAACCCCTAAATAAAATTATGAACCTGAAAATTAGCATAATATGACCACTTTATTATGTCATTGTTTTTGTCATCCCAAACTTTTACTGTGTTTCGTTTCCTGTCAGAAAAGAGCTTCCATAATATGGGCATGAACAAGTGATATTAATCTAAAATCAATACAGTGTGATGAGCCTTCTGATACATTTTGTGCAAATCCTAATGGGAATCAAATTCTTCAATGTAACAATTTTAGTTTTTTCAACCACAGTGTGTGACCTCTACTTTTAGTCAAAATATACTATGTATTTGTTATAGAGATGAGTTGTGCTGGGTTTTGATCCATATCAAATAATAGTAATTTAGATTGAGTATTTACAATTTTTTGTCATTTCCAACATTTTATCTATCTTTTTCTTTTCTTGGCAGTCATAGGCTTCCATACACACAGGTTGTACTCATAGGCAAAGTAGGAAATAATGGCTGAATTCTATTTAGCTACTTCAGTTTCAGGTTCTGCTATCTGCACACAGGACTTATTGGGACACTTGAAATAAAACAGAGCCATAGTTAATGTTATTAGTAACTCCTGTTCTTTTCCTGCTGTGAATAAGGGCTACAAACAAAAAGAATAAACTTTCCAGCTGAGAAGATATCAAAGTAATTTGCTTGGCTGAAAACACAACTTCAACCACACAAATTACACAGAACAAATAACTCATGAATCCAACCATTACATCATCACACAGCATATGCACTATTTTAATGTTGAAAAGGTGGTTCATGCATTGACTGCACATTTTAATGCTCAAACATACAAATAATGTAAACTGAAAGGTACTTAAACATCTGGAGTAATCACAGTCAAAAGGTGGCTCACTGTAAGGCTGAATTCCAGTCAGCAGCACTTTAGCCATAAAAGACGTCTGAATTTGAGGTATGTGAGTTTTCAGAACAACATGAGGCACCTAACAGAACTCTGACAAGGTGAGAAAGTCGCTGTCCAAACTGCATGTGCGCCACAGAGGAGTCAAGACAAACTGCATCAACAAAGAAAAACAGTTGCCACCAGGAGAAACTGACCAGCAGGATGATGGAGAAAGTACACAGGAAGAAATGAAATGATGCTAACTGGCATGCAATCTAGTTAGTCTTTGCAGTGTTAAGTTACTTCAAAGTCTTCTTTTTATAATATCCACCCCATACCTGGTGAAAACACACACAATAACCCCAAAGTAAAGCTTTCGGGATCATCATGAATTGGTGTTAGCCATATAATAGTACATCCATAAATGAAGGTGCACTGAATTAAGAAAAATAAATCAGGCATTCTCAAACATCAGTGTAGAAGACAGTGTTGCATGCAGTGTTTTGTGTTATTTACATTCCACAGTATTCAAATCAAGGCTCAAAGTACAGTATGCATCAACTGTGTATAGTAAGCAGCACAATGCCAAAAAACACATCATAAAACCTTCACAATACACATCATGTACAAAAATATAATACATCAATCACAAATACTACAATGTCTATAAAAATATTTATAGTATACCCACACAGGGACTTATTCATGTTTTGAGGTAATTAAAGTATTATTTCTATGTTTTGAGAAATAATCTTATTCACTTTCTTGCAGAGAGTTAGATGAGATGATTGATACCACTATGGTATCTATACGGTAAATATGAAGCTACAGCAAGCGGGCCGCTTAGTTTTAAGACTTAAAGCAAGGGGAGACAGCTAGCTTTGCCCTGTCTGAAGGTAAGCAAATAATCCCCTGTAGAACCACAGTTGTTGTTTTTACAATTCAGTTTTTGTACTGATCAAACAACGTGGTCATTAGAGAGCTTTCAGAGGTGCATGTAGGCCAGTTTCTTTTGGACAGAGCCAGGCTAGCTGTTTCCCCTTGTTTTCAAGCTAGTTAACTAGCAGCTGGCTCCATATTCATATTGAAGAGACAGACATGAGAGTGGTATAAATCTCAGCAAGAAAGCAAATAAATGTATTTCCTAAAGTTATTCCATTAAAACATTTATGGATACTGACCATTAAAAAATGTGTCTTATCTTTTGTCTCTAATCTAATCCCTTACTCTTATTCAGATTTAAAATGATTACAAAATTTGTTTCCAATAGTTGTTTCAAGTGACAGGGTTGTGCATATTTGTTATGGACACTGCAATGAAACAAATCAACGTTTTATTTTGCTGCTATGGAACTAAACAGCAGCGGAAATATAAGGATCACACTCCACAGAACAGTATGAGAAATCCACAAAAACAGAGTGAGGTGAAATCGATGTATTAGAAAGAAGATTGGTGCGAGTGAAGTCGTCAGACTGGAGTGACGGGACAGAGTTGTAGAGGTTTTGAGAAAAAGGGTGTTGGGGCGACGTGACCTCAGCTGGGTGAGAAAGCAAGACGGTTGAATGATAGATGCTGCTGAAGTCAGAGAAGGAGACGGGGCTTTGATGATGTCTCAGAAAAAGGCGGAAGGTTTTCAGTTCATCTGTTTGGGAAAGAGGTGAACCTGATTTTGTGGCGCTCCTGCCCTGCAGAGAAATAGATGGCTCACTGTCTCCACCTAGCTGGAGTTTAACATCATTAACGCTGACAGTGCTGTGCTGCCAGTCATTGGATTGGGGATAGGGGAGGGATAGGAGAGGTGTAGACAGATTTTTGAGAGTCTGAGAGAGGAGGACATTGGAGTAGATGGTGGGGCAGGAGGAGAGATCAGTGTTGGAGGTCATCTTGGCTTTGACTGAGCTTTTGGTGCACTTTTGCTCCGATTTTATGCTATTTTGAGGTATCTGAGTCCCCAAAACCGGGAGCAGAGAGTAGCAGGGAGAGGAGTCGTTTTGCAGATAACAGGCGCTTTGATAGCGGAGGTCCTGATCTGGGTTGGAGTTCTGCAGCAAACTGTCACCAAGCAAAATAACTTCTGAGTATTTGATTTTGGTCTTCTCTTCCATTGCAGGCTGCTTCACACTCTGAGTTGAAAAACAAAAATCCACATTTTAAATTAGTTGGAGAGTATATATTTTTGTACATACAGTTTCCCCCTTCAAACCTGCAACTACCAAATTATTTTTGGCCACTTGGGGGCAGCAGAAACAAGCTGTGAACACAATATGGACATAGCACAAGGTTTTAAATTGAAATGGCAAACTTTGTTTGTTACTTACACATCCAGGAGTTTTATTAATTTGAAATTGTGTTTCTGGTCACCTGAAAAGTCCAATACACGCTCTTTTAGCTCACTTTTTGGTCTGTACCAACCCTTGAGGGAAATATCTGGCTCTTTAGCTGCTAACTGCTCCACTTTTAGCACCAGCTAGTAGCTAACTGTGTCTGTCTGCAGTTTGTGTCCAGTGTTTTTAAAAAATTGCTTTTTCACTGAAAACAGCTGCCTGCTGCGGCCAAAAACAACACTGAGTGAACACAGCTAAACAGAGCTAAACAATGAACTGAGACTTGCCCAATAGCTCTGTAAAAGCCAATGGGAGCTGCAGATTAGATCCAGTTTCCTTGTTGCTACTGTCCCAACAATGTGACCCACCTGCTGGTCAGGATTGAAATTGGTCTTTTGATGCCATCTAGTGGTTGAAAATTAAACCTAGCTGATTGTGGATTGCCTGAAACATAGTTTTAAAATTCCTGAGGTTTTTATTGTCAAAAGTGTGACAGAATTAAACAAAAATTCTGACAACAAACAACTATTAAATAATTTATAGTTGTTTAATATCTAGAAGTCAAGTAGGCCTACAGTTACCAACGCGTACCAACCATCCTTTAGGTCACAGAAAACCAAAGGACTCTACCTCCAAAGTGGTTTTGGGGATCCAGTGGCCCAAGCTGCTATTGGAAGGATCTGGAATGTCTCGACACAGCTTCTGTTTCACCCTACAAGGTTATTTGTTAGGAAAAGCATTATAAAATTAGAAACATATAGGCAGGTAAAACTGTAAATGTAGGACACCAAGCTCTGAGTAAGTATGTGTTTGTGTTGTTAATGTTATTGGGTGGTGATGGTGCAGTGGATAAGATGCATGCCTTTGGTATGAGAGACCTGGGTTCAAATCCACTGTGACACCATTGTCTTAAGCAAGACACTTAACTCCTAGTTGCTCCAGAGGTGTGCAACCTCTGACATACATAGCAATTGTAAGTTGCTTTGGATAAAAGTGTCGGCTAAATGTTATTGGTGCTTACTTCTTATTCTGTGCCAGGCAGGCCATCAGCACCAGCGTCAGTGAAGTCAGGATGAGAGGAAGGAGGGCATGCATCACTATCGATATTTCCTCAGGTCCTTCACACACACACACACACAGTTAAGTTAAAGATCTATCAGTGTATGGTTTTTACTTTGAGGGTATGGTGAGTCTGTGTCCAGTCTTCACCTATGTGCACTTTAGCGACGGGCCCAGCTACTCCAGCTCCAGCGTCAGTGTTGGCCTGCATGAAGATGTCGTAGTTACCAGGCGACAGATTCTCTAGAGAGTAACGGTGAGCGTGACCAGGCACAAACACTCCTGAATGAACATGAACAAGTACAACATGGACAAAATGTGATATTAAAGAATATGGATAAAAACATAAAAACAAAGAGTTAATTCTTCCCTCACAAGGATACAAAGATAATGAAATATCTTTTACTAGTCCTCATCTCTTCAGAGACTATAGTATCTATCTCTAAATAATTTGTAACTAGTCTCTGTGGTTGTTTTTTAAGTGTGTTTTTGTTTTGTACTAATATTTTTATTTGAACAGTAATGTAAACTGACTCCCAGTCCCATAAAGATATAAACTAAAATTTAGGATAAAGGTTATAATTGGTAATTAGATTGAGATTAGGGTTAATACTAATCAGGCAAATAAGAGAGGTTTTATTGCGGGATTGAGATAATGTCCTGAATGCATTAACAACATACCAATACACGCACGTATGTAACAGACAAACAAAGAGTGATATAAAGGTTATTTGCAAAGGGAAAGACAGCAAACCGATTAATTCCCACAGAACTACAATTCAAGTGTTCCAAATGTAGTATTTCTCAATCAGTATTTTGTGAGCATTGGCCATAAGGTCACTTCCTGCACTGCACACCTTACTGTCACTAAGTAAACTAGACAAATAGTCTACCGCCATGCTAGCAGCTCTGTGAGGCCGTACTTAACAGCTTTGAGCGAGCTAAATGCAAATGTCAGCATGCTAACATACTCAAAATCACAATGTTAACATGCTGATGTTCAGCATAATTTAGCTTACATTTGATAATTAGGACTAAACAAAATGTAGGCTGAGGGGAAAGTAATCCGTTCAGAAAGTATTTGATCATAAACCAAAGTATAGGACAAGACTAAAAAAGCGCTACATCATGATTAGGATTTATCCTCTGTGCCACATTTCACTGGTACACCATCCAAAAGTTGTTCACAATTTACTAAAAACCACAAATTCCAGCAAAGGGCTGCTTTTCCTCAGTGGGCTTGGATGTGTTTATTGCTCACTCTTGGCTGGTTGCTTTGCAGCTGAGTAGTAGAGTGTGTAGTTGCAGATGAAACCATGAAGCAGCTCCACAGGTACAGGAGCCCAGATGAGCTCCACTGTGCTACCAGAGATCCAATGCACCGCCACTTTAGGACCAGCTGAGGGCGCTATACAGGCAGAGAGATGAGAGCGGGAAAGCGCAATGGGGATCAACCACAAGACATGTGAAAATGAGGCTTGATCTATATCTGTATTTCACAAGGTGTCTGATGTGGGTCACTGTCATGACTTCATCAGCACCCCAGCTGAGGCATAAATGAACAAAATGAAAATTAAAACTGCAGCTGGAATTAATTTCCAACCATTTGTTGCTTGTTTTTGTTCTCTTCTTCTGACTCATGCTTGTTAAGATTAATAACTCAGCCACAGTTTATATCTGGCAGAACCAGTCGTGACTAAACGCCATTTAGTAGACTATTGCTTTATATTTAAGAAAATATACACATAAGTAAATTAACATTAAATAAAACTCACCATCTTTTTTGCTAAATCTCAAAATCCTGCCTCTGTATCCCTTCACCACCCACCCAAAACGATCACTATATCCCTCCTCCTCCCCCACATCAGTCAAACAATCTCATAATTTAAAACACAATACTGTTCATTTAGCTAATGAATATTGGAGACAAATTCATAAAAAACAAGAGAATGACTAAATAAGCAATGCAAAAAATATACATACATGGCATTATAAAAATACATACATATAATAATAATAATATAAATCCAAAAAAATGGATTCCTAAGGAACGGTAAAAAAAGGTTTACATCTCATGTGCCACTAGTTCACCAGAGAGATTATTCCAGTCAAAAGCACATCTCCCCTTCTGAAGAGAGGGGTGTAGATACATTAAAAAAGGCTGACCATGTTCTCTCAACAAACCGTCAGTCATGCAGTTAGTCTTTCTAAAGGTAAAACTTTATACGTTTTGTGGTACCACTGTGTGACTGAGGGAGGCTTATCACTTATCCACTGCTTTAAAATACATCTCATAGCCAGTTTGAAGTCAGATCTTGAATATATCTGAGGAATCTGTGGAATAGAACAGCGAGTAGGAAATGTGAAAGACAAGAGTGTCTGTGGGGAGGTTTTTCACCTTTGATTGAATAAAATGATGGAGTTCAAGGTAAAGTTTTGTTGATGTTAATGGAAGGACATTATTAGTGTATTGTCCTGTTATAAATCCCCAATAAGTCTGATCCCTTTTGCAAGTTATCAGCTTTTATACAAACAAGCTCCAATCGATTGTTCCATTTAGAATCAACTTTCATTTATCAAGTACATATAAAAAGCCTCTAATGGTGTACTCTATGCAAGACATTTTCCTACTCTGGAGAAGACAAGAGAAAGGAAGTATAGCAAAGACCCATGGTGTAAAAGATAAAGTAGGTTAGCTCACTAATCCATAACTACTTTAACTACCTTACAACTACTAATCCATATAACTACCAATCCAATGCCTTTTAAAAACAATCTTTTCATCATATGCATTTTTCAGTTTTAGTTGAATTAACTCCATTATACCTACTACTAGTATAAATCATGTAATCATGTGTGTTTTCTGCCCAATGAAAAAAGCAAAACAATTATTAGCTGTATAACAAGAATGCAAAACTCCACTGTTGTCCAAAAACTATTACTTGACATGTTCCTTCATCATGTTGAACATGGACACGGTAATTTATTTAAAGTAAATAGGACCTGATCCTTCCTACAATCACACGCCCACAAAATAATCATTAGAGTTTTCTGAAGCTACTTTTAAAAATTGTCACGAGGTAACACGTCCAACATTAAGATCTCGTACCTCCTTGGCGTGTGTAAATGTGGACCGTCCTGTTCTGCCCCACTCCTCGGTCACCATACAGCACTTTGACCGAAACAACATAGCGCTCCAACGGCTTTAGTCCCTCTGAAACAACACAAAGATGAAAGTACTTATCAGTGTCCAAATAACTATGACTGGTACTCCTACTTGATGAATAAAAAAAAATCACTTCATATTCATTCATTTCAGCTGTATACAGGCAAAAGGAACATGATATTTTACACATTAAGCTCGTTTGGATTGATGGATTACCTGTGATGACCAGTGCTGTACAGGAACTATTCAGCCTTTCCCAGTGTAGGATGCTGCTGTTCATCTCTCTGGCAGCAAACCACTCCACTACAAAGCCGCTCGTTGACCAGTCAACTGGAGCCATCCAACGAACATCCAAGCCACTGTCATCCAGTGGACTCACAGTGATTTGGCTAAGGGGTGGTGGCTCTGAAGAGAAATGAGGGAGAAAGAAGTTTTAGGCATGGGATTATGCACAGTAAAAAAACAAATGCCTGATTGCAGAAGTTTAATATTGTGATTTCATTATGTAATCTGTTTAGTGCAAAGTACCAAATGCATCTACTGTGTGTTTAATGTTTTTTTCTGGTATTTGTTAATGTCATGATAAAACAAAGAAAAAACTTTGCAGCTTTAAAAAAAAAAAAGCGATCATGGGAAAATTATCTGAACCCTCTTTATTATTTACTGTAAACTCCAGGGAACACAGTCCTCATGCCACAGGAAACCAGGAAAAAAACTCTGTCTGTCGTCATTCGCCTCATTCTGGCTAGATCTCACTGCTTCTCTAATCTTTCCCCAGGTGTCTTTTTTGTTTTTGTAGCCTTACACAAAAGACTTTACTACTTTTTACTTTTTTGTGTGTTTTTTGTTTGCACAAATAGGAATAACGGCACAGAGAATAAGCAGTTGCTGCTGCAAACACTCTTGCTATAATAATAGTGTCATGTTGCTAAACATTTCTTATATTTCAATCTCCAACCTGCTCTACTGAGATGTGATTAGAGTAGGTAGTTAGTAGCAGCATGTGATAGACAGGCAGAACAGTGAACATGTGTTTGCTGCACTCTCTCTGTTGTACACAAAATAAAAGTCAAAGGCAGGGTTGTGGAGAATGGAAAAAGAGAACTTGAAAGAAACTTCGCACACTTGGCCAATCAGTGCATAAGGTGAGCATGATTGCAGGACTGTCTGTTTTGGAAAGTTACAAAAAAAGTTAATTAGAACTAGACTTTCTTCACTTTTCATCACCCATCTGTAAATCGCAGTGAAAACCTGTTTAAACTGATCAAAGTAACTTAAATTTCAGGTGAAGTTTGGGTGTAGTCTCAGGTGAAGATGCAGTAAAGCATCAATGGTCCATCCTCCTTGTCATGTCATGAGGAATTTAAGTGAGACCCAACCTGTCTCAGAAGCTCCAAGGAGCCACATTCGGGCTTCTGGCGAGGTTCCCGCAGCGGTGGAGGCCGTCAGAGCGCAGGAGCATCGTCCGGCAGGGAGAAGCAAGCTACAGGAAGTATTTGTGTGGTGCAAATCTCTGCAGCTCCCGTGATCTTTCAGGAACTGAGCGCTTTCTGTCTGACAAGTCACATTGAAGAAGAGAACCCTGCCACGGGCTACAAAGCGAGGCAAGGGCTGACCGGTGTAAACACGAGAGAAAACAGAAAGCAAAAAGGAAAAGTGAGCTGCTGTGAGATGATGGAAGAATTCTTATGAAGAGAAGTTAAATGCTTTCTTTCTCTTTCAATCAGGTTCGCTCTCAGCTTGAATCACGATTAAGCAATAAATCATTTCGGGAAGATATAAAAACAAATTAGGCACAGTCATTGAGGAGATGGTGATTAAAAAGTAATCACATTCAAAACTGATTAAACTGTAAACTCCAAATCTCAAAGTGATACAACCACTCAGGACTCACATTCACAAACAATTCAACACACACACACACACACACCTTCCAGAGCAGGGACACGGGTCTCCAACCGTTCTTATCTGTTTGTTTCACTTGCCTCCAGAAGGCTGGTGCTGCAGATGGAGCTGGTAGATGGAGGGAGGATAAAAATATGACAGATAATTTGAAGGAGATACAGCAGAACAGTGCCATGAAAACCAGACAAGCCTTCACGTACGCCTCCTATAGCAGTGCATGACAATGAAAGTATGAGATGGAGACATTTCGTACGTATCTCTTTCTCCTTCGTGTCACTAATTTGCTGACAACAGCACACACACCAGAACATATTGGATTGTTCAATATGTCATTTATGCAATACATAGGCTATTAGGGATGTGCAATATCTCATTGTGCAAGGGTTGTGCAACATTTGTGGGGAATGCAGCCGACAGGGTTGTTCAACCAAAAACTGCCATTGGAAAAAGGAGTTAATGTGCTTACTATATACTGTAGGTGACAATGTATTTTAGAGCATGTGTTTTGTTGCATGAGAACATGTGTTGAGAGATATTTATTTCTGTATTTTGTGTTGTCTTTTTAAAGCTGCAGAATGTGCAAAACAAAATTTCGCTTTGGCGAAAATAACGTATATCTTATCATATCATATCTTAAGCCACAATGACACAGAAATACACCTGCAACTCAGTAGGGCTGCTTGCCGTTTAATACATTGCAGCCATCTCCACGTAGGCAAACATGCATGGTGGTTTGTTTGCCTCTCTGTTTCTTCTTTTCTGTTTCTCTGCTTTTCTTTTTCGTTTTCACCTCCCAACAGATGTTGGATCAACCAATTAGCTCATGCTCACATGCTACTCTAAACGCCCTTCTCTGCATAGTTCTGCAGAGGCGTTTAGGTTTTCCTTCACAGATGCATAATTCTAAACCTATGGTAGCTTAAGCCTGGTCCTCTGCTGAGGGGCAGTCCAACACTACACCGACTTGAGATTGCTGTATTTGTGAGTCTTCTTGTTATCTTTATTGCTAGGAACCAGCATTGGTTTCATTATTAAGTAGGACTATAGTGATTGAGACTTTCAACAAACACAAAACACAAGTTTGTCAACTCTCACCGTCCTCTCCAGTCCTTCCCTGGAGGGTGTTGCTCCACAGGCTCCAGGGACTCTGTGGGCCCTGGTAGCGGTGACGAAGCCTGATAGTGTATGAGGTGTCAGGTCTGAAGACACAAACAAGGAAGCTGAAGCCTGTCACTGTCACATTTTTGACCTGAACATTGAACTGTTTGGAAAGAGAATTAGGACAGAGGATTAAGATAAAAGAAACACATTTTTCTTTATTTTTGAAAGTTGCTACATGAAGCAATTTAATAAAAACTTTTATTGGCTCGGTCCAGAGATCTTCCGTGCCAAGTTTGGTGGCGATTGGACTTGCAGCTTCAGAGGAGTTAATTAAAATATGTTTTCTAGTTTTCGTGATTTAGCGAAATGAAAACGTCATCGCACAGAGGCATGTCCTATACCATAGGAATCGGCAGCATCCCCCAAAGACGTAGACATACGGTTTATGAATGTGCGATGTAGTGGGCCGTAGTTATGAGGCAAAATGTCCTTTGGTTGAAAATCCCATTGAAATGAATGGGATTGTCCGACGGTATTTTAGCTCCCATTATTGCGCCACCTTTTGGCCGAATTGCACCAAATGTTTCAGGTATCATCAGGGCCCCATGGGGAAGAATTGCTCCAAATTTGGTATCAATCGGGCATGTGTTATGGAAATATAAAATGCATGTAAGTCAATTGGATTTTTGACAATTCGGCTCTGGTTTCATGTCAATGTGACTTGTGGTCATAGAGGAACAATTTTCTCGAATTAAATAGCGCCACCTAGGGGCGAGTTGCACCAAATTTTGCACAGGCCCTCAGGGGGGTGTCCCACATTAATGGTCCAAATTTGGTGTCGATCGGCCATTCCAAAGCGAAGATATGACATCATTTCCTGTTTTTAGCATTTTTTGAAAACATTTGTTAGCATATAATTGCGACATTTTTTCTCGGATCAAAATTTCCTCTACAAACTTTCATCAGCTTGTGTCCAGAGATTATCCGTGCCAAGTTTGGTGTCGATTGTGAGTTTCGCGTCCCCAGCAGTTACGGTGTAGGCCGCAGTATCAGTTTTATGCACGGAAGAATAAAAAAAATAATAATAAAAATCTGAGCGAAAACAATAGGGTTCCCAGCTCCGCTGGTACTGGGAACCGCTTACATTCGCGGGTTCCCAGCCCACTCGGGCTTGGACCCCTAATAATACATAATTACAGTCTATGCATTAACCAGAGAAGCAAGCCTGGCAGCTTTTTACACTGTGTGCCACTTTAGTGTCACATATTTTATGAGACAACTGTTTGATCTCTTTAACATTAGAAAATATCAAAAGAGAGTGGTCTTCACTTTGAGAAATGGCACCACTAAATGTGGGATGTTTATCTTAAAATGCCACCTTGCACCTTTAATTTATGAATGTATGTGCTTTCATGCAGGGGTGTGGTGTAGTTTTTGTGTTATGGCATATTTGGGAATGGCAGACCTGTCCGCGTGGTGTGAACTCAATTTGGGATGTCAGGTCTCCTGCTTTGATTTCAGAGAAAGACACAGGAAACTCAGGAACAGTAAAGTCAGGCAAGGTGCAGTTCCAGACTACATTCAGACATTGAGGTCTCCCAGCAACTGGTTTTATGCTGTCCAAAGTCACTGGAGGTAACATCACTGAGAAAGCAAGGGAGAGAACAATGAGAGAGAAGGAAGAAAAGAACAATAAGTGTGCTATTAGGAGAAGCACAACAAGCTTACCTTCAGTCCTACCAGACTGACACCGACATGCTGATTGTGTGTCCTTGCTGTGACCGTGTGCTGTGACAGTGATGCAAAAGGTGAACCTCACGGATGAGCCGGTGATCACTGTGCAGCTGGTGCCAGACGTGGTGCAGGTGAACGTATTCAAAGGTCTGTTTGTTGTTGAGGCCTCAGCTCTGTGTAGCCTCAAATACACATGTGCACAGAAACACATACCAATAAACACTCACGCACAATTATATAAAAGCAATGTTCATTCAACTTCTGTCCTGCTCTAGCCAGTCACAACACTCAACCAGCAGACATAACACTCAAAGAGGTGCAAAATGCCAAGCACAAAGAGATGTCACGCAAATGGGCATGCACACACACCAATACACACATCACAAGACTGCTCATACATGCTGTGCAATATTACCCAATAAACAGATCGTGAGATGGAAGCCGATTTATCATCTCAGTGTATCAAACTAACCATCAAAGCCTCACACGAATGTGAGATTCAAAGCTGCTAACAAACCCAAGGCTTTGTATACAGCATATTATCAATGCTGGCACAAAATTGCAAACACGCCAACATGCAAAAACACAGCGGTTTGCTACTGCTGCTGTTGAGGACTTGGCTAATCCCATATCACTGTGTCATTTTTAATCTGTCATAAACACTGATAAACACGCTGCAGAGAGCAAAATAAATGTTGGGTTAGTGAGCAATATGTCTGGATGAAAAATAATTCACCTAACTGCATATTTACTGGATTATTCTTATGATGAAATAACTTTGTGAACAATACTTCTGGTAGGTTAATTGGTGACTCTAAATTAGGTGTGAATGTGAGTGTTTCTATATGTGTGGCCGTGCGATGGACAGGCGACCTGTCCAAGGTGTTGGCCTTTCGCCCAATGTCAGCTGGGATTTGGCTTTTAGGGTACAGTATCACCAGGCAATCAGAGGAAAGCTGTAAAACCTTCCAAGTATAATATAAACTCAACATATCAGATATCAAAGTTAAATATGAGAGAATACCAGACAGTCAGTTTCCTGTTCATCAACCACTCAGTGGAAAATGCTAATCAGCTCTATCTTAAGTCTGAAACTTCAGAACTACAGATTTTTTCAAGCAGGCTGCAGAAATAAAATAAAATGGAAGCTGTTTCTCAATAAATGTAATACAAAGAGTAAATGAAAACAGTCTGTCATCCTCTCTCTCTCTATCCTCTGTCTCAACCTATTACTAATAATAATGGATTCTGTACTTTGTCACACAAACTCCTACAAAAAGATTGGTTTCACAAATTTCAAACAAATTAAGGAACTTCTCAAGGGATTAGAAGAAAATGTATGTGTTGCATTTCAGAGAGTGAATGTACTGCTGTTTAGATATCTGTAGTAATTATTAGTAATGATTTTATATATATATACAAATTTAAGGATAAGGCTAGCATAATTCTATATTTCCCTTAAAGTCAACAAGTATTGTCTGTGTAGCCTGATATATCTTATTCCTCTGTATTATAGAGCTGCATTGTTATAAAACAAATATGAAAAACATAAATGAGCCACACTATCACCCAGTGGCATGTTCATTTATTACAAAAAAATCAATGAATCAATCGCACACAACCTGTCCTGCTGCCATTAACACTCACTAGAACACCAAATTAATCCAAGATGAAATAATTGTAAAATAACGTAAAATCTACAGTGCCCAGCTGTTTAAGAAAATAACTGAGCCTTTTGTAAAAATGAAACTACATATCTGTGACACATTTTCTAAGGTTTACATCTGCCACAGATACCGTAGGGAAGTCAGAATGACTGAAATGATAGATTAACAGCAACCTTATCCTTGAAGGGAAAACCTAAAAAAAAAGGAATTGAGACACATGCAAACGTTTTTACACGGGGCATGAGGGCTCACTGAATGGGTGATGAGTATGAAAATTATGTAAATCATATGCTATGACCTTCACAGTCACCAGATCCAAGTTGAAAACCGACAGTATCACTACAGCTGTTATGGAGGCTTCAGGTGGCCTTTCCCTTCCCTTTACTGTCCCTTTACTTTGTCACCTATCTGTAAATATATCTATGCACTAGATCATTATAGTATTGTGAAAGAAAACACAGTATAACAAAGTGCTTTACAAAACCTGGATAAACTGAAGATGAAGCATGCTTCACATACTCGTATGTGTTCGAGCATGACTACTAATATATTAAAGGAATGCTTTGTCTCACCAAGGCACCCTCTGAACTTGCAGAGTGTAGTACGTCGCTGGGGTGTCTCCAGCCTCCCAGCGGCAGGTGACGTTAGCTCGATTTAGGAACACACAGCCAATTAGCCGCGGGGGTCGTGGGACAGCCTTCGGGGTTGCAACGGAGAAGGCTAGAGGCGAGGCTGAAGAAGGAAGTATGGAGTTTTTGGTTTGTTATAAAGCTATCTTCAGGTTAAAGTAAAAAAAGATCATCAGAGATGCAATATTTTTGTGGAAGATGCTTTTAACGGGTAGGAAAAAGATTTACAGAAATAATTTTAAAAAGGAGGAATGTGGGACAGATTAGCAGTAACGACATACGTGGCTCTGTTCTATGAGCTGTTGCCACATGTCAGAACTTAATTCCTTCTTGAGGAACTTACTAAAACAGATCTTAGGAGAATTATATCTGATGCCAATTGAACCATGTAGGATGCACACGATTTAGCTTGTAAAATATTTATGAGAGACTGTAACTGCTATATGGCCTGAGGTTTACACAGATCATCAGACAAGATGTTTGTCTTGATTTGACTTTCACGACTCATCTTGCTGACTCAGCTTGCCGCTGGGTATGTATGGGGATAGCCAACATGATCATACTAGGTCTCACATACCAGCAGCTCACCTGCTTTTAAATAAATACTTTGGCACCCTTTTCAGTTGGAGGAACCTTTTCAGGGACATTTTTAGGAACTTAGGAACTTTGCCCTTCTCTATCTGAAATATGATCAATCAATTAAATTAATGGTCAGGCAACATCCTGTCTTAAAAAGCTCACAGTGCCTTCTTACCCCACTAGAACACTGTGCTCCCAGAGCGCAGGGTTACTTGTGGTTCCTAGAGTCTCCAAAACTAGAAAGGGAGCTACCCGTAGAATGTAGTCCCAGTTTTGGTCTGGGGGCAGACACCATCTCCACATTTAAAAGTAAGTTAAAGACTTTCCTCTCTGATAAATCTTATAAATAGGGCTGGATCAGGTGGGATCTGAACCATGCAATGAGCTCCTCTCTCCTTCTCTCCCTCTTCATCTGTATGCATTCTTATCCTATTAGTTACTCAACTAGTTCCCTCTCCCGTAGTTTTGGTGGATTCTCGTCTCTCTCCTTCTGTCACTTTCATCAGGTAATTTTGCCTTCACAACTGTAGAGTCTGGATCTGTTCCTGCAAGCCACCTACTGCGCCCGAGTTCCTGCTCAAGACCTGCTTCCTTTTTATTGTTATTTGCATTATTACCACTATCATTTTACATCTATATGTGGAACTTGCACTGTGCTACTGTTTCATCATGCTCTCTCCCCAACCGGTCCAGGCAGTTGGCCGCCAATGCAGAGCCTAGGTTTGAAGTTGAGGTTTCCGTGTGTCTGTTAAAAGGGAGTTCTTCCTTGCCATTGTCCCCAAGTGCTTGGTCATGGTGGGAGTTCTTGGGTCTCTGTAAATAATATTAAAAAGAGTGCGGTCTAGACCTGCACTAAATGAAAAGTGCAATGAGACAACTTCTGTTATAAATTGTTGCTATGTATATACAGCGGGTGAACTAACTATTGAACATGTCACCATTTTTCTCAGTAAATATATTTCCAAAGGAGCTATTGACATGAAATTTTTACCAGATGTTGGTAACAACCCAAGTAACCCATACATACAAAGAAACCAAAACAAAGAAGTTCAGAAATAAAGTTGTGTGTAATAATGTGAAGTGACTCAGGGAAAAAGTATTCAAAACGCTTACTGATATTTATTCAATACTTTGTACAAAAGCCTTTGTTGGTAATGACAGCTTCAAGACGCCTCCTGTATGGAGAAACTAGTCGCATGCATTGCTCTGGTGTGATTTTGGCCCATTCTTCCACACAAACAGTCTTCAAATCTTGAAGGTTCCGTGGGCCTCTTCTATGAATCTTGATCTTCAGTTCTTTCCTTCTAGATTTTCAATGGGATTTAAGTCAGGTGATTGGCTGGGCCATTCTAGCAGCTTTATTTACTTTCTTTGAAACCAGTTGAGTTTCCTTGGCTGTGTGTTTGGGATCATTGTCTTGCTGAAGTGTCCACCCTCGTTTCATCTTCATCATCCTGGTAGATGGCAGCAGATTTCTGTCAAGAATGTCTCTGTAAATTTGCCCATTCATCCTTCCTTCAATTATGTGAAGTTTGCCAGTACCATTTGCTGAAAAGCAGCCCCACACCATGATCTTCCCACCTCCAAACTTCACTGTTGGTATGGTGTTTTTAGGGTGACGTGCAGTGCCATTTCTCCTCCAAACATGGTGTGTATTATGGCATCCAAACAGTTCAATTTTGCTCTCATCTGACCACACCATATTCTCCCAGTATTTCACTGGCTTTTCCAAATGTTGTGCAGCAAACTTTAAAAGAGCTTCAACATGCTTTTTCTTCAGTAATGGAGTCTTGCGTGGTGAGCGTGCATACAGAACATGGCGGTGGAGTGCATTACTTACTGTTTTCTTTGAGACAACGGTACCTGCTAATTGCAGGTCTTTTTAAAGCTCTCCACAAGTGGTCGTTGGCTCTTGGACAACTCTTCTGATTATTCTTTTCACTCCTCTGTCAGAAATCTTGCGAGGAGCACCTGATCGAAACAAATTTATGGTGAAATGATTGTCTTTCCACTTCCGTATTATGGCCCCAACAGTGCTCACTGGAACATTCAGAAGCTTAGAAATGCGCCTATAACCAATGCCATCATTGTGTTTTGCAACAATTAGGTTGCAAAGGTCTTGAGACAGCTCTTTGCTTTTACCCATCACGGGATGTGTCTTGTGTGACACCTTGGCAATGAGACCTTTCTGTAGGCCATTAGTTGGGACTGCTGATATTAATTTGCACTGACAAGGGTCTGGATTGCTTTTTAATTACTGATAGTTTTCAGCTGTTGTCTTGGCTTTCCGTGCCTTTTTGCACCTCCCTTTCTTCATGTGTTCAATACTTTTTCCCTGAGTCATTTCACATTATTACACACAACTTTATTTCTGAACTTCTTTGTTTTGGTTTCTTTGTATGTATGGATTACTTGGGTTGTTACCAAGATCTGGTGAATTTCATGTCAATAGCTCCTTTGGAAATATATTTACTGAGAAAAATGGTGACATGTTCAATACTTATTTCACCCGCTGTATATATATATATATATATATATATATATATATAACTGAATTGAATTGAATTTGACTTTAACTATGTCACAATGCTGCTGGATCAGTGTTTAATCTGTTCCTGGTGTTCAGTCGTTGCTATTGTTTGCCTCTTTGTCATGATCTTTGGTTGAGAAATAAAGTGCTAATTTTGCCTGGCAAGATTTAATTGTCTTCAATTTTTTTTAGGTAAGCTTGAAGATAGAACTCCCCAATAAGTAAAATATAATTCATACATTTAACATATGGCCTACTAGTATTTCTATTTACCAGACAAACTGATGTACTACAAGTAGGTGATATGTATCAGACCTATTGACGTAGGCCTATAGTATCTGCCAAAACCAGTTGAACCACATCATGACTTGCTGTGGTAACTTTCTGCTGCTTGGCGACATTATCCAATTTACATAATCATCATCCCTGTCCAGTGACTGTTTGCATCCTCCAACTACAAACGGCACACAGACCGATATCATAAGGAGAGGACACTGAACATTACCCAGGACGAGTCCAGCCACCAGCAGCCAAGTCCACGCCACAGCCGGGCTCTGCTCCATGACAACCAACCGGTCTTTCCTGGCACTGCAGCCCTGCTCAATCACACACTACCTTTGACCCAGCTCGAGGACCCTGCACACTGAATAGTTAAATGAAAAAATAAGATCATACCGTCTTTTCATACCGTAAAATTTTAAACATGTCAGCACAGGATGCCCAAAAATGACTCAGTTTAGTGGTTACATTTCATAATTTGCTTACAATGGCTTCCTGAGTAGCAAAACAAGTTTTGCTTTGAGCCCTATAGCTGCGTTCTCACAGGTTTTCCACTTGGCACTGCACGTTTAAAAAAATTTCTAAAATTCAGAAATTTGAGGAGACAAAGTGATTTCCTAAAGTGGGTGTTAGTGTGCAAATTAGTGGATTGTCACAGATTCTGCCGTCAAAGTAAAGACAGAATTTCAGGCCTGACCTTAACAGCATAGACACACCATCTCGGTGTAAGAGCTTAGACTCATCATGTTGGTGCTATAAACATGAGGGAGCAGCTCCAGATTTTCCATTTATTTAAAACCAGAGTGTGACACTCAGGGACAGGTGTAATCTTCGACACCTGAAATCTAAAGTAAAAGCCCTACATTAAAACCAATCTTTGTACAGCTTATAACCTTTAGACCGATCCTGAGTGAGCGGTGAATCGACTCATTTTGGGGAATATAGACCTATAATAAAACACACTATCTAGGCATAAGCGTTTATTTTTTATTATCATTATTTTGAAATAATTGTTGTATTGTTAATATGTCAATACAGCAAAAAATACATCAATGCAGCAAAAGAATACAGCATCTTTTTATGTAGGCCTATAACCATTGTTTTCCCATCTCTTTCCTTAGGCCTCTTTTATAGAAGTATCAGGATCAAAAATTAGGCTAGTAGGCCTATCTAGTATGAGCCTTGTATCATTTAGTTGGATTATTATTATGCATCAACATGCTAGCAGCATTTTAATGTTGCAGCTGGTGGAGTGATTTTTAAAAATATTTTTATGGCTGCTGTTGGGGAGACAATACTTCATACATTATAGGCAGTGTGTATTCTTTGTAACTGAAATAACTTCCATCAAATACATTCAAAAGAGTAAAACGTAGGCTACAATATTGGCCTACTCTCTGAAATGTAGCAGAACAGAGTATAAAGCAGCTACATGGAAATACTCAAGTAGGCTACTCATGTTACTTTCAACCACTGATTTCTTGCAGGGCTGATATATTAAATTGCATTTGATTGAAACTAATAAACTAGTAACTTAGTATTTATCCAGTGACAGAGCAGCTGTGGTAAATCACTCTATAGTTTCAGGAATGTTGTTTTCTTTTCCGGAAAAACGTCTCTTTTCAGTTATAATAGTAGACTAACAATTACGCTGCAAACGTTGATTATTTTCATTATCAATTCATCTGTAGATTATTTTGTCAATTAATCAATACATCTTTTAGTCATTGAAATGTCAGAACATGGTGAAAATGGCTTTCACAAACTCCATGATTCCTTCAAACTGGAGATGAGCCACAAATCTCTACATTTTAGAAGCTTCAGGCAGGGAACTTTTGGTATTTACTTTAAATATAATATAAATTGTTGCACGTTGATTCATCAACTGATGGTTCAACTTTAGTTACAGTTAAAGAAAACTCGAAAGAAGACAACAGCCATTAATTCCCAACAGTCTCTGGATTAAATAAAACCCTAACACATGCATTAATGTTTAGCTCACATAGCCTATGTGAAGAATAGGGGAAAACACTATTCTATAAGGAATGATAAAGTTATTAAGAAAACACATATTTCAAGTAGGACCTATCTACCTTGGTCTATACACGTTCACGATAAACTGCCGAAATACACAGCATTCGGTTTCAACAAGTACGCACGAGTTTCAGTTGAAGTCCCGCGGTACAGTTCAGAGACACGAGCGCTAAATGAAAAAGGTTTGAGCCCAAATCCCGTCCACTTACCGGCGTCAACTCAGACAACGTGCTCGTCTCGCCGAGTCCATCCACGGCGGTTCACTGTTTGCAGGAGCAGCAGACTCTCTCAGCTTGTAGTAAACGCATCTGTTCCGCCCAGCTGTTCGTCACTGCCCTGGGCCCCTGCGGTGCCAAATCTGGGGTTCGATGTCCCGTGGGGGGGGGTCAAGCTTTCCGCGAAATAAAGATTTGACTGATGGATTGTTGCATCCACGTGTCATTTAAACTACTAAACAATGAAAGTAAAAAGCCTACATAAAAAAGGAAGTAGCTTTCATTTTGTTCACTCTTTTGTTCACTCTGACAAAAACTGAAACAATGGTCCATAGATTCATCTGGATTTGGGAACATGGTACAAAAAAACATATTCAAGGACATAACTGTGTTTTTTCTCTAAGCAACAAACATTGTGGTTCATGTAGCCTTTGAAATGGATTATTCATCTTCTAACATATCACTGCAGAGCTGACTCATTGGCTCTCTTTGTTTTAACAATAAACTAAGAAAAACAATTAAGAAGTGAAGGATGTGCAGCTGCAGGATGTCCCTAAGCAATTTCAGCGCAATTTACAATATCTCCCTGATTGTTTGTTTTATTTCATGGTCTAACTATGACATTTCTGCAATTAAGCAAATTGTCTTGTTTATAATTGACTAATGACACACATGAGCATTTGAGCTTTTAAAATTGCATTACACACATATGTAGTGTAATATAAGTGTGTGTAATGCCTTTAACATTCAACAGACTTTGTTTGATGCCCCAAAACCAATGCTGCTCTAACCAGCTTCAGCTTCATCCTGACAAGTTGTTGTTTGAAATATACACTGAAGAACTGAAGGGTTGCTCTTTACTGCAGTGGGGCAGAAGAAGAACAAATTGTAGTTTCCAGATACCAGTAAACAAGGTCATATACAGTAGGATGCTGCACTACAATTAAATGAATGTGTACATTCATGTAACAGAGCAAGAAATAGGCTTTAGTCATGATTTTCCATGGAAACAACTTCATCACAGTGAGGAACAAACAACACTTCCCCGGGGATCAGACCTCATCATTCCTAGTTTGAGCTACATTTGCGAGGCATAGGCAGACAGAGCTGTAGTATCCGAGGCGAGGGGCTGGCAGAGCGGGCTGCCTGGCTAACTATGTACGGGTCGTATCCCTCAAACGGCACCTTCCTGTCTTTGGGACTGGACAGCTCATGAATTCTCTTGCTGGCTGAGTAGTTTCTCGCTGCCTTGGAGACAAGCCAGCAAACTGAGCGCTCTCCTTCAAACTTGGGGTGGTCATGCTTAGGGGCTGCAAAGATAAAAGTAATAATGTCAAATAGCAAGTAAAACTAGAACTTAATGCCACAATAGAGAAAAATTTGATAAAGAACATTGTCTGATGGAAAGACAGACTTACTAGCGAGGAGCTCTATGTGTGCCGATGCTTTGCAGGGTAGGTGAATCATGGGTACAGGTTTAGATTTGTGGCCAGAGCCCTGATGAACCAGCCTTTGTTTTGGTTGGGCAAGCTGGCAAATTCGTGTAGTGGCGACTGCCGTCTGCGTGGCTCTGTTCAACTGCAATCACATTTCAGGTAATGGATAAGGTTATATTAAACTCACAAAAGCACAATATTAAATATGAGCTCCTTATAATCAATCAACCAAATGAAACCCGGATTAATTTTTTTTTTTAGGGATGGCAATGTAGGTCTGTCAGTCGGTGTAACCACCAGTTTGGTTGAGAATGAAATATCTCAACAAGTACTGAATGGCTTTGATTGAACATTTTTGCAGACATTCATGATCCCCAGATTACGAATCTTACTGACTCTGCTGCTTTCTGCTGCACCACTAAGTGCACATTTGTGGATGAAAGATAAATGTTTCAGCAACCATTGGATGGATTCGACGGCGATCCTGCATCTTTTTATCTAGAGCCATCACTAGGTCAAAGTTTTCATTTGTCCAATACTTAAGACAAAATGCAAAGCTAAAACCTGCAAAACAAATAACTTTCACATCAACCTCAGCATGCTGACATACTTGATGGGGAACGTGGTAACCTTATACCTGCTAAATATCTGTCAGCATTGTCATTGTTAACATGTTAGCATGAAAGACGATAGCACAACAGAGCCACTAGATCAGCTTAAGACTCTTCATCTGGGTGAACTGTGGGAAAATCTGACACAGAAATAAATAAATAAAAAATGATGTGTAATTTCTCTTTCTGTGTTGGCTAATACTGTTCAGCAACATAACGACAGTAAACCAAAATTTACTCCTCCTTCGTCAGAGCGAATACTCAGCGCAAGCAGCATTATAAATTGGCTATTTATACTCAAGACAGTGTCAAAAAGTCCTTTGCCCTGAAAACAAGCTTAGAAACTATGAAAACAGCTGTTAAAAACAGCTAAACCACAAAGGGCAAAGTGACAAAAAACCTTCTGCATCGCTACGCAGACGATACGCTACTCTACCTATCCTTCCCACCAGACGACCCCACCTTCTCCGCACAGATCACAGACTGTCTCTCGGACATATCTGCAAGAGGTTTAGTTGAAGGCTCGCCACGTTCAATTAAACCTCTCTAAGACTGATATCTTGGTCATTCCAGCCAAGCAATCTATCCACCATAACATCAAACTACAAATTGGCTCCTCAAACATCACTCCAACCAGTGTGGCGAAAACGCTCCTCCAACGAACGCCACCTGGTTCTGCCATCCCTTCACACAAAGCAATCCCAGTCCCGGCTGTTCGCATCTGTGACACCACGATGGTGGAACGAGCTACCACATGCCATCAGAGCAGGGGCATCAGTCTCTAACTTCAAGAAGCTCTTGAAAACTCATCTCTTCTGAGAACACTTCCTCTTATAACACCTCTAACTCCTAACATCTAACATGCACGTCCTGTGCTCTTCTTCTTCTATCCCCTACAATTATCTTGTATTGATTGCACTTTTTGTTAACTCTAACTTCTTTCCTTAGGTATTTACCCCATTGATGCAATATGTGCCATTAGCGTTTACTAGTGTTTATTGCTGCTTTTATTAATATGTATTGTCAGTTGAAGATCTCATGCTGTATTTGATGCTCTGTTGATTGTATGTTGTTCCTCAAATGCAAGTCGCTTTGGATAAAAGCGTCTGCCAAATGAATAAATGTAAAATGTAAATGTAAAAAGCAGTTAAGACAAACTTTAAGTCAAATTAAGGTGTCAGACTAAAAACCTGTCACCCTGGCTGTACTAACACAGTTGGCTGTGGAGTTTAAAAGACCTTGTGGCAAATTTGTACATACACAGTGGTTTCTCAGGAAATGGAGTGCGTGTTACTCACAGGGACCAGCGGCGGGCGGTTTGGCTGCCAGACAACTGTGGGGGCCTGAGGTTGAGCCAGACTACACAGCCGATTGGATGCAACAGCCCTGAGAGCCCATTCACTTACTTCCCATATGGGAGAAAGCCTGGGGAAGGAACAATAGACGGGTAGTGGAGACAGGAGGTAGAGAATAGGAGAGAAAGAGGTCAATTGAGAGCATGAACGAGAGAAGACAAAGAAAGAAATGAAGAGAAATGTGATATGTGAATTGAAGATGAAAAGGTAACTAAAGTATGAAGAAAGGGGAAGGAAGTGGGCAGCATGGTAGATAAAATCTGAATATCTTAAAAGTTCACTGTGGAGGTTTCTTGTCAACAAAAGCGTATCAAACACTCTTTATGTTTCCCCTCCCTCATAAAACATTTGCAAAGCTAATTTGATTAAAACATTTTTGCTAGTTATCATTTTTGCTAGCGTGCAGTTCTTGTCCCCTGCTTTTGCTGGCATATTGCTGTTTCTTACGATGGAATGGATGAACGATGGAAGCCGGCTCCCATCTTACATTTCCACAGCATTATTTCAATCAGACAACATGAGTGATGCTCATATTTTCTTTGGTTAACTCCTGATGGAAGCCACTTCCTCATGTTTTTCACATTAAAAACCTATCTATGATGGGTAAGACTTTTAATGTGAAAATTCTGGAGGAAGTGTTGAGTTTCATTCATGTTATTTTAACATCATTAGGGGTGCAAAAGACGGAACGCCTGACATGACTCTTGCAGTACTGATAGTGCTGTGGAAGTAGACATACCATAATACTGACTTTTTAAAACAAAGGAAAGTTTTCATAAACTGGGGAAAGGAGGGAATAAAAATAAAGGCCTGTCTCAAATATAAGCCTGAATCTCTCTGCTACTCAGGTAAATAAAGCCCCGACCACTATTTGAGAGTCATGGCATTATAAGCTAGTACCTAAAGAGATACTGAATCAATATCATATGATGTATATATCAAAGACATCCATAAAATAAACCACACATCCATTAGTGGTTGGTTAGTTAGTAATTAGTAGTATCTTGCATTAGTAAGAGTATAATATATATATATATAAATATATTTACGCGACTTGAGTGTAGAACTTTTTGCTTCTACATAGCTCCGACCAGCGAGGGGTCAACTCTACAAAGAAAAACAGTTATGCATATCATCACAAAAAGAGCAGTACATGGCAGGTTTGTAAATAGAATAAAAAAGTGGAGAGAGAGCGAGAGACGCACCAGTTTTGTTGGTGGATCCAGTCTTCTCTGGTGGCAGCTTGTCCAGCCAGTAAACAGAACGACTGGAAAATCAAAAAGAGGCCTCATCAGAGAAAGAAAGAGACAGAGGGAGGTGGAAGGGTTCAGTCAGCCATACCGGTCTGGATATCTGAGGCGGTTGGGTTTTGGTTGAGAAAGCTTCTCCGTCCAAGTTGCCATGGAAACAGCTGTAGCTGATGGGAGAACAGAGCATATTGCTGCTGAAATTATCCCATTATGCAACCAATATGACAATGCCAACGACCTTCACAAACACAACTACAATTATAGCTTTCCATTTCACAGATCAGGGAGAAATTTACATTCAGTCTTTGCATGACAAAAGTTTAATGCAGCTAGTTTACTTTTTTGTGTTGTGTGTGTAGATTGTGGATTTTATTAATAATATTATTGTTATTATTTATTATACCTTTATTTAACCATAAAAACTCATTGGCCCAGGTAATCCAAAATAAACACAGTCCAAGAAAACAAGGCAATCCAACATCCAAAAACGGATAATCCAAAATCCACAGAACAACAAGGTACAGGCAGGAAACAGGCCGGGCCTGACGGACTACAACCACAACAATGACCAGACAAAGACTGAAGGAAACACAGGCAATATACTGTATATTCACACAGAGCTAAGGAGCACGGCGGGAGCAACACAGGTGACAGAGATGAGACAAACGAGACACAGACAGACAGACACTAACAGGGTGCAAACCACAAGACAAGAATCTAACTCGAACTCAAAAACACAGAACAGACAAGACAGACCAAGTAATTGAGAAACACAGGCAACTGCACAAGACAGAACAGACTAAGATAACTAAACAGAACAGGCTAACACATCAGGCAGAGATAACAATTAACACTTAGCAGACAGAAACCAATATCAGATAACAGAATGAGACAGGAATTAAGACAAACACAAAACTAAACAGGAAACAGACTGAACAGCAGTACACAATTTTTAAACAACAATCAGCGGATGATTTTAAAATGACTATAATCACATAATACCATCACAAACTTTGGATTCCATTCTCTCAATCGTTCCATATTTAGGTTTACACCCTCATGTGAGCAGCAGAAACCAACCACACAATGAATTTAATCTTTGGATTTTAACAAATAACACATTCTCTGAACACACAAATACAACAGCTTTTTGGCAATCTTCAATTTATAGCTTAAAGCTATGGGTTTACCTGTAGTACACCTGCAGTTGCTCCTTCTCTTGTGATGACACAGAGCTGTCGGTTGCTAGGGGGATCAGGTAACATTGGTGGGGTACAGTATACCGAAGATCGTCTATGTACAGGGCCAACTCTGCCTTCCCGAGTCCTCAGGGCAGGTGTTTCCCAAGTAACCACTTAACAGTGAAATACATAATAGCTCTGAGGTCATGGATGATTCATGCTTTCTTACTTTGTGGACATGTCTTGTTTACGGTTATTGTGGTCCAGGAACCGTGTGTAAACGCATATACAACGTGCTTCCTAGAAAGAGGAGCAGAGTAGACTCCATCTTTTACTGCTCTCATCTGACAATGACCATCATCTACAGATTGTTGTCCTAGGAAAGTGATGGCTGAAATGATTAATTCAACATTTTTTTTCTACAGGGTGGTCCAATGCATGGATGACCTATGTATACATGACAATAAAAGATATCAAAAAAATATATATCATTAAGTCAATCATTAAATTAATTCCATCTTAAATCTTATTCCTAAATGTGGTGAAAGAAAATAAATCAACGGGTAGTTTCCATCAATGACAATTTACAGAAGGAAGTTCTCAAACAGGAGAAGATAAACAGAACCACAATGTTTGATCTAAAATAAAAAATATATTTTCTGTGGCAGTAAATATTACATGTGCAGCTAGTTAACAAGTAGTACATAATTTATTTCCCCATCTAGGCCATACAAGAGAGCTGAATGACGCAGACATTCAAGCTCTCAATTCTTATTTTGTCTGACGAGATAAAGCTCAGCCTAAGGAACCTCAAACTGTAGTAAAAAACAGAAAATGGAGCATGAATAAAAGGACCTAAAATCTTCAATTTGGCAACAATATGACCTATGATGATGGCCTTTATATGCAGTGAGACGCCTGCTTGGCAAACATTCATTCAAAATTCACAGACACACGATGAGAAATTAAAAAGCACATAGAAAACAGATGACACCTTTATTTTCAAGACATTTAAAATCTTATAAAAACAGCACAGTAAATAATCTAACAAAGCTTCTTTAATAGTCATGATCACAAACGCCACACGCTTTCAATACAATTATTGTCTAAACTAGTTTTGCAGGAGTCTGTTACTTTGTGAACTTGACAAATCATGTCCGTCTGACCTTATATTGTCACTTTGTGTTGTTCACACATAACATGAACTGAGGTGAACACTGCAGGGCACGCAGCTACAGCATCATATGACAATCACACGCCTCTGAAACATAGAGAAACCCAGTGCCAACAGACAGCCAGCGTCAAATATGTAGTGTTTGGTTGATAGTTTAACTAACACTTAAGGGATAGTCAACTAGTTTAAATCCACACAGCCAATATCCACAGATCCACAATATTTGTTAGATTTTTGTCCTTCTTTTAAAAGATAAAAACCGCATGAAAATAACTGCTGCCTTGGCTGAAAAGCCAACCTTGGCATAAACCAAAAGAAAAACACCACTATTATCCTTTAAGTGACCTGGCAGGACAGTCTCTCTCTGTAATACAGTAAAAAGAGACAAATCTCCATGCAATAAACTGTAGATTCTAACATCTCAAGACGAGAGTTTGTCTTTTCATCTTTTACCTAAAAGTACTCAGCTACCAATCTTAATATGAATGATCACTGATTTTCAGGAGTCCGTGGTATTTAAAATACAGGGATTTCAGTGACAATACCAGTTCACAGGTGGAGGTTCTTGAGCCACTGAGCTCTCTTCGTAAGCTGCCAGTGTCGTTACTGGGGTTATGATATACAAGATGGCACCAAACAGTCCAATCTCTTGAGAACAGTGCAGGTAGAATGGTAGTGAGAAGGCATGTAGGAAAGGGGCAGACGTAGGTATATATCGAGTATATATCATATTCAGTAGCACCAAGAGAAAGAGTATGCGAGTGTGTCAGTGTCAGAGGGTCTGCACTATGACAGGATACAGTAGGGACATATGCTCAGCTCCTCTGATTGGCAGCTTGTGTGTAGTGTAGTAGTGGATGACCTCGGGGATGGTGGAGAAGGGAGGGCTGTTTTCTCCGAGCACGTATCGCCCCTCTGCAGACTGAGTGAACTTCATATGCATGAAGCCCTTACAACTCCTGACAGAGAGAGAGGGAAATGTTCATCTTTGTTTCGTTTTAAATCTAGACTGTTGCAACATATACAGAAAAAAGCTGAACATGCATCTGGGAATCGTTAATCTGTTTCAGACCAAACATTCACAAAACAAAAATGCTGTGCTGTGACATGCACTGTTTTAGGAGTAAATGTGAGAAAATTATGAAAGCTGGTACATCCCACGGTCTCAAGTTCCCACAATTTGTATGCACTCATGCTGGGCTCCACAACCTCAATGCATTTTACTATGTTCATAATCTGGTAAATTACAACATGTCAAACTTTATAATAAAAGACCAAGACACAGCAAAAAGAAAGTACTGTAAAAGGAAGTAGGAAACTGGAGAGAATTGTCATTTGAACTGTAACTACTCAATAAAGGCTTTCTCTCAACTTAAACATAATCTTCCCAGTGTCTTAGGGGTTAAGACAGCAAAAATAAGCTTCAACACCCCGCAGTTCAAACACAGCCGGGGACCTTTGTTGCATCTTATGCTCTCTTGTTTCATGTCATCTCTCCACTTTCGCTTTTCTAATAAACGCATAAAATGCCAGAATTAAAAAGAAATGGCTGTGGTATGGAGAAAGAGGTGACCACGCACCTTCTGAGATGCGTTTTGAATTTTGGGGTAATTATTATGTGCAAGGTTGAGTTACTTAGATATATTTGTACAGCTTTTGACCATATCAAATGGCCGCCTTCAGCAAACAGAACTTCAAAGTACTGGACTTTGATCACATAACAGGTGGTCATAGGATCACCTTATTATAGTCCTATAGTTGGGTGACGTGTTCACACATGAGCAACTGTCATTTGCTGAAGATGGAGATTTGAATAGCTACGTGGTTTATTCCATGTGACATTAAACAGACAGATGCATACGTGTGTGTGTGTGTGTGTGTGTGTGTGTGTGTGTGTGTGTGTGTGAGAGAGTGTGTGTGAGAGAGAGAGAGACAATTTACATAGATATTTACAGTAGTGTTAATGATAATAATCGTAATGTTAAGGATTATAATAACAATAGGTCTAGTAACAATAATTGTAACAGAGGGTGTCGAGCAGAAACACAGGGGCAGCAGGCGACTCGCAACCACAGATCCAGACTCCACAGCTCCAGAGCCAGAAACACCTGCATCAAGTGATAGGAGGAGCGAGGAGGAGAGGGACGAGAAAGCACAAGACTACGGGAAAGGGAAGAAGTCGAGTTAGTAACATGCATTAATGGGATGAGGTTGCATACAGAGGGAGAGAAAGAAGAGGTGAGAGGAGCTCCGTGCATCATGGGAAATCCCCCGGCAGTCTAGGCCTATGGCAGCATAACTAAGGGATGGTTCAGGACTCACCTGAGCCAGCCCTAACTATAAGCTTTATCAAAGAGGAAAGTCTTAAGCCTACTCTTAAATGTGGAGATGGTGTCTGCCTCCTGAACCCAAACTGGAACCTGGTTCCACAGGAGAGGAGCTTGATAGCTGAACGCTCTGGCCCCCATTCTACTTTAGGAGACTCTAGGAACCACAAGTAACCCTGCATTCTGGGAGCGCAGTGCTCTGGTGGGGTAGTAAGGTACTATGAGCTCTTTAAGATAAGATGGTGCCTGACCATTAAGAGCTTTGCAGGTGAGAAGAATGATTTTAAATTCTATTCTGGATTTTACTGGAAGCCAATGCAAAGAAGCTAAGACAGGAGAAATGTGATCTCTTTTCCTGGTTCCTGTCAGATCCATGTTGCAGCATTCTGGATCAGCAGAGGAGTCTTAATGGACTTTTTCAAGCAGCCTGATAATAAGGAATTGCAGTAATCCAGCCTAGAAGTAACAAATGCATGGACTAGTTTTTCCTGCATCATTTTTAGACAGGATGTTCCTGATTTTTGCAGTATTACGTAGGTGAAAAAAGGCGGTCCTTGAAATTTGCTTAATGTGAGACTTAAACGACATGTCCTGATCAAAGAACTCCAAGATTCCTCACAGTGGTGCTGGAGGCCAGGGCGATGCAATCAAGGTAAACTATATCTTTAGATAATGCTGAGTTTAACATTAGAAAATTACAGGTCATCCAGGTTTTAACATCCTGAAGGCACATTTGAAGTTTAGCTAACTGATGAGTTTCATCTGGCTTGATCGATAGCACTAAGATCTAATAAAACCAGTACAGAGACAAGTCCTTTGTCTGGTGCAATAAGGAGGTCCTTGGTAATTTTCACCAGTGCTGTCTCTGTGCTATGATGAACTCTAAATCCTGACTGAAAATCCTCAAATAAACTATTGCCATGTAGAAAGTCACACAGCTGTTTAGCAACTGCTTTCTCCAGGATCTTAGAGAGGAATGGAGGGTTTGATACAAGTCTATAGTTGGCTAAAACATCTGGATCAAGGTTGGGCTTTTTCAGAAGAGATTTAATTACAGCTACTTTAAAGTACTGTGGTACATAGCCTGTTGATAAAGATAGATTGATCATATCTAGTATAGAAGTGCTGACTAAGGGTAAAACTTCTTTAGGCATCCTAGTCGGATGGGGTCTAAGAGGCAGGTTGATGGTTTAGATGAAGAATTATTTAAGTTAGTTGGTAAAGATTGAGAGAAGCAAAGCAGTCTAAACATATCTGGTTTTATAGCCGTTTCTAAGGTTCCTGAGTTTGGAGATAAATCGGTGCCAGTTGAGGGCAGGTCTTGGTGAATTTTCTTTCTAATAGTTAGAATTTTATCAAGTCGTAACTACTGAGAGCTATGGGAATACTTGGCTCAATAGAGCTGTGACTCTCTGTCAGCCTGGCTACAGTGCTGAAAAGAAACCTGGGTTTGTTCTTATTTTCCTCTATTAATGACGAGTAGTACGCTGCCCTGGCATTACGGAGGGCCTTCCTATAAGTTTTAAGACTATCTTGCCAAATTAAACGAGAATTTTCCAGTTTGGTGGAACGCCAATTCCTCTCAAGTTTCCGCGACATTTGCTTTAATTTGCGAGTTTCAGTATTATACCATGGAGCTAGCAGTCTTTGTTTTATTATTTTCCGTTTTTAGAGGGTCTACAGAGTCGAGTATCATTCACAGCGAGCCTGCAGCACTAACAAGATGATCGACTTGGGAGGGACTGAAATTAGCATAGGAGTCCTCCGTTACTTTGTGACTTGATAATGAATTTAGATGATGGAATCGCATCCTTAAATTTAGCTACAGCACAATTAGACAGACATCTTGTATAGAAATTTTTGCCCAATTGGATGTAGTTCACCAATACAAACTCAAAAGTTATCAAACAGTGGTCAGATAAAGAGGGATTTTGTGGGAACACTATTAAATGTTCAGTTTCAATAACATATCAGAACAAGGTTGAGGGTGTGGTTAAAACAGTGAGTCGGTTCATGAACACTCTTAGAGAAGCCAATGGAATCTAACAGAGAGATAAACGCAGTACTGAAGCTGACAAAATAAATCAATATCATAATCTGATATTAGTTAATTTACTAGTACACCTTTAGAAGAGAGAGATCTGATGTTTAAGAGTCCACATTTAATTTTCCTATTCATTTGCACTATTGCTCTTGTGGTTTTTAATTTTTTATGCACAGCTCCTCTTCTATTTACCTTTGATTTAAATAATTTCGATGGTCGGGGGACAGACACCGTCACTATAAGGTTTTCACTAAGTAACTCCTGGAATGGAGGACCACAGAAGTGTGTTAGCCTGCGACTCTGCATAGGGTTTTGGGTGGGTAACTGCTGAAATAGAAGTTATTTCTAGAATTTCTAGAAATGAGAGCTGCTCCTTCACAAGTGGGATGGATGCCTTCTCTCCAAATCAGACCAGGTCTTCCCCAGAAAGTCTGCCAATGATCTACCAAGCCTACATCGTTTGGTTGGGTACAATCCAATCGAAGTGCTGTGTTCCACCAGATATCGCTTCAAAAAAGTAGCACAGATGTAAGATTAGGAACAATTCCCAGCATGAAGATGATCACTTGCAAAACAGCTGATGATTATTCATTCAGGCTGAAAACACACTTGCAGAGAGGAAAAGGAGAGGGGGGAAGGGGCAACACAAATGAAGTGATTTGGTTGGAAGGAAGATAAAGAAAGGGAAAGTTGCCTCAGGGCTCAGATCTGAGAAGATTCTCTCACCACCCACAGACCATAATACCCAAATGACACAAAAACTGGATCAGATATTTTTGGAAACCACATTACAGTGCGGTACACTGGGTTAGAATTCCCCTTTAAGAGAGTGCAATGATGTTTCAAATTAAGAGACAGTATGAGGAGGATTAGGGTTTGTTTGTTTTTTTTGGATCTAGAACAGCTTACAATAAAGCATGAAGATAAAGCTGCTACAACTGGCACAGAGACGAGACAAGCCCAGAACGTTCTGTACATAACTTTTAATGGACAAAAGTGGAATAATAATGATATTAATCTGAACTGCAGCAGGAGTGTCTACCTGAGTGAGAGCGAGTAGTCGTTCCGGCAGGTCTGGCTGTTCCTCACCAGGTAGGAGCTCTCCTTGCACAGAGTCAGCAGAGTCTCTGCCTCCGAGCGGCTCAGGGTTCCATGGTACCACCTGCAGGTGACCCGGAGGAAACATGACAAACAGTTTTACATCAATACATGAAGTCGATTCTTCTCCAAGTCTGTCTTCACCCTGTTTTGAGCCATGGTTTAAGTTACCACATTCCCTTACAATTTATCGCTTCATTTACCATAACCACCTAAATTTAACTTGAAACTGAAAAACACTGCTCCATGTATACATGCATACATTGAAATCACTTACTTTGAAATAGTTTTCTCTGAGTCTGCCGTCCTTGCAAACAGTAAAATAAATGTAAAGCTATATAACTAACACAGGATGTAAACAGTACATGAAGATGACAGCAGCCTAAATGTTAACTGCGTGTACTCATTTTATTCATTTCAGATTTTTAAGCAAAACCATGAAGATGTGTTGCAATAAAAAACAGACCAGAGCCAGGGGACACACCGTGTTAGACAGCTGTTAGACACAACAAGACAAAAAGCAACAAAATGAAGCACTGTCTTCATAAATACACTCCCAAAAGAAATGAAACCTGGCATTTTGTTCTGATCAATATAAGCAATTACCTCCATTAAAATCCAGTTTGTTCCAATGTTGTGAAAAATATCTTAGTGTCGCGCACACACACAGTAAGAATACACGGAAGGATCATGTATATTCATTCAAGTTATATACACTGTAGAGTTGTTTAAATTAAACATCTACCCAATTAAAAAATGGCTACCAATATCCGTTCTCACTCTACTGTTCTATGCCTTTGATTTTAATAAAATTCTCATTTTCCTTCATCTTTATTTTAGAGTTCCATTTCCTTTTGATTCTGTTTTCAAATATTATTCTAATGCATTTCTTCCATTTTTAGCCGTGGATGCTGATAACATATGGACTAATTTATGAGTTTTTAATCAAGCGGGAACCTCCAGATCTGAAAAGTGAAGCCGATGTGGAAATGCCTTAAAACTCGTTAAAACTGCATTTTTTCTAGTGGCCAGCAGGGGGTAACTCCACTAGTTGCAAAAAGTTGTCTGAATGTCGCTACCATAGCGACTTGTCAATTAGGATAGGATTACACTCACCTAAAGGATTATTAGGAACACCATCCTAATACTGTGTTTGACAGAACTGCCTTAATTCTACGTGGCATTGATTCAACAAGGTGCTGAAAGCATTCTTTAGAAATGTTGGCCCATATTGATAGGATAGCATCTTGCAGTTGATGGAGATTTGTGGGATGCACATCCAGGGCACGAAGCTCCCGTTCCACCACATCCCAAAGATGCTCTATTGGGTTGAGATCTGGTGACTGTGGGGGCCATTTTAGTACAGTGAACTCATTGTCATGTTCAAGAAACCAATTTGAAATGACTCGAGCTTTGTGACATGGTGCATTATCCTGCTGGAAGTAGCCATCAGAGGATGGGTACATGGTGGCCATACAGGGATGGACATGGTCAGAAACAATGTTCAGGTAGGCCGTGGCATTTAAACGATGCTCAATTGGCACTAAGGGGCCTAAAGTGTGCCAAGAAAACATCCCCCACACCATTACACCACCACCACCAGCCTGCACAGTGGTAACAAGGCATGATGGATCCATGTTCTCATTCTGTTTACGCCAAATTCTGACTCTACCATCTGAATGTCTCAACAGAAATCGAGACTCATCAGACCAGGCAACATGGTGAGCTCTTGCAAATTGTAGCCTCTTTTTCCTACTTGTAGTGGAGATGAGTGGTACCCAGTGGGGTCTTCTGCTGTTGTAGCCCATCCGCCTCAAGGTTGTGCGTGTTGTGGCTTCACAAATGCTTTGCTGCATACCTCGGTTGTAACAAGTGGTTATTTCAGTGATAGTTGCTCTTCTATCATCTTGAATCAGTCGGCCCATTCTCCTCTGTCCTCTAGCATCAACAAGGCATTTTCACCTACAGGACGTTTTTCCCTTTTCACACCATTCTTTGTAAACCCTAGAAATGGTTGTGCGTGAAAATCCCAGTAACTGAGCAGATTGTGAAATACTCAGACCGGCCCGTCTGGCACCAACAACCATGCCACGCTCAAAATTGCTTAAATCACCTTTCTTTCCCATTCTGACATTCAGTTTGGAGTTCAGGAGATTGTCTTGACCAGGACCACACCCCTAAATACATTGAAGCAACTGCCATGTGATTGGTTGATTAGATAATTGCATTAATGAGAAATTGAACAGATGTTCCTAATAATCCTTTAGGTGAGTGTATATCCGCTGCACTGTAAATTTGACCAGTGCCGCTGAATAATCTTATTTGGAGTCAGCTGTTCATTTTTCCCATAAGTACATTTTGTTTTGTACTAGCAAAAATTAGCATCCCGGTGAAGAGTTTAAGTGAAATGCACCTTGCTAACCAAGCTAGCTAGCGCCATCCTCTTGTCCAAATATGGTTACGTCTAATTCCAAAAAACCAAGATGGTGCAGACGTATATGACAAATTCGAGGCTTCAAAATGGCAGTCCACAAACCTGTGGGTGAGGCCATGATTACTACATCCACTTCTTTTATACAGTTTTTACCCAGGTGATTTTTTTTTTTTTTTATAAAGAAATCTTTATATTCTACTTTCAAGCAATCAAATCTGATTTAGGAGATTATGAAATACAGTGAGGAAAATAAGTATTTGAACACCCTGCTATTTTGCAAGTTCTCCCACTTAGATATCATGGAGGGGTCTGAAATTGTCATCGTAGGTGCATGTCCACTGTGAGAGACATAATCTAAAAGAAAAATCCAGAAATCACAATGTTGATTTTCTAACTATTTATTTGTATGATACAGCTGCAAATAAGTATTTGAACACCTGAGAAAATCAATGTTAATATTTGGTACAGTAGCCTTTGTTTGCAATTACAGAGGTCAAACGTTTCCTGTAGTTTTGCACCAGGTTTGCACACACTGCAGGAGGGATTTTGGCCACTCCTCACACAGATCTTCTCTAGATCAGTCAGGTTTCTGGGCTGTCGCTGAGAAACACGGAGTTTGATTCTCTATTGGGTTTAGGTCTGGAGACTGGCTAGGCACGCCAGAACCTTGATATGCTTCTTACAGAGCCACTCCTTGGTTATCCTGGCTGTGTGCTTCGGGTCATTGTCATGTTGGAAGACCCAGCCTCGACCCATCTTCAATGCTCTGAGGGAAGGAGGTTGTTCCCCAAAATCTCGCAATACATGGCCCCGGTCATCCTCTCCTTAATACAGTGCAGTCGCCCTGTCCCATGTGCAGAAAAACACCCTCAAAGCATGATGCTACCACCCCCATGCTTCACAGTAGGGATGGTGTTCTTGGGATGGTACTCATCATTCTTCTTCCTCCAAACACAGTTAGTGGAATTATGACCAAAAAGTTCTATTTTGGTCTCATCTGACCACATGACTTTCTCCCATGACTCCTCTGGATCATCCAAATGGTCATTGGCAAACTTAAGACGGGCCTTGACATGTGCTGGTTTAAGCATGGGAACCTTCCGTGCCATGCATGATTTCAAACCATGACATCTTAGTGTATTACCAACAGTAACCTTGGAAACGGTGGTCCCAGCTCTTTTCAGGTCATTGACCAGCTCCTCCCGTGTAGTTGTGGGCTGATTTCTCACCTTTCTTAGGATCATTGAGACCCCACGAGGTGAGATCTTGCATGGAGCCCCAGTCCGAAGGAGATTGACAGTCATGTTTAGCTTCTTCCATTTTCTAATGATTGCTCCAACAGTGGACCTTTTTTCACCAAGCTGCTTGGCAATTTCCCCGTAGCCCTTTCCAGCCTTGTGGAGGTGTACAATTTTGTCTCTAGTGTCTTTGGACAGCTCTTTGGTCTTGGCCATGTTAGTAGTTGGATTCTTACTGATTGTATGGGGTGGACAGGTGTCTTTATGCAGCCAACGACCTCAAACAGGTGCATCTAATTTAGGATAATAAATGGAGTGGAGGTGGACATTTTGAAGGCAGACTAACAGGTCTTTGAGAGTCAGAATTCTAGCTGATAGACAGGTGTTCAAATACTTATTTGCAGCTGTATCATACAAATAAATAGTTAAAAAAAATCATACATTGTGAGTTCTGGATTTTTTTTTAGATTATGTCTCTCACAGTGGACATGCACCTACGATGACAATTTCAGACCCCTCCATGATTTCTAAGTGGGAGAACTTGCAAAATAGCAGGGTGTTCAAATACTTATTTTCCTCACTGTAATATGAAATTGAAAGTGACTGAAATGAGTACAACCACTTGAAGCACTGGCATCTTTTAACATTGCAGCTATCTACTTACACTTGTCTCTCCAGTGGCAGAGATGGGTCCACTCTCTCTCCCAGGAGAGGAGGGGTGTCACCAACCAGATGGAGTGTAGTTGATTCAGTTGTTGTAGATGTAGTTCCCATCTTGGTGAGTTTGGTCTGCTCTGTCTGAGCTCTGGAGCGCTCCCTTTCTGCACCTTCAAACTGAACTATGGCCACACACAAAGATATAGTATGTTAGTAAAAAAAACAAAAAAAACACAACATTTGAGATGTACATACTGAGAATGCCAGTTTACCTGCTAGAGCTTTAGAGATGTTGTCCTTCTTCCATTCCCAGGGCTGGTCGTATTCATCCGCCGGCCTCTCATCATCCTGTGGCAGCCTGCTCTCCCTGCTGTCTATCTGGGTAAGTCCGCCCACAACCCTCTGAGTTTGTAGTTGTACTGGTGGAGCAGCTCGGTGGTAGTGACGTGTCCTCTCCTCGTACGGGTTATCATATAACTGGCCGCCATCTCCGCTCCCAGACCTGTTAGCCATCACGCTGTGCTGCAGTTCTGCACAGCAAACACAGTAAATGACTGTCAGCAGAATTTAAAGCTGGGGTAGGCAATGTTGTACAAACCTACCTAGAAGTCAAATAAAATCTGTTGTGCAAATCTTTTAGATCCCCGTCTGTTATGTCTTTTGTCAAATGCCAATGCAGTTCCACAACAATTACCTCAAAGTTGTTCTTTTTGTCTGCAACAAATCAAGTCCACAAAATAAAATCCCATCAAGGGAAAGTGCTTGGCCAGATGATGCTGACTCACATCCTTTCAGTTTCTAGTCAAGATAAAAAGTTGGTATACTGCCAGCTACATTTAGAAGACAACATGTACTGTATGACATCAAAAGGGCAAAGGACCAGCAATTGATGGTGGCTGTTAAGTTTAGAATAGGCTATTGTTTGACACTACATAAAAATACCTTTTATTAAGAGCTGAACTGACTAGTAAGAAAAATTATCCTTAGCTGACAAACCTGAGATGATCCGTTGAGCCTCAAATGGCTCCATGTAGCTGCAGCAGTCTGTTGGTGCGGATTTGGGCTCCCAGTTTGGTCTGCCTCTTGGGTCTGGCCGCACATCAAATGGATCAGAGTAATCCGTGTCAGCGTCGTTCGCTGCTGGGGCAGATGGAACCACCTTGGTAGGGAGCGACAATAAAAGAGCATCTCACAAGTAAGAGAGCTGGAAATATAACTGTGTGTGTATATCTATGTGTGTACGAGAGAAAATGAGTAAGTGAATGAGATCAAGAGAAAGCAAAAGATGAGTGACGTAGAACACTAATAGAAACACTTCTTACAGGTTCCTCTTCAACAGTCACAGGACTCAGGGGGACTTTACAGCGGCCAAACTCCTGAGAGTCCACTTTAATTAGTCTGTGCTTGGGAGACACCACTTTAACCTGGAACACATTGCATTCAATGTTGACTCAAAAATCACCACTACTTAATGCCAATAGGAAATCAAGGAGAAAAGACACAATGTACAATATAAAATTATTATTCACATACTTGACTGTAAAAACATGTATGTCATACCTCCACACCATTCGGCAGCACTGAACCAAATGCGGGGAAAGAGGGAAGGCTCACTGTGGCACTACAGGGGCTGAAACAGCCATTCTGATGCTCCTTTTCAGTGTGTTGGTAGGGGTCCTCAAAATCTAGCTCCTTCTGAGCTCTGTACGCCCTCAAAATCTCACTCTCACTGTAATCTGGCCTCGGAGGCTGCGGAGGCTCACGCCTAGTGCCAAAATTTAGGTAGTCCTTCAGCCACTTTGCCATGGATCTGGGAATTAAATGGCAAATATACAGTTTAGGACAATTTAGGAAGACAAAGTGAAACAATTAGTCAAAAATAAAGTTTGGACACGTGAGGTTTTTTTAATGGCATTTGTTTGTTTTTTTTTGCATTTTGCAACTTTAATGACCACAAACCGTCATAAAATATTGCTTCAAGGCTATAAAAGACGTACTCGACCTAACTAAACAATAAAGTTGCTTCCTTTAGATATATATGCATCACTGAAAACTGTAACCTTGAGTTGGGCCTATAAAATCTTTTAAGTAACGTTAAAACAGGCTCATGCTCACCATGAGGTTTTTGTTTACGTTAGCCACATTCAACTTGGCTAGAGCTGTTAAAACCCCAGAACAATTACCTGTGCCCCGAAGGAGAAAGGTGCTGACATCAATCAACAGGTCCGGCGAAAATAAGCTTAAGATTAAGAGCAGGATTAACATTGACAAAGTCAAACAGAGAGTTGCGTTTGATTGAACAGGTCAACGCTAGCAGGCGTGCTAAGTCAGCAAATCAATGGAGCCATCGACAATAGCTGGTTAGCATTTGAGGGTAAATTAGGGGGTTTCAATTAATTACTTAATCATAACAATATATTAAGGACAGCATTTCCTTCAAAACTATCAGCACCTAGATAAATACTTGGCTAATGCTGTTGTATTATTTATTATAAAAAGTAAAAGGTTAGAGGAATGTGAGTCGTACTACTTATGGCACCGCTATTTAAATATGCCAAAGCTAAGTTAGCAGCTAACGTCGAAGCTAAGCCGTTAACTAACGTTAACGTTCACCGCCAACATTACTACGTTAAGCTCACCCTCTTTCTTGGCATTGACGGCTTCCCGTTCCAGTTACGTCTTCCTGGTTACCATCCAGCTTTTCGTCTTGGCGTTATCAGGCTTAAACATAAAACACTGTCATCCGTGAAATCCACTTCAGCTTCTGGAGCCAAGCAGGTCAGTCAGCTAATGTTAGCTGGACCAGATCAGACCGTGGAGCACACGGTCTCCTCCGCCACAACACCAACACTCACTGGCACGGCGGACTGGAATTAAAGGGGAGTATCGAGACATATACGGTTGGTCGACACTAAAGCTTCACACATGATTGCTGCCAAATCCACAGATAGGATTGGGGCTGCAACTAACGATTCTTTTTCATTTTCGATAAATCTGTCTATTATTTTGTCGAGTAGTTCTTAGGTCCAGAAAATTGGGAAAAATGTAGATGACTACTTCCCAAAGCCCAAGGTGACATCCTCAAATGTGTTCAATTATATTCAGTTTACTGTTATAGAGGAGTAAAGAAACCAGAAAGTATTCACATTTGAGAAGCTGAAATCAGAGAATTTGGATGTTCTTTAAAAATGACTCATAGATTAATTGACTGTCAAAATTATTATTTTCATAAGGGTACTTGGTAAAATGGCAACCGATTTATTTATAAACTAATCGTTGCAGCTCTAGATACAATCATTTTTTCTCACTGTTGCAGTTCCAGTAATGTGAACAAAACAAGATTATCTTTTCACCAGCTCTCATTTACCTTTAAGACCTCGTCAACCTTTTAATTTGATCAAAGCTGTGATATATTTCCAATATCAAATGTCATGGATTTTATACATACTGTATTTAAATTAAACCCTGCCTTGTGTTCTAAGGAATGCTGAGGCAAACTAACAGTGGTGGGATATGATGGCAAACAGGTAGGCACTGATTTTAATGTCAGTGACTACAAGATGAGTCTTGGAGGGCACAGCTAACGCACTAGAACTAGTTAGACAATACAAGATTGGGTTAATGAAAACTATTAATAATACTAAGTTGATATTAAAATTCATATTACCACTTTAGACCATCCACAGTTCCATTCCAAATAAAGCAAACTCCATCTGCTGGTGAAGACTGTGCATTATGATCAAAGCTACAGAACAAGCAGTAAGTGAACCTTGAATTGAGACTGTTTTGCCCCCCTTCTGTTTCCAAGGTAAAAATCAACAATAAACCTATAAAAACAGAAACCCCACATATCTTAATATCGATACATTACATAAAAAACAGTATATCTATCAGCTCTAACAGAAATAAAACATCACATGAAATCACATTAATATTTACTGTCCAAAATGTTGAATTACATAAAATCAACATTATAAACTTATTATAAAGTTTTTAGATAATACTTGCTTTTCTGATCTAAATAAAGGGCAGACAGACAGCACCGAACTGATCCCAAATTAACATTTAAGATAATAAAATAGACACTTTGCAAGATGTCAAAATATGTCAAAGGACAAACACTTAAAAGTTAAACAGATTTTAATAAACACTAAAATATACACCTGATAGTATAGTTCTCCTCACACAAAAAAAAATCTAACATTACCATTTCTTCTAGGTTAAATACTTGGTAACAACATCCGTGAACCAGTGGATCAGCTAAGGAAGAGGATTTTATTTTCACTGGGCTTTGACAGCAGACAGTACCAATTCTGCTGAAAACTGCCCACCAACACGCTGACTTATTATCAGTCTTTATAGAAAGGTTTTTATAGGAGAGATCCACAAACTGGTTTATATATGATTTCTATCATTCATTACAAAAAGGTCCATATCATTAAATTCCTTTCTGCATTCTTCATACAATTGTGTGTCAGTCACTCAAATCAAAATCCATCCCAAGCATCTTCTTTTCATTCGCTGTCATAGCTGTCACTGTCTGAATACGCCCCCAGCAGGCTGAGAGATGACGACCCGTTTTGTGTGGCAACGGGCTTAGAGGCATTTTTGGAGTCTGCTGCAGATGCCTTTGAATCTGTAAAAAGAAGACACACAATGATTGTGCTTTCCAAATCATAAGCAAACTTTTGATTAAAGATATGAGCAAACAGCAAAAGATAGTTGTGTGTCCAAGAAAATAGAAATCTTAAAAACATACAAAAATCATAGGGACAAATACTGAACAATGTAAGGTTTCAGGAGTGTGTTGCTATAGAGGGCTTTCATATAAACTTAAAGAGAAACAAATCTGTTACCTGTTTGTGATGTGAGAACAGCAACAGCCGCCACTGGACTGTGTTTGTTTACAGCTGCTGCTGGTTTCTTTCGCACGACCAGGGACCCAAAGTGCTCCTCCTCCACCCAGCGTCCCCACACTCCTCTCCCAACTCTCCACCTTCGCTCTCTTCACTCCTCCAGCTGAGGTTCCCTGTGGTAACGCACAGCATGAGAAAATCCACTATTTCCTGCTCAGGGGAATGATTATTTGCATCTTTGTCTAAATTTTTAAGGCCTTTTACTCTTTGAACTGCATTTAAGAACAATTTGTAAAAACTGGTCTTAAAAAAGGCTATCAGTGTTTCCTCTAGGATCTTTTTCAGCAGCGGGGGGAGGACAAACAGCACCCCCATCCCACTAGATAAAGGTTTTCATGAAATTTCTTCAGCATCTTCTCAGTAATATTTCCATTTGTCTGGAACATCTGAGCTACTTTTCAGTTTCCAAGGGGCATTATCAACGGCATTATTGGTGCAGACCAAAAGCATCTGGACGCAATTGGATAGGCCTACTACCAATCAGAGTTGGGGCGGTGCTTGGGCCGTTTTCAAGCAGGAAAAATTAGCAGCCTGGTCACAAACTTTCTCAAAGTACAGCTACACAGTTTGCTAAAATATGTTTCTAAAAACATTTGAAGTAAAGTAAACGGAGCAGAATCTTGATTTATATGTGATCAGCGCTGCCTAGTTTAACAGCTTGATCAGGAGTTTCATGAGCCTGGTGAGATGTGCTGTACGGACCTGCAGACTGGACGCAAGTCCAGACCTACAACCAGTCAGAGCAGTGAAACTGGACGTGTGGTTTTTCACAACTGGACCGGTCATGCGCCTCTGTCAGTCATCGTATCAAACCCACTGCTGTGATTGGCCTGACCAGATCCAGGACAGGTGGAAATCTGTCTGATTGGGAGGAAGGCCAGGCGTATCTGTCTGGGCAAATTAAACATGAGCTCAGCAGGTCATGAGCACCTCAGATCTGGTTCCCAGGCTAGAGGTCTTTCATCCCCACATGAGATTTAAATTGCCTGGGATTTACAGGAAACGACGCACGCATGCAACCCAGTGTTTAATCTCATTAACATAAGGCTCGCTGTTTACTGCTCATTCTTCTAAAGCTTTATCAGTATCTTCAAGGTGAAATTCTCAGTAACAATACGCCCATGAACCAGCGTATCAGCTAAGGAAGATTAATAATTTTTTCACTGGGTTTCGACAGCAGACAATATAATTCCTGCTAATGACTGCCCACCAACACGTTGACTCCTAAAGCTGTTTCTGCTAAAGCTGCTAATCCAAACCCAATTTCCTACAGCTGCTCTTTCATATAAAATTGGTCAAATGGTGAAACATGGGGGGACTTTTATTATGAAGCAGTAAACCAATGTATTTGTCATAGAGATTAGAGCCGACAGCAATAGTTCATTCTCCAAACCAAGACGTGGTCGTATTCGGCCACTGTTTGACAGTGCATCAGTTTGAAACATTGCAGGAACAAGAATGAGTGGCAAGAGAGATGAGCTGTTAGGTGAAGAGTTGCAGTAAACAGGACTAAAATCTTGAGGATTATAACTTTAAATCGGATATAACAAACCATGACAAATATTTCAACCCAATCAATTCCAAGGCACTTTGTTCAACATGAGTGTTTCTTACGTACCGGTGCTTCTGTGGGTTTGTCCGTGGTGAGAATGTCTGTTGGTTTGTCTGTGCTGGCTTTCTTTGACTGCAAGCTGCTCCCCTCCTCCTCCTCCTTCTCTTCCTCTGAGTCAGAGTCTCTGAGTCTTTTCACAAGGGCACGATCCAACATCTCTCTGAGAAACAATTGACGTATTCAAATTTTATTAGGTTTTTAATAACTCTTGCTCAGAGTTCACACTGATTATAAGAAGAATACACGTGACAAATAACATATTCTGACACATAAGTAGAGATTAAAGTTCCTATTTATCTGTAGCATTAGTTATTTAGTCTTGTGTAGAGTTGGATTTTTTGAATGGTTTTTTTTTTTACAGAAATGTGAAATACACATTGTCTATTTAAACCTTCCTGACTTACTTTGTCTCTCGCTCATCCTCTTCTTTCTCTCTTTCCCTCTCTCTCTTCTCCATCTCTCTGTACCGGTCGATCATTCCCTCGAAGTCCACCTGAGCCTGTCTCTGGTTCAGCTCCTTCAGCTCCTGGAGGTTCTCCAGAACCTCCATCTCCATCTTGGAATCCTTTGTGCGGTTCTCCAATACCTGGCAGAAGATTGGGAAACCATCAGCTCTTCATTCCTATTTCCAAAACAATAACAGTACATGACATTTAAAACACAGACCTTCATGGGGTTGTTCAGTTCCTCTTCTTCCCTCTCCTGTTGCATTCTCTTCTGCTCCTCCTCAATCAGTTTCTCTGCCTGGAAGTTTCGTGTTGCTCCATGCTCCATTGCGTAGTCTGTGTTCTCCGGGTCAGTCTATAGTCACAACATCAGTTATGAAAGTGTGATAAATTATTTTATGCATAATGCTGGAGATGTCTGTTTCAGAAGGTAGCACAGATACAGTTGTATATTCACCTTTAGAGTACTTGTTTAGTCTCATTTCAATAAATATCACAGTGGCAAATGGAGCATCAAATACTCTCACCTTAAACGTAATCTCAGCGAGACACCGCGTACATTTGATGTAGAAACGGAAGATGGGCAGTCCCATGTAAAGCTCATTCTGAACAGTCTCTTTGCGTGCATTGAACTTCTTCCCCTTGTAGATGTACTCGCCACATGTTTTACACCTGCAAACAACCAGGGAGGCAATGCAGATGACACCACAGTCACAGGACTCATTTACAAAGGCCAGAGAGGCCTTGTCGCTAAGAGGTTCTGAGCCCCAAAAATCGACGACTTATGTTTGCCCTCAAAAGAAACAAACCAGCAAGTGATAACCTGAAATAAACCATGAACCATTTTCCAAGAAATCTTAACCAGATCCTTACGGTCTCTGACAACAGAAGCTTAACAAAATACCAGCTGCAATCTTATTCCTCTCCACTAGGTGCTTAAACCTATCCAGAATTAGAGCCAGACCAACAATATTGGTATGGCTGATATTTTTGACTAATTTGAGCTTGTAACAAATATATCAGAGTTTCTGTACATGATGGCCCATGAGTAACAAGAATTGGTGGTGTCCCCATTACATTGTTAGTACACTGTTGAGTGGACAAGTTTATTCTTGCTCGCAATTCTTCTGGCAGTAACCAAATTTAAGAAATCCTTATCGTACATGCTTGTTTATGTCATGTGTTTATATTTTAAAAAACGACATCAGCCAATAAACCTATCAAATATTGGCATTGGCCTCAAAATTAGATACCATTGATGTGGAAATACTTACAAAACCTGGGAACATGAATTGATATGTTCAAAGGTTTGGTGAAAACAGTGAAAATGAGCAACTAATACACAGGCAATTGACATCTGAAAGCAACTGAAAAAAATCAAAGAACTGCCTCCTCCATTATTACCAGATAATTATTTCCCCAAGAGAGCAAGAAAAGCAGATACTATTTAAATCTGTCCCTCCTCTCATATAAACTACTATTCATTCAATTCAAATATCTACAGAGACCCTATATGTAAATGTAGATATGTGACAACTGCACTAAGTTGTTTATGTTTAACCCTGTAATGGAAACTCCATCATGTCCATCCAGCTGTGTGACAATAAAATAAAGTGGACATGACATAATAGATGAAACAGACATACCTCATATTGAATGGAGCCATCAATCTGACCACATACTGACGGTCTTTTGGGAGTTTAAGTTTTGGGATTTTGGATGGATCAAAATCCGGGGGGTAGTATTTCTGTGGAGGACAAAACACAGATGTGGTTACTGAAAAGCCTGAAATTGTAATGAAACTAGTAAGTTAGTAACAATGGAGTTTGATTTCTACATATATTATTCTTTGCTAATAACATTAACGTACATACTGTGACTGTAACTGCAACAATTTGACTATGAAATGTTTAATGTTATCATCGCTAGTAATAAAACCACAATTAGCTTCAAAGCTAAAGTTAGCGTGCTTGGTAACACAACACGGATAACTGTTTTAAACGCTGCTAACAGAGACACGCCGTTAGCGTTCACATACTTACATTCAACACTTTTCTTTCGGACATTGTTGCTTTTACTGAAAACTCAACGTGGAGAATGAAACGTTGGAATAATTAGATTAAGGGATATTTCCACGACACTGCTAGCTGCTTGGAGGATGCACTCTAAACTTCCGGTTGTCTCAATCTTAGTTTCCCGTGCTTCAAAGCGCGCTGCAGCCCCCCCGCGGCAGGCGAGAGTGCCTACAATAATAGCCGATTTTATTTTCCTAATGGCATAAAACACTGCAAAATACAGGAGGACAAGGATGTGATAAAATATCTAGAGACAATTACAGCTAAGTTAAAGTAAACATCATTTATGGAATAATACAGATAGATAGATAGATAGACAAACAGACAGACAGACACACACACGCACACACACACACACACACACACATTAAAATAGGTTTAAATTAAATAAAACAAGGCACAGTACTAGTTTATGATCAGCAATACAAATTGTATGTTGTTGACAAAAGATCAAAGTGCGGTGAACCCAAACCACAGAGGGAATGTCAGAAAATGTTACAACCAGCCAAATGTTTTAGGGCACGACAGGCACTATACTGAATCAGTGTGAAACAATAATACACAGCAGTTCTAGAAATAAGTACACTAGCTGTCTTTAATGCATTTGGTTCAATCATGGTTTAAGTTAAAAGTATATATAAGTAATATTTATTCATGCAAAATCTCCATGCGCATTGCTGTATTTGTGTCAGTTACTTATAATTTTAAACCATAACCACTATGAAACCTAATGTCACCATTATAAAAATCAATTGCACCGTACAGTACATTGAATGGACACTTATGTTTTTTTTCTATTCACTTTTATACACATGGTATAAAAAATGTCTTCATCTTATTCTTTTGTGGTGTCATTTGTCACATCTCAAGTCACTGAGTGAGCCAGTGAGTGATCGATCTTTAGGCTATGGTCCTGTAATGAGATCCCAAGGCATCTGTCATGACATGCGTGATATAATTTAAGTGCAATGTAAGTGTATGAACATGGTGACAGATCTTGTTTTTGTGTATATTTTTTTATTTTGTGTAGACACCCCAAAACCAGACCGCAAAATATATTTCCCCATTGTTTTACCCAACCCAAAGGTTGGGGCTTTATATATTGACTGCTGCCCTCATTTTGCTGTCTGCCTTAGATTTCGTCTCTTTCAGGAGACACAGGAGAAGATTGTGATCAACACGGTGGAGGAATGGCCTCTCAGGGTAACATGAATTGTCAGTGACATGGGGTCTCTGACAGGGTTGGTGTGTAAACGAATGTCTGCTAGCCACACACACATGTACATTGCTTAGGGGGCGGTTAAGGTTAGTCCTACAAAAGGAAATTGGATCCTGATTACAGATTGGTGTCAATGTGGGTTAACCTGCAGGACTGATTTCTGCTTTATTGAACAGAGGTGACAGTAGAAGATAGGCAGAATAGATTAGCAGCAAAACATGGAGTGAAAAAGAGAATGATGTTTTAGATACAACCTAACTGCGTCATTTCTCATTTGAATTTGACAGATTCAGATTCACAGTTTTGTCCAGTGATGGTTGCTCTAGTGACTTCTCAGCCTGATTATGACACTTCAAAATGACTCAGATATATGAGTCAAATAGATCTTTAACTAATAAGGCTACACTTGCATACAATAGGCCACAGATTAAGATAAGATTTAAAAAACAGACCAGTTTGAAAGGAAAATGAGTTTGATCCCCATTCTGCCACTAGATTACTTTATCAAAGATGTGTATTTATGAAATGTAAATCCAACTTTAACCACATTTGATTTTATCTGGTCAGGTCTCTTCCTGTGATCACCCAAAGATACAGAGGTGCTGAGTAGTGTCACCGGTGTCAAAAATGTTCATGAATATTTCAGAAGCTGGCTGATGTCAACAGCAGCTGTAAAGCGCCTATAAAGAGGATGTCCTCTGTACAGGAGACCTCCAAACCCTCCTCACGTCCAGGCAGCCTCCGCAGATTTCCCACTCTTCTCCACCCGCCGAAGAGAAGGACTCCTCCCGCCTGTGTTTCAGCACCATGGTCAGCGCTCGGACTCTCCTCCTCGCGGCCACCTGCTGCTGCACCTACCTGTGGCTCGCTCATGCTGAAGACTCCTCACTGGAGACGCGCTCATTGGATTTCCCCCTGAAAACCCAACAAGAGAAAGACCTGGTGAGAGTCTTTTTTAAAGGGTGTGAAATGTGTCAGCTGGATGAATGAAGGTTGTTGGTGCTTTGTATGACCGTCGATATGGTATTTAAATTGTTCGGGAAAGTGACTCTTACAAAACGATTAATATATAAACGCCAAAGAAAGACTGAAAGTTACTGCATGAGTTGTTGAGCTTTTAACTTCAATAAATCCCCACCAAATGATTTTTATGGCCTAATTTCTTTAATGACAATATACTGTCTTGACATTTTCTTTCGCTGCAGATTGACGCGTTGCAGGAAGTTTTGGAGAAACTGAGGAGCAAAGAGATGCCCTTAGAGAAAAAGCTTGGCTGGCTGCCTTCGGTATGTACACCAAATTAAAATGTGTGACTTTATCAGCACAATTATACTAACTATAAACTTGTTATGATAGAATCATTTTGGAGATGTGATTTGTGGTTTCTCGGATCACATAAGACGATGGTTTTACCTCGTTTAAATAACAAGCATTTCTGATTTTTTCTGACTATGACTTTGGGAAGTCTGTTCTTCTCGTTAGGTCTAATCAAGAAAATGAAGAATACAAACAGTATCCGCATTTTCATGCGTTGGTGTTCTTCTCATTCCAGTGTGACGCAGGGGAGCCGTGCGCCGTGCGTAAAGGCGCGCGAATCGGCACTCTGTGCAGCTGTCCCCGGGGAACTTCCTGTAACTTTTATGTTCTCAAATGTTTGTGAAGAAAGAAGATAACAGAAATACAAGAAAACACCGGGGAGAGTATAGGAGGGCTGGACTGACAACATCAGTTGTCATTCTCCTTGTAACAAAATTAAAAACGCAATGTAATGTGTGATTAATAATATTATTAAAGGACGCTTTTCTTTTATAAACTCGGACTGTTAAATGTTAGATTATAGGTTTTCAATAGAGCTGATGGTCTGTGTGCAGCTGTCTCTTTTTGTCAGTGTTTATCAAATTTTTTTTTTTCGCTTTGTTTGTTGTTGTTCCTGTTATGGGGGAAATAATGAAGCTATCATGGCATCAGTTTCTAAACACATTTGTAAGATAAGGAAGTCAATAAATCAACTAAGTTATATACAATTGTCTGTGTGTCTGTTATAGGCTACCATTAAAAAAGAAAAAAACATCACCTCATTTGTAGCTTATTCGCAGCTGGGTTTTCCCCCTAAACATCACCTGTTGGTAATTTGATAATATGATTTATTTTTTTAATTTTAAATGACTAAAACACTTAAGCGAACACAAAAAGGAAAAATATATTGATTCCTTTTGCCACGTGTCATCAATAATTCAGCCCCTTCCCACACTATAACTAATGCACTGCCGCTCTCCAGCACACCAGCTGTCATCTCTCTGTAATAAAAGGCGCTGTCAGGCTTTTTCAATGACATCACATCCAACTGCAAGTTTCCAACATGGCGTCCAGCCGGGTGCTGGAGAGGGAGGTCCAGGACGAGCCGAGGCGCGCTGCGACTGCAAACTCCGACTTCTGCCCCCACAAATACTCCCTGCTCATCATTATCGGACGGACCGCTCACCTCAGGCAGGCAGGACACATCACCGGGGAGATTGAACGCGGTACGTTTTTTTGTTTGTTTGTTTTTGCTACCCGCTATTGCTATTCTCTACATTCGCATAAAAATCAGATGCCTGCAAGTTCTCGCCGCCTAAATAATCAGAGAGGATGCCACTCTGACCCTTTTGCAGTGTTTATGTAATTTTATCCCTGCTGACCGAGGATGCGTCATCGGGCGCTACTCCACCATCAGCATCACCTCACCCCTCTGGGCACATTATAATTAAAAGCAGTCTGGAGCGGGTGGCTTATCTTTCGCCTCGTTATGTTAGGTGAAGCTTTTGGGGAAATGTTGCAGGGCGGTTATTCAGTCAACACATTGCCACTTGTGAACGATGTGCCATTAACCTTTGTGTGTTTATGTACAGCAGAAACCGTGGAGACTGTAGGCAGTAGACAGCGCATGGCAAGCTATAATTACAGGCTGTGGGAGTGCAACTATAGATGTATATGGTATATATGAGTGCATCCAATTTATGTAAACAACAAACAGCATAGCGGCTGTAGTTAGGCCTAGAACTGGATGACAGATACAGAGAGAAATAAAGACAGAGACATATTTTAAATTTTCATCAGGCCTATCAACATTTCATCACTGGTAAAAACCATGTAGGCCTACTTCCAAAATGTCAGCTTTTCACAAGCTATGAAGTATTCAAGCATTGCAATTTGTTTTTTAAAGGTGCATGTAGCTTAAAATGAGAAGTAAAAATCACCAAATTTGGAGACTTTCACTCAGTTTTGTTTATTACATGTTGTATTATACTTTCTGTGACCACTCTATTACATCTGTACCATCTAAAGCAATCCGGTTTAACAGCTCTGCCATGAATTCTTCTTTTATGAAGGATTTTCTTTGTTTTTGTTGACACTGTCAGCAAGTGAATATTCAACTTTAGGTTTATTTAGTAGTACATTTTCACTAAAATAATTCTTATTTTGTACACGTTTGTATGGATGCACAACAGCCATTATTGCAACATGTCTTTTAATGCTTTGTGAAATGAGTACCTGCAGCAATTATTTTTTGCACATTACAATTTCACACTTATTTGTTTTGTAAGTATTTGGACAATTGTGTGCATGTTGGTTATGAGAGAGTAAAACCATTAGTTGCCCCATGTGACCATGTGTGACCATCTTTTATGTCTCCAGGTATTCGGTCATGGGACGTTGACTTAAATTCCTGTAATTTAAACCTCTATCTCCAAGAATTTCTTTCCCATCACACTGCGTCTTTCAAGGGTTCAGGTAGGTAACAGTGTGTTTATTTGACCCCTTGCCCAAACTCTTTGACCCTTTATCACACAGAAAGCCCTGTCCCCATGGCAACTCATCAGTTTGGCTGGCCTGGGGTAAATGAGGAAGGAAGGAAGGAAAGTGGAGGAGCAGCCGGGGAATTGTTAAACATGGGTGGACCCTTTGGACAGAAAACAATAGAGGCCTGCAACCAAGCCGTGCCACCTCTCGTTCTGCATGTGTTACAGCCTTTCAGTATGCAGAGCCAAGGACAACCAGGGAAAATGGTAAAAAGGCAGAAAAACATCATAGTCAGAGACAGTCATGTTACAGCTGAACTGTGAAGTGAGGTGATGAACACAGACAGGAACAAAATGGCAGCCAGAAAGGTTGCCTGTATGTGATAAATACTACAGTGTAGTGAATTCTGAATAGGGGTTGCGATGGCGCAGTGGATAGTGTGTGTCCCTGAGCAAGACATTTAACCCCTAACTGCTCCAGAGGCGTGGGACCTCTGACATAGGCCTATGTAGCAATTGTAAGTCGCTTTGGATAAAAGTGTCAGCTAAAATGACAAATTAATACAGTATAGAGCTTATTATTTTGGATGTCTGGATTTTGAAAAATGGAGGGATTTTACATTTTATAAGAGACTTGAAGAAATAGTTTTTGGCAGTACGCTTAGAGTTAGATGATAACATTGATACCTTTACGTTAAATATGTAGCTGGAGCAAACAACTAGTTAGCTTATAGCGTAGCATAAAGACTGGGAACAGGGAGAAACAGCTTGCCTGGCTCAGTCCAAAAGTAAGAAAATCAGTTGACCAGTACCTCTAAAGTTGACTGATTAACACATTAGGCTATATATTATTTGTTTAATGTGTTCAAAAACTGAAGTGTTACACAAACTCCACACATAAAGTTAGTAAGTAAACTTTATTTATAATGCGCTTTTTTAAAATCAGAGTAACAAGGTGCTGTACAATGCTCATCATTTTTACATTTAGTTTTTTGTATGAATTAAAAAATTAGATATAACATGTTAATTGGTGAACTTTAAAGACTGAAAGGCAGATTTTGTTGCCTTTGGACCGAACCAGGCTAGCTGTTCCCCCCTGTTTCCAGTCTTTATGCTAAGCTAAGCTATTCGGCTTCTAGCTCTAGCTTCATGTTTAGCGTAACGACATGAGAGAGGTATTGATCTTCTGATGTTTAAGATTTGGACTTGCACATGCCGCTGTATCACCTTTTGAAATGCATAAAAATGTGAAGATCTGTATGTCAGTAGCCAATAGCAGTGAGGAATGGCTATCATTTTCTATTTTTCTAGTTAGCTCTGTATCCTCAAACAATGATCCAGTTCCCCTCAGACTGGATATTGACTGAGATTGAGTTAATTTGGCATCTCATCCTCAGACAGTCTCTCTGACTCAGCTGTTCCACTCTTCTTCCTTCCTCTTTTCTGCTCAGGGAGTCTATCACCCACTCGGTTATCCCAACTGACTTTTTCATTGACCTCTTTGAGTTCCCCTCCTGCTTCTGGCCTCTCACTCACTGCTCAGATCCATCGGTGTGTTTCCTAACTCCCTCAGCACTCAGACTTTCCCTATCCCTTGTTTGCTTCCCCTTGGCTGCCTGTCCTTCTCTTTCTATCTTTTTTTTTTTCTTTCTGCCTCCTCAGGGCACAAGTGTCTGCGCCACAGCACCAGAGTGTTGGACACTCAGGTGCTGATCAGTCCATCTCAGGAACAGGTTTGTTCAGAGGTGAGGGCATAAATCCTGTTTCCTTCAGAGATACACAAAGTTCTTGGAAGATAGTTGTCCAAGCCAGGTGCTGTAACGATGCAGGGATGAAGGTTTTTATTTTTTATCATAGTTTTGAATGATAAAATCAATTAAAATGATTTTTTTTAAAAATGAGGTCTTGAAACAAAGCTGGGAATATTATTTTAATGTTTTGCTGATATAATGATATAAAGCAGATAAATCAGTAAATAGTCCCATTTAAGAAGCAGTTGACACCAAATTTAAGAAGCTGTTAAAACCAAATGGTAGGTATTTTGGCTTGTAAAGTGACCCAAACGTGAGTAATAAATAATCAAAATAGTTGTAAAATTACTTCTATGCTGATTGAGCTCAAAAGTATACTCTGTGTTATTAGATTTTTCTCTCTCCTATTATTTTTTACTTTATTCTCTAATGTTATTATTTTACTTTTAGTTATGGGTTATTTGATTAAATGACATTGAGAAATGAACTATCTTTGCTTCTCTGGCCTGGCCAGGTGTTGGCTCTGCTGTCCAGGGAATCAGCCCATAAGCTGTTGGTCTTGGCTGGCCAGAGCGTGGAGGACAGTGGAGACCTGCTGTTTCACAGAGGACTGTTCTCACCACAGCAACTGAAACAAATACTGACGGAACAGGTACGACAATGTCTCTCTCTATTTTCTGTGCCAGTAAATGTTCAGCTGTTTAATAGATTCATATAATTGAACATCTGTAAATTCAGGCACATTTTAGAGGTGAAACTAAGAATTATTTTCACTATAGATTAATCTGCTGATTGCTGATTATTTTCTTGATCCTTTGGTCTATTAAATGGCAGAAAGGTGTGGGAAAATGTCCATTCCATCTTCCCAGAGCCCGATGTAACATCTTCAAATTGCATGTTTTATCTGACCAGCAGTCCAAAACCCGAAGATATTCAATTTACAATAATATAAAAAAGATAAAATCAGCAAAGGTTCACAATTAAGCATCTAGGACCACCAAAGTTTTTACAATTTTGCTTGAGAAATCACTTAAATGATGAATTGATTATCAACATTTTTTCCAATTTATTATCTATTGATTGACTAATCTTTGAATTGTTTCAGCTCTGGCTGATTATACTGCTAAACTCATACGTCATCATCAGCTTTTGCTTTAAATGTAAAAATAAATGTATAATTTTTGAGTCATATACTGATATTGATATTTGAGAGTTTATACTTAGTGGATCATTTTACAGTTGAAAAAAAAACTTGTCAGTGCTGTCCACTGGACTAACTATGCAATGTAGACACTCTTTTTATAGTACCTTAACCATATCGTTGACATTTTTTTACCTAATTTCTGGATCCTTATCAGCCAACTTATATGTTGTTACAAAATGTCTATAATATTGGCACAGCTAATTTTATTGTTTGGCCTCAAAAGTTAAATTGTTGCAAAACAAACAGTAGGCTAAAAAACAGCTTTATGATGTATGCTAACAAAATGTTCTGTCTTTAGTTCATAGATCAAGACAGCTCTGCCTCCAAAGTCAGTCTAACTGTCAGCTGTCCCAACATTGGCCAGTGGAGGAAGACACTCTTGGGAAACCAGCCTCTGCAGGGTCCTTTCAGTCTGCACATCAATCCCCCAGAGGTGCTGCCTGCCATGGAGGCCCTGGGGGAATTCACCTCCCTCATCTCTGGTACCCTTTCCCCTCCATCTCCCTTTGACCTCTTGCCTCCTCCCACCACTATTGGTTTTCTCAAGCTGTCCCGCCCGTGCTGCTATGTGTTCCCTGCCGGCCGCGGTGACTGTGCCTTTTTTGCTGTGAACGGGTTCACGGTGCTTGTAGACGGCGGCTCAGACTCTCAGGCGTGTTTCTGGAAGCTGGTCCGCCACCTCGACCGAGTTGATGCAGTTTTGTTGACGCACATTGGGACAGAGAACCTGCATGGGGTCAACACCTTCCTGGAGAGGAAGGTGGCTGAGTTGGAGCTGAGGTCTGATAACAAAGGCAAGAATTCATGGCCTGGCATTGCCAGACTAATTCGCAAATATGTATTATGAAACATAATGAGATTGAGTTTTCTTTGTAGTGCATGTGCTTCTCTGTGTCTCTATATTCTTTTGTCTCAACAGATGACTCGTCTAAGAGGCTCATCTCCCCAGAGCTTGGAGTAGTGTTCTTTAACGCCCCCGGCAGGTTGCAGGTGGAAGAACAGCCTTGTGAGTGATGCATTTAAACGTACTGTAGTACAGTACTGAATAAGATATGACTGAGCAGGCAATATAGGATAGAATGTCTCCTGTTAATCAAATACATGTATATTAATGTGCACACACACACACACACTTATGTACATTTGCAATGCATAAGTCAATGGGCAGAACACCAGACCTATTTGAATCTCTGAACAAATCAGAGTTAAACAGACTACATTACCACCAACAACTGTTTATATGCATTACTGCCCTCTGCAGTTGGTAGGAATGTGTATGGCTTCACCTGTGTGCATATGTGTGTTCATAATTGTCTTTGTGTGTATGTGCTATTAGAGCACGAGACACAAAGAAAATGGGGCCCCACTCATCGAAATACTATACAATAATAGCTCAACTAGTGGTCTAAAACCCAAGAGATTCCCCTAGTCATGGGGTAATAACCAGTTATGTAGGGACCCCAGCTAGATTTCTAATGTGAGTGACTGTTATCAAGTAAAGTTATCATTCTTCTCATGGTAGGTGTGGACAATGTATTGAAGAGCACACACCAGGCGGCCCTGACCCTACAATTGTTAAAGAAGTTGGACATCAGACCACAGCCTTTGTTTCGCCCGCTAGGGGTTCCCATTGAGCCGTTAACCCTGTTCCAGAAGATGGGAGTGGGACAGTTGGATTTATACATCCTCAACCCCAGCAAAAACAGTCAGGAGTACCAGACATTCATGGAAAACTGGCCCGATGAAGCGTCATCAGCACCTAAATCCCAAACTCTCCCTCTCACCGCCCTGGCCTCAGTGTCCGCCCTGCTTGTGTGGCACCCAGCGTGTCCCCAGGAGAAGGTGGTCAGGGTGCTGTTCCCTGGTCTTACCCCACAGGCAAAGCTGCTGCAGGGGATGGAGAAGCTGAAGGGGCTGGCCTTCCTCCAGAAACCCACGGTGACCACCGGGGACCTGGAGAGGCTGCAGGAGGATAGAAAGGCCAAGAGGACAGAGAGCCAGGACAGTGGCAGGTCACAGGGGAAGGAATCAACAGGCAAACATGGAAAAGAGAGGGGAGAGGGAAAGGAAATACTGGTAAGGGAAAAGGGAAAAGTATTCAATGGAGTCAGTACAAGAGATGCCGATAAAACCAGAATCAAAGAGACAGGTGCAAAGCAAAAAGGAGCATCGTCAGAAAAGAATACTTCAAAGAAAGGAGGGGGGAAGGATAGGAAAAAGGATGAGAAGCCTGGCACTAAAGAGGAGAATAGTGCTATGAGGAATGACCAGGGGAAAAAGGATGTTTTCTCTTCCAAACCAAAGAATGAAAATAAAACTAAGCTAAAAAAAGACACAAAAAATGACTCTAAAACTGGGGTGAAGAAAACAAGAAAACCATCAGGAAAGGAGGGAAATAATGGCAAGAAGGCACATGTAAACACTGAACTGCCAAATAACAATTCAAACAAACCCAACGCTGGGCATGAGTCAGAAGGCCTTGAAATAGAGCAGCAGAATCAAAATCCTGAGAAAGAGTCTCCCTGTGGCTCCAAAATGTCTACCCCTGAGGATATGACGGCTGATTTTCTCAGGCTGCGGGAGGAAACTGAAAGAGAAGTGGTGCAGGTGGAAACAGCAGATAAAGGAGAGCAGAAAAGCAGTGAGTCGGGCAATGAAAAGAGCCTTGAAGGTTTGAACAAAGAGACAAGTAATGAAGCTGCTGAGACAGCTTCAGGGGAAGAAGCAGCAGGTAGCGCAGTGATAATGGGAGGAGAAGGTGGGGATAATGGAGTCCAAGACAAGGCTTGGTGGACTGAAGAGAAAGCTGGTGTAGACCTGCAGAAAGCACCTGTGGGCCAGCCTGCAAATGCTGCCAAACCAGTAAAGGTTGTAGGATTTCCAACTCCCTTGAACAAGGCGCCAAAGAACGAGCCCACAGTCCAGCTAGATGTAACCCCGACTGAATACACTCTCCTGGATGGGGCTTTGAGAAACAGCCCTCCCTCGCGATCTTCTCCAGAGAACCAGGCCCCTGTCAGCCTTGATGAGGAGACCATAGAGCCTGCCTCCCCTGATTCACGGCCCAACAGTGCAGGCCACACTCCTTACTGTCTGTCCCCAGATGATGTGTGGTGCAACAGGGCCACTCTCAGCAGATTACAAGCCCAGATGGGTAACTTAGAGTCAGCTGATGCCAACCAGCCAAATGGATCATCCAAACAAAGTGAGGGGCAGCTATGCCCGCCCAAAAGCACTCCAGAGAGCCACACAAGAGAGAAGCAACTCAGTTTCCTCTCTTTGGGTACATTTAAAGATGGATCTTCAGACCCTTCTCCCTCTGTTGCTACCACCACTACACACTCCATGCCAGCAGAAGTGGGCTCACCACAGTCCACAGAAGTAGATGAATCACTATCCATGTCCTTAGAGCAGGGACCAACCACTGTGAGCCAGAGAGAGGGGGATGACAGTGTTCATAACTCCCACTCCAATGGAGGCCATTTTGTGGGGATGTCTTTGCCAATGAAGAAGCCCCCAAGATCTCTAGGGCAGGCTTCAGAGATGGGGCGGCCTCCAGCCCCAAACATACTTAATTTTGAGGTGTCAGCTCATGATGTGGATTTATGTCTGGTTTCACCCTGTGAATTCAAGCATTTTAAACCACCTGACTCCAGCTCAGGTGGAAGCGAGCCCTCCAGAGGAACCTTTGCTTCACATCATCACGGCAACAACAACCTCAAAGACATGTCGCCCAGTGAGTCAAACGCCCCCGTCTGCACGGAGGACTGCCCGTCCACCACAGCAGATGGAGCTCTGGACTCAGACGAGGATGAGTCGGGTAGTGAGCCATCTAACTCCCCACACGACCTCCGGACCAGTCAAGCTCTGCCCCAGGATCCTCTACCAGCCCCTCTCAGGGACAGTCCACCCCTGCCCCCACATCCCGACGCTTCCATGCCCGTTCCTCAGTCTGACTCCGATGCTCATGGGAAGAGAGCAAAGGCCACTGGCATGCGAGGGAAAAAAACACCAGCGGTAAGTTTGTCTTATTAGCATTGAAGTAAAGGATGTCTGTGTACTGTGGTGCATGTGGTCATGTGTGTATTCAGGCTAGATGTTTCTTTAATATACATTTTATTTTGGCTGCAATCAAGCCATAGCATCCCTCTGCCAGAAGTGCTAGGAATCATAAAGCTATTGCATTGTGTCCTCTTGAAGTATTTAGTCCTGGTCACTGTTGAAAAGTTGAATCTGTTTTAGAAAACCATAAGCTACAGAAATAACATTAAAATATATTTGACATTTTGACATATTACAGTTTTAACTATAGGTCAGGCCCTCAGCAGGCCGTTTTTTGCTAAAAAATGTTAATTAAAATCTAGAAAATATAATTAGCTTCCAGTACAAAAAAACATATAAAGAAGAGAAAGGACATGCAAGAAAATATTTCAAGGCACAAATCTAAGATATAAAGCAAAGCAAGCAAACAATTCTGTTATTAAACTGGCAACAACAATAGGTATGTATGCATCCCTCTCCAACAATCTGAGCATTCGTAAAAATCCTGTAATCCTGTAAATTGTAAAGTCCTCAAAGACATTTTGAATATCTTGATTACTTTTTAATATAATTCATACTAAACATTAAGTTATATATTTGCCAAGTTATTATGGTTATGAGGATAACAGTACTGTTTATTTATGGCTGGTGTAAAATATAATAATAACTCTTGTATATCATTTTGCTTTTTTGTTATCAGGTTATTGAGGCTTTCCCAAGATCAGGCTCAGGGAAAAGCAGGACAGGGAGCCAAAGTGGAGTGGGAATGGGGAATGTCTCTTCTACTTGTACACCTTCCTCTAGCACCCGCTCAGCACCAGCAAAATCTTCACCCAATCCAGGTATGAGGTGTAAAATGTAAATGATACAAAATACTGTCAATTTTTCAGATACTTCTTTCTTTGTGTACTTTGTAGACTCAAGTGTGTCCACTGATTTCTGTTGAATTGGTGTCTTTCACACCACAGTTTCTCCTCTCTCTCTCGTCTTTCACAGGCTCTAAGTCTCCCTCTGTTGGTGAAGTCAGCGTGTACGTGGACCTGGCCTATATTCCCTCTGCAGCCTCCTCTGCAACAGTCAACGTGGACTTCTTCAGATGCATTCGCTCCTCCTGTTACATCATCAGCGGCGACAGCCCAGAGAGAGAAGAGCTAATGAGGCATACACTGGATGCACTACTGGATGGCAAGATATCCTGGCCTGACACTATGCAGGTAGAAACACACACACACACACACACACACACACACACACACACACACAATTAGATTTAGCAATTAGCCTACTTAAAGAAAGAAAATAATTGTTATAGTTATTGAAAAAGAACAATGATTGTTGTCTTTGTTTATCATGGTTTAAACAATTTTGCTAGCAACAACTTCATTCAACAGCTCCCATTATCTTATGATAGCATAGCTATGGCTAAGAGTAAAGGGAACTGTAGTTGCTGAATGCTAACAAAGTCATCTTTATTTATCTTAGTAAAAATGACAAAGTACTCAATTTTATTGTCCATTTAAAATCCAAAATGTTATTAATTGGCTTTTCAGAAACACATAAGAGCCGTACTGTTGCTAAATAAGTAATGAAATGACAGCTGGAGACATGCCCTGATATATCAGAGGTCCCCATGCTTTTTCTGCAGATACTTTTTCTCAGTTTTAATTTCCTAGCCTTTTCTCTGGATCTCCAGGTGACAGTGATCCCTACCTTTGAGTCGGTACCGATGCAGGAGTGGTACCAGCAGACCCTGGACAGACAAAGGGAGATGGGCATCACCGTGCTGGGATCCAACAGTACCGTCGCCATGCAGGATGAAACCTTTCCTGCCTGCAAGATAGAGTTTTGAGGCAGACTTCGGGATGCAGCAATGGAGGACGGAGGGTGAAGATAGGCTGAAAGATGGCAATGTGTATGTGATAAAAAAAAGAGCCAGGGCTTAAAGTGTGACAGAAATATAAAGTTAGAAAGAAAGATTATGGGGAAACAAAGGGACTATATGGCCCCTTTCCGCATGAAAACAACTGAGTGGGTAATGACATGGGACGTTCACCCATCCCCTCCTGCTTAATCACTTCTTTGTTGGCTACTTTTGCTCCAAAAGAGAACACACATTCCGGTGAGAGTATTGCATGCATTTTTAGACCCATGACCCTGTGCAATACAGGAGAGGAGATCACACTGGTTGCAAGAAAAGCATGTCGGGCAGCAAACATGTGGATGCACATGAAAGCTGATGTTGTAGATTAGTCAGTATAGTTAGTATATGTGGGATTAAAGGCACTATGTGCAGGCTTGTTTTCTTAACACAGCACTGAGGCATGATAGTCTGTGCTATGATTAAGGGCCCATTTTGCTGCTTCTAATTGCAACATTTAACAGTAGAAATGAAAAAGGAATCCAGAGATTATTCCGCAAATACTACTCCAGATACTCCCAAAATGCAAGATTGTGTGTTTATGAAAGCATTGGTCGCTTTGCATTCTGTTTCCTAAAATTATATTTGCGTGATTAGCACAGAAAATGTCAATATCATAAAAAGAGAGTCTTTCAATGAACTCACATTCACAGTGAGTGGTCAGGTGTTTGGTGTGAACGGTGTAAGCAGACATGAGGTGAGCTGTGTGTGTGTATGTGTTGTAAAAGTATCATGCCACTGTGGCTTCACTGACCTTGAAATCTCTGCAGAGCAAACTGACCTGTGACGTATCTGATGTTAGTGAGTGATAATTGCCTGCTGATTGTGAGATTACTGTATCTGAGTGTGTAAAGACAAATCTGTCAGCAGGGATTAGAGTGCCAGATTAAATGTAATAGCATTACAGCAATCATTTTAGTAATTACATGCTAATCAGATATCAGACAGCAAATGCATTGGTAGAAATAGATGTTAACATCTTATTATTAAAAAAAACCCACATTAAATCAAAGTGATGACATGCATTTTGATTGTGGATATGATGCATATGATTATATAGTTAATTGGAGAAATATATTTTGCACATAAAATCATGTTTAGTAACAGTGGGTGGTAATGACATCTTTCCAAGTTATGGTTTGTAAATCACGCTACTCAATAACTGTAACTAAATTGTACACAGTAACATTTTAATTTATGCGACCAAAATGTCAGCATAATTTCCTAGAAAGTTTCCTGGAATCATTTGGAAGTATAGGGAGTACATTTCCCAATAATAAATTTCTAATAAATGAACATTTACTCTGGTTTAAATGGAGCAGTTCCTTCTGCAAATATACAACTGCTTCCACTTCTCACAACACAACTAAACTAACCCCACTCTATTTTCCCTGGTATTAAAGTTCAATGCACTTTTCCAAGACTTCCCAGGAAATTACAGATCACAGTAATTTAAAGCACTTTGTACCATAGCAAAGCAATTGACAATATGTAATTTAATGGATTACATCATGATCTCTCCAGACCTATCTGTCCATTGTTTTTCCTTTTTGTTTCCTTTTGTCCCAGTCTGGATGTCAAGGAATGGATGTCCTATTCTGGCAAGATATAACTACTGTAAATCATGACTGATTATCCGTGTTGCTGTTTTGCCTTTAAATGGATTAGTTTGCAGAAATGAGAATGTGGCATATAGAGTTTCCTAAATGACAAAGCATGCAATCACATCTGACCAGTTTCCCCTCTGTCTGAATGCCTATATACAGAAAAAAATGTCATTTTGATTCAGCATTGCTAAATACTAAAAGCTATTTTGTAATTATATATATGCAATGTTAAATATAAACTGTTAAACAGTTATCACAGACTTGTACTATCCTTGTTTTATTTTGTGCAATCATCTTAATTAATTTAATAACTTTTAGTCCCCCACCCCCACGCACACACACACACCCCTCCAATGTTTTACACACATTTGTCTTTTTTTTTGTAAAAGGCTGTCAGATCTCATGATTCATTTGGATTGGAGGGTTGACCTAGTTCTGTAATCATGGATATAGCAACTACTTGAACCCCACAGTAGCAAAGTGAGTTGTAACTATGTGTATGTGTCCCGCATGTATAAAATGCTGTATGTAGGCCTACTGTATGTTGTTTCATTCATGATATTCATGAAGACAGAGAGCAAAGGCTGTGGGAGATTGGAGGCAGTGTGGGATGGTGGGATGAACACTGATGAACCTTTCGCTTAGTTGTTGTCTGTAAGTACGTACAGTGACAAAATGTGTGGGTTGTTGAGCCGTGATCAATGTATGAATAAAGAATGTGCATCATCATTCAAAGGTGTCTATTGAGAGACATGGAAATATCCACTGCTTATTGGATTTAAGAAGGCATATCAGGTGATGAGGGAGGATGTGGCCTGAGGAGATCAACACCCTAATTGAAGGTGTGCATAATTATTAGGAAGCTTCTTTTCCTCAGTCAAAATGGGCCAAAAAAGGGATTTAACTGACACTGAAAAATCTAAAATTGTAAAATGCCTTTCAGATGCAATACTGAAATAGCCAAACTTTCGAGGCATGACCACCGGACAATCAAACGTTTTGTTGCTAATAGTAAACTGGTGCGCAAAAAGCCGAAATAGGCAAAAACACATAGATTGAGAACACCAAATAGCCTACTACGCTCTCAGAAATACTGAGAGATTAATCAAGAAACCCTCGCATATGTCACTGCAGTCGTATCAAGGAATGCTAGCCAACTTCTAAATTTAATATTGATGACTCTAAACGTTCATAAAATATAACTAGACTTCTGGCAGTTTCTCCTGTCGTGCCGAAAAGTGATCGTCCGCCGAAAACAGCATTTTATGAATTGTATTGGCCATTTAAAGGTATTTTAACAGGTAAAAAAGAGATTGGATTGGTTGGTAGCCCTACACAGCAAGAAAAATCATAAAGGAGTCATAAAGATAATTGCAAAAGTGTCTTCATTTTATATCTAAGTCGGCAGTAAGTCATGTTAATTATAGCCTATAGTCCGTTTTCCAAATATAAACAAAGATATTAGACATACAATCAACGTATTTTGTCGTTTAGGTAGCCTATGCTATAATGACGAATCGCAGCCCGATAGCATAAGTTTGCATTTGCTTAAGACATAGGCCTAGCCTATAGACTACCCTACACTGGGCCTAAACAAACAAACAAACAAACATTAATAGGCTATAGCTAGGCGACATCCATCCTTTTATGTTTATTAAGATATAAATGATCTTTGGTAATTTCTGCTTGTAGGCCTAATGGAGTATTTTTCCTAGGTTGCTACTTTTTAAGTGGTTAACTGGATGAAAAACAGGTTAACTAAGTAAGTCAAACAGTGCTTGAAGTGGATACAAAAGAATCATAAACATTCATCATCCTTAGCAACTAGTCCAAAGTTTGCTCTAGCGCGTCGCCTTTTCTTAATGTCCCGCCCCAGCCAGGCTGTGATTGGTCGGATCACGAAAAGCGACCACCCGATTTTCTCCCTACTCTGGGCAGCAGAACTGGCCCTTTCATGCACCTGCCCACTCAACTCCAAGCACTGCTCATAAACATAATGAAAGGTTTATCAGGTTCTCACCTTCAGTTAGCTTTCTTATTAGCCTATATAGGAACTTGCTTCATTCCAGAATCCTACTGCCCTCCCTTACCTTACCTTAGGGCAGGCATAGGCTTCTAAAGGATGGACACACCCAAAGAGCTTGCCATGTAGGTTAATACCAAAGGTGGTTTCATTTTTGTTCTTACCCTCGACGAAGACACTAACTCAACCACAGCGACCTGCTGCTTTTTACCACAGCTCCTCTTCTACTTCAGGTGAGTTTGATAACATTTAACAAGCCTATCGACTGTATATCAAGATGAAACACGTCTGTGTCGTAGGTCCGGTTTTTATGATCGATCATTTATTGAGCTACATTTGTAGGTTTAAGGGGTTAAAACAGTTTGTTAAATATATATTTGACAACACGTTCTGCTTTGTTAGGTTAAAGAAAGAAAAACTGAAAATGAAAACACGCCGCCTCTCCTGGGAGAGCGGGGTAATTTGAGCATATGGGGAAGTTGAGCCACAAATTGTTTCTAGAAACCTTAGACAAAAATGGTCATGTGACCACACATTTTTAAGAGTACTCCTTTTTACTCACCCTGTGATGCAGAGAAGCCCATGGAAAAAGTGATGAGCACATTTAAGTAAAATAAAATCTATGAAATTAAATATTGTGAACTGGCATTTGAGTTGGCATGACAAAATGCCTTGATGTCCCAGACACCCATGTGGCTCAACTTATTCTCTCCCTTGGCTTAAGCCTCATTGGAGGCAAGTTCAGTCAAGAGACCAGACAACTCCTAGTTCAGTGTTCTAACATCCGCAAACGGCAACTCACACAATCACAACTAGAGATTGATGAGGTACAACAAATATGAACTCATTGTTTCGAGGCAACATAACATCCCAGGCAAGGGGGAACCACAACGATTTTACATTTTTATTTTATAAAAAGGGTTGAATATCGAAATTTCAATATATTGAAATCACCAAATATTGAGATTACTTTTTTAAAAGACTGTATTTAAGACTCTAACATAATATCTATTCATAGTTTTACCTCCTCAGGTCTGTTTGGACAGTCTGCCTTCAGTCATGTCTGCAGTCACATCCAGACTGTCTAAACATCAGCACAAGATGCTGCTCTCTCTCCTCGGTCATGTCAGACTCCACCTGCTCTACAAAGCCAGCATCCACGGCTTCACTGCTGTGGCTTTCCACAACCGCTGTGACAAACAAGGGCCCACTGTCATCGTCGCTTACAACGCTGCTGGATTTGTCTTTGGGGCTTACACCTCTAAAGACTACACCCAGAGCGAGCAGAATGTTAGTGACGAAGAGGCCTTCCTCTACAGCATCAATGCAGAGGGGACAAAAACACTGAGGGTGGCAGGTATCGGCCGAGAGTGCGCTTTCACCGATGGAAAAAACGGTCCGGATTATGGTGCTTTGGTGTTCTTGTGTGAAAACAAACCTGAGATCAAGTCTGCCCCAGGGACAAGATTCAACTTTCAGAATGCAGAGTTGCATGGAGAAGACTTGACACTGACTGAGTTTGAAGTGTATCGAGTTGAAGGTGTGTAACGATAAGCACTTTCTCGTATCAAATATAAATTGTATATTTTGACTACACACTCTGAGACAACCTTTTAAGCACATAATTGGTCTTTTTATTCTGAATTATAACTTTATTAGAATATTTAGGTAAAATGGCATTGTTTTGTCAAAGTGGTGTTGAATGAATACATTTGATCATGCCATCATGTTACAATAAATATTTATATTTATTCATATTTTCCTCATGCAGGCTTCGGAGATCTCCTGGCCAAACCCTGGAGGAATGTCCAGTGGACTGCGGAGTATGTAGAAGTCTTTGGCAACTTTTGCCACAACGAAACTCATTTAAAAGTTGTAACTCAAGTAATACTAGATCAAAGAACAAAGTGTCCAAACCCAAAATGTAATGCCCTAATCTGTAATTGCCTGAAATTCATCAATTGGTGCCCCTTACTTCTCAATGATGACACCTTTTATCAATCATGTCACCTAACTTTACTTTAAAAAGTAGTTTGTCTTGTTTTTCTCAACTTCTAGTGGTTTAACTCACCTTGTTGCAGTGATGTAGAAGAGTGTGAAGGTGCACTGTGACATCAGTTAGCTGTGGTTAGGGGTGCAACTGACTTGAAATGTTCAAACTTTCTACATTAAACACACCCGTTAAACTAATCCTGTGCAGCAAACCTGTGATTGTCGTCTGTATTGTTTCTTTTCCCTCTAGGAGAAAGCAGCAGTTGATGCAGGCCATTCAGAGCTATAAGCCAGACATTAAAACAGTTCATCAAGCCCGGGTGTTGTTGGTGGGACCTGTCGGGGCCGGCAAGTCCAGTTTCTTCAACTCCATCAACTCATTGTTTCGAGGCAACATGACATCCCAGGCCATTGCGGGTACAGCAGGAAGGAGTGTGACCAGTCAGGTACTGGCACAACTTTTAGTCTTTGTGATACTCCGCTGTAGGGTTGGGCGATCTGACAGTAGAAATGTGTCAACTGGTAGAGATTTGGCAATACTCTTTCCACCACAGGAGCTACCCCTTAGTGTTAGTGATGTGTCAGTCTATTTTAACTGAACAATTTTTAAATGACTGTAGTTTTTCATTAGTGGTGTGTTATTTTAAAGAAAGTGGAATAGTTATTCTTGACATATCTCACTTTTTAACCATCAGTATGACTGTATTAGTATACATTATGAATATTGTCTGAATCTTGCATATTTGTTTCTTGCAACCAATAAGAAAGTAACTTAGTCAGCGACCAGCAGGTAGTCCTAAATGAAGAGCCATTTGGGAGCTGAAAGAGCCGGCTTTTATTACTGAGAACATCCAAATGGTCTGGCTCACTAAAAAGAGCTGCTTGTAATATAAATAAAAAACTGTCTGATTATGCAGTTTGTCCCATTAAATTACATTTCATGTCTCTCGTAGTTCCGCACCTACACCATCAAGGCAGGGAAAGGCGGTGGAGCCATTCCTCTGATCCTGTGTGACACAATGGGGTTGGAGGAAAAGGATGATGCTGGTTTGGACATTGAGGACTTAGTCAACATCTACAAGGGTCACATAAAAGATCGCTACCAGGTCGCCTACCTAACTAATCACCTACGTCTTAATGTAACTGATTTAGTGGATAAGAATGTAAGATATATATGCCCATAACAAATTAATCTGCCTCTGCTTTATTTGTTCCTCAGTTCAGTCCATCCAATCCTCTCCTGGCGGATGCTCCCGGCTATAAGAAGAAAGTGACTCTGAACGACAGGATTCACTGTGTGGTTTATGTGGTCGACACCTGCAAGGTCTCTCTCCTCTCCCAAAAAATGCTGGATAAGTTTGCAGCCATCCGGAAAAAGACCAACCAGCTGGGTTAGCAGTATTATAATGTTATTTTCAGAAGAGTTCCACCATTTCACTGTGTATATCTTATAATATTTGTTACTTTATATGTTATATTTATTGTAATATTGCAGACATTTCTAATTTGTGACACCAACTGAGACCAGTAAACATAACTTTTCTTTATGTACACCAATTATTTCCTCTGTTTCAATCTCTCTCTACTTCTGATCCCTTATAGGAATTCCTCAGATTCTGCTGATGACTAAAGTAGATGAGGCCTGTCCGCTGGTGGCAGAAGACCTAAAGAATGTTTATCGCAGTGTTTATATCCAGAAGAAGGTAACTTACAGACCTATACTAATGTCCTCCTCAAGATCATCATGTTAAGAAATCATTGGTAACAATGATGCTGTAATCACTGAGGTGGAAACTTGTTTTGGTATTGATAACTTAATCCCTGTACATTTATATCACTCTCTTTCAGGCCCGGGACTTGAGTGAGTCTCTGGGCATCCCTTTGTCCTTTGTGCTGCCATTGAAGAACTACAATGAGGAGCTGGAACTGAACCAGGACACTGACATACTGCTGTTGACTGCTGTGGAGCAGATGCTGAACTACGCAGACAGCTTCTTTGAGGACCAAGAGCCGAGTGATCAGCTGGAGCTCTACAGATCCAATGATCCTCTCTGCCCAAACCTTATTAATTCAAACTAACCAGTCAGTTGATCAAATATATTAGAATACTCACTCACTCACTCAATACTCACAACTCTCGTGCTCCGATAGCTAACATAACAACAACAGCATGTCTTGGAAACGAGAAAGCAAGCTGAAATTCGGTGGCAATTAATTTACCATTACCTGACACACAAATCATGGCTGGATGGGCAGGAATAGTGTTGTCTGAGCCGCTTAGTTTGTTTCCCGTTTACAGAGAAAGGGCTGTGTACGACACCGGATTTATTCAGTGCACACACAGAATGGAAAGCTAGTGGACCTTGAGGAGATAGGAGTTTGACAGAAAGACAAGTATTGAATTAGAAAAGCATATCCCACCTATAAATAAAATGTGTTATTCGAGCTGAGTAAAGAAGAAGCGCTAGTGAATGGACCCTTAGGTGATATTATTTTAAGAGAGACTGCTCTTGTTGTTAAAGCTACCGGAAGTACATGCACATTTGTGGGTCATCCAACTCTTCTTTAGCTTAAGTAACTTTTTTTGGACAGTACACATTTGTTTCTTCTATCATTAAATTGCATTGCATGTTTTCTTATTGTGCAAATAAACCTTTCTCAAACCATTTTCGTTTCTTAGTTAACATTTCTTGGTGCAAGCTATTTTTCAGAAATGTTTTAACAAATCATGCTTTAAAAATGTGATGGGGACAAAATCAGCGATTTTAAAAAGTGGTGGGGACATGTCCCCAGCATCCCCAGTTTAAATGACACCTATATGCTTCAAATTCCTGTCACTTTCACTTTTACAATAGTGGGAAGGTTATTTAAACTTTTCTCTCCCTCAATCAGCCACAAGATGTCAGCCATAATTTCATAATCACTGGTGTTCAGTTATGGAAACCGGAGGTGTTGAGAAAAGATGAGAAGCTCATGTTGCACAACTGCATCTTGTCCAACATATTCAAGAGGTTGGTTTTTAAGTAGATGATTTAATTGATCATATATTTGTAAGCACTAAATGCCACAGATCACCAGTCAGAATGACAAAGCAAAAGTGTTTAATGTTACTGAGTTACTAAGTGTTACTTTCATGTTGTGTAAAATCATAACACAGTGTAACCACACAAACAATCCAGCAGTCCACATGACAAAGAGGGACGTTGGATTTCTTCGGAGCCAATTGCAAAACTCGGGTAGTTTCGGTGCCGCCCTCCTCTCAGCTCCGGTATAAAGAGTGTGTCGTAACGTTGCCAGCAACAAACTCTCCTGCAGAGACTGGAGACGCTTAGGGAATATTCAAACCACCGGACTACTGTCACGCGTTTCTCACTGGGTTTCATTTTTGATTTGCAAACATGATTCCAGAGGAAAGCTTTGGGTCCATCGAGAACAGGTGAGAGATTTCTTGCTTGGTTTTCTGCACTCTAGCGGTAGCCTAGTTGTAAGGCTGTCTGAGCGATGTGGATGGAAATCATGCTGGGCAGGAATGCATTTAGTCCTTTGACCCTTGCATTGCCCGGACTGTTGAGGCCGGTGAAGTAAAATCATACGTCGAGCTTGGATTTACGCTTTCATCCGGCTGCAGAGCAGAATATTAAAGCACGAAATACTCTATATGCCAATGCCAGAACAGTTACCATCTTTGTAAACAGTTTGACAACATATACGCAACTAATACAACTTTAAAAGTTCTTGCATAAATTATTTTTGATTTCATATGCATGCGTATTGCACAAGCTGCAGGAAGGCTCTGTGGGCTATATAAAATATTTAAATTAGACTTAAAGACTCTTTATTTTATCGGAGCTACATGCAGCATAGCTGGTGAACATGGCTGTTGATTTGACTGGAGTATGTATTAATGACGTCTGATAGCTTTAATTCGGACTTTTCTGGATTTTCTTATTACTTAGGTATTCTAACAACATTTATGAAATTGATTGATGCAATAATGGACCCATTTAGCAGCAGATGTATGACATGACCAGTGTTTATTTTTATTTCAGAATACAAAAGGTTAATTGTTCCTACTTTCCCTCTCAGGATGCAGTCTGTAGGTCTGGCTCTGGAGGAGTTGCTGGTGACAGCTCAGAAACAAGACTGCTTGACCATTGGTATCTATGAATCCGCTAAACTTCTTAATGTGTGAGTTGAGCCAATTGAGGTTGGCAATTAAGTTTAAGTTTGGGTTCACAGTGCCTATAATGTTTACAGCACACAAGTATGTGCATCTCTACATTTCAGAAAATAACTTTGCTCAGCTTAACCATCCCAGATGTGGGACTGCAGGTGTCTAAAAGTCATCCTTTTCTCTTTCCTCCTCAGAGACCCAGACAGTGTGGTCCTGTGTGTTCTGGCAGCTGACGATGCAAACGACGTGGCGCTGCAGATACACTTCACCCTGCTACAGTCCTTCTGTTGTGACAGTGGCCTAACCATCCTGCGAGTCTCAGGAGTTCAGCGGCTCCAGCAGCTGCTGGGTGCTGTGGATGCCAACAGAAACCAGGAAGAGCACGGAGACCTCCACTGCATGCTGGTTACGGTGTGTTGATTCAGCACAATCTTATATAAATGAAGGGCCAATGTGGGAAATGTATTATTACAGAGTATTTCATGCAGTAGCTAAAATGTTGCTTCATACTCTTGGCAGTATCTGAGTGAACTGCTTTCTACAGATCAAATATACCTTTAAAGCCTGAACATGAATTTGATGTTGTGTTTGTTTCCCGTGCAGAACCTCCAGGCCAATCACTGTAGGCTACAAGAAGTGGGGACCTACTGCCAGGAGAGCCGACGCCTTAACCAGTGGGTGCCTGAACTAGTCCTGCAGGAACGGTGAAGGGTCTGGCACCCACATACACCAACAAACACAGGAGCTTCCTGGATTCACATACTGATGAACTGAAGAATCTGTTGTTGCTCACTCAGGGATGGCCCAGAGTGATCTCGGGCAGGCGGGCTGTCCTGACTGATGACGAGCAGAAACCAAAGACTTCCCTTCAGTGACTAGTGAAACAGTCAAGAGTTGAGACTGGTTAACAAAATCTGTTTTGTGCAAAAGATACAGACCGAAAAGCAGATTCCCAACCAGGCCACATTATTTTTACATTGTCAGTAAAACTAGATTAAGCTTCTATTTTGTGCTTCTGTTTGGGTACTCAACAATGTTTATGGGGTGTGACAATCACAAGAGTACTAGTAGTATTGACAGAAACATGTCCACACCCTGACTTTTACCTGAGAGACCAGTCTGATTCTGTGAACTGGACAGGAATGCTGTAATGAAACTGTGCCCAACATTCCTGTGTATTCTGACATGGGAGAGTCCTTGGAGAGAACGTGTGTGTAAATGCGTGGTATGCTTTTACAATACACGGATCTTTCTTTAGAAAAGACTGGGCGTGCAGCGTGTGCATTCTTGAAATGAGCAGCTGAACCTGTGGAAGAATTGTCACCATGGAAACTGAAATTGAAATGATGTCCAAGTAAAGTCACGCAGGATTTATTGGCCAAAGACAATTGCAAAAGGGTTGCAGAACTTGATGTTTTTGGTCAAAGGGAGATACAGGATAGACAATATAATGAACTGTGTGTGGCTGTAAATTCTTATTGTGCTGCAAAAGAAACCTCAGTCAATATCTTTGTGCTTTTTTTTTAAGAGCGCTGCTTTGTTGACAAAATGCTGTTAAACTAATACAGTGCTACTGCAGTAATTTATTGATTGTATCAGTTGTTTGTGTAGCTATTTATGGTCTAATTTTGTGCTCTGTTAAATGAGTCAATAAATTATTGTATTCATAATTGACTGCTTTATCAAGTTTCTGCTCAAATTTCAAAACAAAAGCCATGTATGCGTCACGGAACTGGAACTATAGCTGAGTGACGCAACTACAGTTTACATTCGGGGCAGGGGGTGCACTAAGGGCAAAGTCTGTGTAGACATAGGGCCTTACAAATTGTCTGGAAAGCTTTCTTGTAGTAAACATCAGTCAGAGGGAGAAACTGGGGTGGAAAGAGAAACTCTTTGTGGCTGGGGGGAAAAAAGCAGGCAAAACAAGTTGATGCAGTCTTAATGTCACTACAAGTCAACAAGCAGTGAAAAAGTCACCTGCTAAATTGTTTGACTTAATTTCTAAACCCTTTGCATTCTACTTTTGTACATGCTTTATGCCATTCTGCAGTTAATCCTGCAAATGCATGTTCAAGAACCAAAGCATGTGAAAATTAGTCTTGGGTAACCCCACCCATGCTACGGTATCGCCACATAATCAGGTAGCAAGATATTCCTGCAACACAGTGCAAGTGTTGCAGGAACATCCCCTCTGCCCTCCTTTACCTCTGTTTTGCTCACTGCTCCACCCTCTGCTCTCACATGTCGGTACACAGCTTGGGCTGCAGAGCAGAAGAGGGGGAACATTCGGGTTACCCTAAATATGATTGGCTTTGACTTGCAAAGGGGTGAGGCGGGGCACTGGTTTGAACTTGGAGAGGACTTGTGACTGTCGAAGCAGTGCTTCAAAGGGCACATAGACCAAGGCCTTGTAACAGTGTCTTTCCTGTCAAATGACCCAAATGGGAGGATTTAGCCTACTTAGCTGTGCCCTTAGTTTACTCTGGTTTTCATCTTTGTATTGCACACTATGTCAAATAGGCATGTGTGTGAGAAAAATCCAGACCCTCCTACACAGACAGCACAAAAATAAAACAGAAAATGAAATCAATAAACTGGATCTAATAATAAGAGGTAAGAGTCTACGGCCACGCTGGCAAGCGGCTTTGTGAGACTCTACTTATGCCGTGTTCATGTCATATCAGAGTTATTGTAATTATGATTTTCTGACATGTAAATAACATTCAAGTTAACTTTCAAATAATTAAGACTGGGAAACACTAATATATCCGGCTTTGCGCAAACTAATGAGTGCCAGAAAACCAAACGATGACCTCACATTCGCCAATGGCTGTCATTCAAACCATATTTAATGGATATGGTGTTACTTTGTCAGTGTGCAGCATTTTAATCCTTACATGGTCAATACTGTTATATGTTTAACAGCAATATTTACCATCTTCTTTATCTTCATCTTAGTTGAGCATGTTAGCATGCTAACCATAGTTAGAAGTAAACACAAAACTCAGCGGAGGCTGATGGGAATAGCATTAGTTTTCCAGGTATTTAGTCATAAACCCTTGGACAAATTAAAATTTTGACCATATGATGGTGCTCATAAAGGGTGACATGAATATGTCTATCAAATGACAGTTAACTTTCATTTGTGCATTTGTGTGGTCTAGACCTCAAATGTCCTCATGGTGACCCAAGTAATTAGGATTCGTCTTCTGGGAACCATGAAGTCATAAAAACAATTCATGGCAATTCATCCAATAGTCGATGAGATATTTCAATTAAAAGCAAAACTCTTGACCTATTGGTGGCACTAAAGGAAAAGTCAGGGGATCCTCAAGGTTGTTAGTATTCATCCTCTGGGAATCATGAATTTGTTCATCTGTTTTTCATTCACTGGCATTGCCAACCATGAAATAAAAATTACAAAAGAGCATGTGTTATTATATCATCTTTTTAATAATGTTATCTACTTCTCAATATCATCTTTTTAACAGCAATATCCACAAAATATTAACAGTGTGCAAGAAAACATGAGTTATGGCACATCAGAGAACAGTTACAAAAAATAGATATATTTTCTTTATAATTAATCAAGGCAAAAAGATACATATACTGTATGCATACACAGGAGATCAGAACACAAAAGATGACTCTCGGGAAGGGCTCAGAGCCGATTGTGATTTCAAAGTCCACAAGTGAGGAGCGCCAACTCTCCCCACCTGACCAGAAATTAATTTCATGAATTTCACCGGGCTCGCATTGTGTCACAACACCAGTGGATTTCCATCCCGAGCCATGTGTTACTACTTCAGCACTGTTCATTCTGTTGATCTGATAACCCCCTAGATCAGCATTAAAACAATATACGCCACAATAAGGCAAACTAACAACCAACCAATCAGTCAGACAAACTGCCAGCCAAAAGCGGGTTCAAGCCAGCTGTCTCTGATTGTAAGCCCAACCAGCTATGGAATGATTGAAAAAACAATAATGGTAAAATGTAGCATCTGTCAGACATCTCCAGGACAACAGCAGTGTGTGTACGTGTGTGCGCTGATATGTATGCATGTTTATTAAGTGTGAATCTTTTGCAGTTGTTTGACTTCAGCTGCACTTTGCAAGAAATTAAAAAGAACTGCCAATCCTTACCCAAACACTAACAAAGAATTTGTTTTTAACTCAGTCTTACAATAGTTCAGATTCTGGGAAAAGCAAACTTATCCCAGTTCAGTCACTTCCTAACTGTCACTGCAGTTTGTATTTAGGTTTGTATTATTATATTTCTTCAGCTGGCTCCTTATTTTTATTTTCATGAAAGGTCACCAGTCATATCAGCCTCCATGAAGTCTAACAATTTCTTCAATTATTTCTTCAGATTAAACAAGGAATGTATTTAATTTAAAGGAATAGTTTGACATTTTGGGAAATAGTCTTGCTGAGAGTTTGATGAGAAGATAGATACTACTCTCACATCTGTTTGCTAAATACAAGCCAGCACCTTAGCTTAGCATAAAGACTAGAAACACGCTGAAACAGCTAGCCTAGCTCTTTATAGAGAGCCTAAGTGAAACTAAAACTTCCGAATTCCTGTAAGTCTCTATAGCAAAAGTGGTGAAAATAAACAGCTAATGTACTGTAGCTAAGTCAGGCACAGATAAAGCTAAACAGAAAAATCTTGCATCTCGTTCATTACATGAAAAATAGCCTCCCACACTTCAACTGAATATTTTTAGCTTGTGGAAGATCCTCTTTTACTCTTGACCAGAATATGCACACTAACCTCCGACTGACAAAAAGAGTGAATGGAGATCATACATGCTGTTCTGCCTCACACCGTGTCACATGACCTCTCCTCCGGTCAGACTCACCCTGACCTAGAATTGCAGTGCTGCAGTACTATAACACTACTATGTGAACACTTGGCACTGGAGGCACTGTGTGTTTGTACACACTGTGTCTCTCACAAATACACCCTCACACATACACACACACACACACACACACACACACACACACACACACACACACACACACACATACCTCTACTTTATCTTTTCTGCCTACTGCTCTGCCAAATCATTCTTTTAGCTACCAAACACTAGCACCAGACACCCCACACACACCCACACCCTCAGCCCTCTCTAGAGCCTTTCTCCAGCTCCTGCTCTCTCTGTGCTTTGGGAACGGCCTGCTCCCTCTGTTTGGAACAAATGCAAATGAGAGATAATGCAGGGCTGTTAATTAATGATCATACCTTGATTTGAATTGTAAAGCTTTTTAAAAATAAATTGTTTTCACATCATAGGACATATGCTTATTCACTATCTTGCCAAGAGTTAGATGAGAACATTCATATCACTCTCATGACTGTATAGCCAGCAGCTGGTTAGCATAGCTTAGCATAAAGACTGGAAATGGAGAAACATAAAACCTGGCTCTGTAAAATGTGACAAAATCAGCCTACCCACACCTCTAAAGCTTGACTTCCCTCACTGATTAAACAAATGAGATGTACCATGTTAATTAGGTGCTGGTAGGTTGATTTTCATACCTTTGAACAGAGCCAGGCTAGCTGTTTCCCCCTTGTTTCTAGTCATTATCCTAAGCTAAGTTAACCAACTGCTGGCTTTAGCTTCATATTGAACATATAGACACGAGAAGTGGATACATAACTCTCAGCAAGTTCTACACAAAATGTCAAACTTTTCCTCTAAAAGACAAGTTCACAAACTGCTCAAGGGGACATTTTTCGAACTAAATACAACACTGAATCACCTTTCAATGTGGGGTATTTTTGCAAGCTGCCCCACACAGACTGTCTGCCTTTCAAACTGTGTATACACTCTCATGCACAAGAGAATTTGTGGACCCATTAAGACACAAACAATTGCTCGCCTCTCACCACCCCCCCCAAAAAAACCCTGACTCTCAAAAGTCAGTGTAGCAGGTGGCTCATATTGACCTAGTGATTAGAGAACAGAAAAGCAGTGGGTTGAACTCCCCCGACAGTCCATCAGCAGCCATAAGTCCTGTCCAAATGATTCCACCCTGCTCTGTCACTATATGCTCCTCCTGACAAAAGCCCCAGCTAAACGCTGAAACGTATACATGATGGCACGAAGCTCCCTTCTTTCAGCAATTTCCCTAACAAACAACTGCAAGAGAGAGTGTGTATTACGTGTGTTGTCCTAGTTGCCTGTCACCCACCAAAACCAGCACTTGAGAAAAACTTGTGGGCTGTTCTGGTGTTAAAAGATAGATCAGGAGGTTGGTTCTCACCACTGGATTGAGGTCCGATGTTGATTCATCCTCTAGCATGATATGATCCTAAACCTAACAGGGCTTTTTTATCTTTCTATCTTACTATATAATTTTTTTATATTGCCTCATCAGGTGTTTGTGTTTGTATCTGTGGTTAAAACCATCCTCTGCTATCGCAAGCTTCTAAAACCTGAATGACAAAACCAATAAAAATTTTGAAAGACAGATATGATCCTGACTGACATAAGAGAATAAGTAGTACTAAAAAATCCAACATCCACAGAGGGGAATTCTGTGTTTAGATTTTGTATCTTACAAACACTGTACAGGGTAATACTTAACTGACCAGGTTCCATGGACTCCATAGAAAGAAGAAACTCAAAAATAAACCCAAAACAGCTACTCTTCAACTTATCACTTCTGCACATGTCTGAAAGAAAGTTTATACACTTAGTTTGTTTCTCTTGACTTGTTTTTTTTTCACTTCATCCTCAGTTTTTACAATCAAGTTTGGTTTGTCAGAGAGGAGGGGCAATGTGGAGGAGAGGAGGAAAGAGGGTGCTGCTGGCTCTTACCCGATCCAGTCCGTGACCAGTTTGAGTTCACACTGAAGTGAGGTCTTCTACTGGGGAGGCCAGGTAATATTTATTCTAATTTGATTTAAAGCCAGAATTATTCTGCAAGGATGTGTTCCCCTTCTCTAATGTAGAGGCAAACAACAAACACAAGCATCTTTTCAGTATCTAATGCAATATATCTCTCTTATAAAAATTGAAAGAATCAAACATAAGCCGAGAAGATAGGAAAGGGAGATCTTAATTTTTACTTTTTAGGACAGCTTCACTTTTACTTTGAAGTTTGGGTTTTCTCCTCCAGCCTGGGAGTTCTTGCAGACTGATTATCAGGTGTGGTCAGTCTGTGACCTTGCCCTCTCTCAGGTTAAAGCACAGGGAGGCTTGATGTACAGTAGAAACTTTTGTTTAAGATCCTAGTAGGTATCTGGTTAGGTTTTACCCCTGGCTACAGCTCTTCTGTCGTTTGATTAGATTTAACATCAGACAGGAAGAGAAACCGGATCAGCCAGGGGCAACACCTATGTCAAAGCAAAACAATAAAAAAAAGTACAGTATTATCTTATCTGTTAAGTAATGTTTCAACAAAATATCAAAACGTACATTGAGTTCACAAACAATTATTTCTTAAGAAAAATGCAGTAAACGTCCAGGGTTAATAGCTTGAGTTCTGCGTAAAGCAGTTCACCGTATTCCCCTCATAGGTGCAGATCTGAGGTCAGCTTAGACATCGATTTCAACCAACAGCAGCTGTAATGAACTGCAGTGGAATCGGTGACAGCAGATCAGCATCTAGAGATGACTTTCTGTACAGGTTGGCACAGCTAGAGGTTTGGCCAAAGGCTGCAGATGGCCATAGTTTGGCCTCAGGCAGAGAAGGTCTGTTGAAAGAGGTTTGGGTGGGAACATGCTAACCCGATAAAGGCAAAGGCTTCAACCACTCGCTTCAAAATGACCTGCCATGATGTAACACAGGCAGGTTCAAGGGCAAAGCTCTTAGACCTTTTTTAAGTACCTCATAAAAACCCATTTATTGAGCTTTTAACAGGACACCAGGTCGTGTTTGGCATGGTTGGCAGGAGCGCCTACCGTCCATGTCTGTTGCCCACATGCATCCTCCCACTCCTTGCCTATAGCACTGCTGTTCATCTTTTACCCAACCTCTTTTTTCATGACAAAAGAAGGAAAAATAAATCCTGGTTTCCAACTACTCATTATTAATGTCCAAATCCCTTTTCAAGTTAAGCTGACATTTGTAGTTAATTTACCAGCATATATGAATATTACCAAAGCACCTTGGACCATACTCAGTGATATACTGATCTCAGCCACTGTGAGCACAAGATACCTGCCCCCAAGCTGTGGCTCCAGGGTATGGCGCTTTTCCAGAGTGGCTATTTTGGGAATGCGTGTGTTCTATGAGTGTGTGTGTGTGTGTATTCTGGATGGGCTGCTTGAACTGTGTGTTTGCATGTGTGTGTCTGGGTATTAATTTAAGTACTGAATGTGTATGTGTGAGTGTGTGTGTGTGCATGGATGTATGTGTGTTTGTGTGAGTGGTGAGGGCTGGAGGGGCTTGGCGCAGCTATAGGATGATGCAGGGTTTCTTGTCCTTGAAAGGGTTTTCGGAGGTGGGAACCCCAACCAGCAGAGGGTCGCTACGAGCGTGCTGCTCACAGTAACTCATCAGGTCCGCTGCTGCTTTAGACACCTGCAAGGAAAGAGGGAAGGGTGTGGGAAGGCCAAGAGGGGAGAGAGAGAAAAGAAGGTGGGGGAGTTTAAATGGAGGACCGAAATTTGACAGGTAAGCGACAAGAAAAAGAGGATGGTAGAAGATGGAGGACAGGAGAAAAAGGGGGTTATGAGGGAGTTAGATGAGAGAGGAATATAAGGATATAACATTCAGATGTGGATGAATAACCACACCCACACATACACAAACATGGCTGTAAACTATTGTCCTACCTTAATACGTTCAATCCCTGCCTCAATCCTCAGCTGTTCCACCAGTTTCCTGGCCTGGGCGATATTATTAGTGGTAGACATACTGATCCATCAGACTAAACCAACACAGTAGAAAACTGAATGAGAGACAAAGAGAAAGATAAAGAAAGGGATTTCTATGCAGATAATTAAATATGCTGGCACACCTTAGTTGGATACGCAGGTAGAGAAGGTGAGGTGACTCCTGGCTACTAATTACTGACTTAGGACATAGTTTTGCATCTACAGAGTACATGCTGACTGCTTTCATTATGTTTTGATTTGTGTGTAACTAAGACAAGACTGAGTGGATCATCCTGGTGACGTAAAGCAAATATACTGTGTGTACATACAATATCCATCCATTGTCAACCTCTCATCCTGCGTACAGGGTCATGGGGGGCTGGAGCCACTGCCAGCTGACATCAGGCAAAAGGGTACACCCTGAACAGGTTGCCAATTCAGAGAGAACCCACGCAGACACGGGGAGAACATGCAAACTCCACACAGAAAGGCCGGGGCAACCTGGGTTTGAACCTGCAACCTTCTTGCCACAGCGCTTCTCACCGGACCGCCCTACATACAATATATTATATCTTATTAAAGATAACATAAAGATACATTTGTTGTGATTGATAAAGTTGCTTATTGTTGGCTGTAACTAGTGGGGGTATAACTACACACATTTACCATAGTTCTGTACAAATCTGTGTGTGGTTTGTTCTTTGATTATTTCATTTCAAAACTGAATCGGAAAAAACAAGTTTTTCTGATTTGTTTTTGAAATGAAATAATCAAGGAACAATTGCACTTTTTACTCTGCTTTATTTATCTGGCAGCTACAGCTACTAGTTACTTTGCAGATTATAATTTCTCATATGATCAGATTATAAAATATCATGGATTGTTATAGAAACTACACAACAGGCCATAAGGTAGTTTGATTAGCTTTACTGTACAACATTAAAATGCTGCAAACACATTAATGCATCAGTAGCAATGAACCAATAATATTACATATCTATATAAGTTTTTCCATTATTTGCAACGCGTCTTTCACCACTGTTTATTGCATATCAAACAAAAAGCTTGCAGGCAAAAACTAAACTGGTAACAGCACTTGTGTGCTGAAGGGAAGAGGATCACAGATCCGCATGAGAGACATCTTTCAAAACAGAGAAAATTAAACAAAGGAGATGTTTATTCTGACCCCTTATATACGTCTGTCACTGACTTCTCTCTTCAAAGCCAACTACATATATTTTAAACATTACAAAATCAACCTTTGTGAAACGTTTTCCTCTGTTTGCGCTATACAGGAATACTCTGCATGACCTATAATGTTGTTTTTACAATACTGCACAGATTTATGAGCTGAATCACCCTTCAACTGTATGGCCTCGGTTGCAGAATTATAGCACCACTGCCAGGTGACTACATGGTGGTGCAACACTATTAATGGGTGAAATATGGCAGTCTTGATCAAAATAGAGATTAGATGGGTGATAGGCACAGTATAACTAAAGATGGAGCTTGAATATTTTTAAAGCAACTTGTATCTATGTTTGTCATTCATGCTTAATATTCTTCAAGCTCTTAGCATGTAGTCACTAGAGATAATGTGTTACCTGAGTGTTGGTAGGCAGACAGGACTCTTTCTGTACACAAGCGTGACTGGATGGAAGGATGATCTGAGTGGCGCAGGGACAGTTGCCAAGTCCAAACGACAGAGCTGGATGGCAGCTGAGCTCACATTGGCTTGTCTCTGTGAAAAGAAGGAGAGCAGGTGAGGTGGCGGCTTACAAAGCTAGGTTACCGACAGGCACACATTTTATACATTTCAAATTGTTAGTTTCCGTTTGCAGTTTTAAAAATATTTGATGTTACAGATCCCAAACACTCACTGGATTTCAGATTTTGTTCCATGGATCCATATGGGAAGCTTTTTTGTTAACAGCTGCTGACTTCAATTAGAAGAAGCTCAAACTATTTGCTTTGTGGAGGGCCAAAATAAATTGTAGTTGAAGATTTTTTTCATATTTCAATAACAAAACTACAAAAATTTTCAGATCACGAGGGTGGAACGTGCTTCAGTGTCATCAGCCTTATGATTCATTCAATATCCATCATCACTACTTAATTTTTCTTCACAACACACACTGTGAGGACATTCCTGCATTGCTGATCCAAAAAAAAAAGGAATATTCAAGTCTTTTCATACCTGTGGTGTCCAACTCATTTAAAAACCTCATAAACCTCTAGTCACTTTCTTTTACACTTCTGTTAGCACAGTGTAGATGTTTCCCCACCGGTGCATATGATCAAAACATACCTCGCTCCACCCATATATCACTAGGAGTGTGCTACGACTGTGTCTCTCACTCTGGCTCAGTGTCTGCTGCCCTCTCTCCCGGGGAGGAGAGTCCTGCTTTAATTACTCTTACTGTGGAGTAGCTCAGAGATTCATGTCTGTAATTAGGGCTTTTGTGTGTGGGGGGGGGGGGGGGGGAAAGAGAGAGAGATTGAATAGACTTATAACACCTGATGAAATTCTCACTCTTTCTGCCTCTGCACACAGATTGGTATTATTAGACTTGTGTGGACATGTATTGATTGTCCCCCAACCTAACCCTAATACTAATCCTAATTCCAATCTTAACCCTGTGCTCAAATCCTAATCCCAGCTAGACTCTTAGAGGCCAAAATAGAGGCTTTTTGTCTTTTTTCAGTTTATTTGTTCTCTCTCATGCTCAAGCAAACTTTGTTTATGATGGCACTGCATTGATTTAAATGATTTCCGCAGAGATTATAGTATCAATGCTGCTGATACTCAAGCGTTATATTAGTATCAATACTAGCATCAATAAAGTTGATACCAAAAATAATACATTTGTGCCATGTTAGATTTGACATAAACACTTGTTACTTCAGAGAATTCACACAATAAACTTTTTTTTTCACCATTGTAAACGGTCTTGTGTTTTACCAGGCATGTTATACCATTAGCAAGTAGAAAACCTAAAAATCTAACCTTTCAAATGTATGTTCTCATTGTCTCTCAGGGTATTGAGCACGGTCCCTAATTCATTCCACATGCAGCATCACTGACAGCCACCAGAAGACTATAGATGCATATGAACAGCAAACTCCTTACAATAAACCAACACCACACACTAAAGTCCCATAGTTGAATCAACACCAGTCACACACACAAAAATAAACTACTATATTATTTAAGGAGTAGTTTCAGTGTGCAATATGCTACAATGGGCCCAATGGATTGGCTTCTTCTAAAAGAATAACTTGGCAAAAATTTAAAGGAGGTGACAGCACTTTTATCCTCTTTGTTTACCACCTTGTCTTTGAAAGTGAATATTCAAATGCAAATTATAATTTTGCTCAGAAATGTATATTTTCATATTGCCTCATTTGAATAAGCAACACGTATGCCAACTGTCAGGGACAGTACAATTAAGAATTAATTAAGATTTGGTAAATCACTTTTTCACACTTCAGTGGTATAAACATGGAGCCTGTTGATTTCTCAAACTTTCTGCTATTGCGCATTCCGTGCTGAGAGAAAGGAAGCTGGAGCCTTAAAAAACAGCACAAATATGAATGTCTGCCCCTCCACAGTTAAATCTCCCCTCTTTTACGCCCCCAAACTGAAAACAGTTTCTTGTAAAGCAGATGAACAGAAACAAACCCTAAGCTGGCCATTTGTGTTGGCCTGGACCAAAAACATCACCAGAGCTGGACAAGCCCCGGTTAGCCAGCCAGATATCCAGCGAACCCACAGCTGTTCTCAAGACGCACAAAAATGCTTCAATCCTTATTGATCCTAGCAGCTCCTGAGCGCTGATCGGGCCTGCACTTCGCAGCCATGTCCTCCGCTATAGGCCCTGCTGCTCTACCGTGTGAAAACACAATGCGGGCATTTTGATGGATAGAACAGCATGTCCTCTCTCTCCCGTGGCTATCCACACTCCACACACGCATACATACACACGCATACGCACAGGCGCGCAAGCACAGGCGGACCTTGTGCACATATCAAAGCCAGAGATATTTCCCCAAGTGAAGACCAGATTAGACCGCTTCAGGTCTGCAAATAGGCCCCTGATTGTTAGCCGTGATTGTTAGGGTGGTGACATGTTTTGAGGGAGGCAGGCTCCAGCAGCCAATATGAACCCATCCAGCGACAATGGGCACAAGACTGGAGCGCATGCCTTTATGTTCCGCTAATATGCAAATTGGTCGGCATACGGCCTACTTCAGCTTATAAAATCCAGAGGTTTTTGGATAAAGTGGCTTGAGCGTCCTCAGAGTCCAGTCGAGCGGTAGGAAATCTTCCACTGACCCTGTCCCCGGTCCTCCCCACCCTCACTGCCGGCAAAGGGCTGGGGAAAACCGGATTCGTGACACTGATGAAGCCCCTCTCCGCTGAGGCCGCCCTCGGTGACGAGAAGCCGGGGTTGCAGAGGCCCACAGACGCGTTACAATTATTATACACAGGGAGAAAAATACCCGAATATCTCCAAACTCACCTCCGAATGCGCTGTATTGGTGATTTAAAGGGCCAGATCCGCTGGATTCTCACCCTCTCTTCTCGTTCACTCCCCGTTTTCACCGAGCCAAACGCCTCCCCCTCCGTTACCAATGTCTGTACACTCCTCTACCCCCCTCCCATCCCTTCCCTTCCTTCCTCTCTCCTTCTCCCTCCTTCCATCCGATCCGTTGACAGCACCTTTAACCCAGGGGCTCCAAAACAGGCATTTACAGATGTTCATGCAGATCGCCCGAACGCCTCCTCTTAACAAGAATGGTCTGGATGGATGGATATATTTTCCAATCATGTTTGATTAAAGATAAAAATAATACTAGTCTATAAGTAATCTATTTGTTTGGGGAGCCTTATCAGGAGCGCTAGATTGAAAACACATGAATGAAAGCCCCATTCAAAATGAATTACCTGCTCTCAGTGTGTTCACCTTTATTTAACAATGTAAAAATTAAAAAAATTGGTCACAAAAGGTTACAAAGAAAATATTCTGCTGGATTGAAGGGATCCAGAAGAATATTTTTTGTTACCTTGATAAGTAGGATACTGGCTTAGTGGTTGAATGGCTTTATCCAGCTGATTTAGTCTCTGATCATATTGTAATAGCTTTTCCAGGCAAATAATCAAATAGGTTGCTACAGAATTTCCCTGAATATTTCCAGCACATATGAAATAAACTAAAAATGCCTTTTACTTTTAGAGATCCTTATTCAAAATACTGTACAATCCATTTTGAGTGGCCCGAATAGATATGTTTTGTATATATTTTCAGATTTTGGTTAAGTTGTCTATTTCAAACGTCTTCTATTCTTTTGATCATATGTGATCATAAGTAGGCCTACCCCAAATGCACTATGCTTAGAATTATTCTGTGTTAAAGCTGAAAAATCTGAGTTTCTCTTTATAATCCTCTTCTTTGTGCAAGATGTAAGAAGGGACAGCAAAAAAAAGTTATATATGTGAATATAATACATTCTACAATCATTGTACTTTTGCACTACCGCTGGTGTTCAAATAAACTACACTGGCCTGCCCTTTTTCTGCTGCAAGCTTGGCCTAAAAAAAAGCCATATTTCACAACTCAGCCATGACCTTAGATCTGTGTACCACACAGTAAAAAACCCCAAAAAACTCTCCACATGAGACCACTGCGCTATGCTGCCACGTGGTGGCGCCAGTGACCCATCTCTAGTTCCCTCTTCTCCGGGGAGGTGTGGGCCGCTCCTTCTATTCGTGGCAGGCCGACGCAAAACACCCATCCTCCGTTTCCACCAAGCTGTAGTCCACTTCTCCACATTGAGCAAAAAGTGCTGTATCTGCTCCTTGAGTATTGGCTGAATGTGCACTGTTTGCTCCATGGTAAAAAGGGACACAAAGGTCTGATGTGTAGGATAACATCTTATTTTCACACTAGATCTTTGTTTGTGTGTGCCATGAATGAAACCTTCGGTGATGCTGACAGAGATGGAGATGTAGGTACATACACTCAGCCATCTCTTCTTTAAGGCTGTAAGGAAACCTTTTCTTACACTGCTTATAATAACCACAGGAGCGCTATTTATAACTCCCACATAGTACCGCATTGGCCTCATTTCCACTGAAGTGTGAAATGATGCTAATACCTATACATTTCTCCTTCATTTCCTCAACTTTTAGCTCTCTTTCACCTTCTCCCTCCTTCATTTGTCTCACTCCACTCTTCCATTTCACTCCCCCCTCCTTTCCCCCCTCACTCATGTGTGTCTTATTGAAGAGGCTGAATATGGTTACAGTGGATTACTTCATTTTCTGAGAGATCAGTGGTGGAAGTCCATGAGTCACACGGCTAAAAGATGCTCTTAGGCTGACAGAGGTGGCACCCCCACCAACCCACCCACACAGACATTTTTTTGTCTCTTGCTCTGAGCTGTCATGTGTGCAGGCCTGCTGGGTGGGAGGGGGTATAGCCTTGTCCTACACCCCAGCAGCAGCCTGGGAGATCTCTGCCTGTCGTAATGCATCGCTGTCCCCACCAGGGTCACACCACACACTGATGCGACAACCACAGTCAACGTCACACCGTCTCCATAGCAACCTCGCTGGGCACAGCATCTCCAAGCAGATGTTGGAGGGTTGTGAGAGTGAAAGGAGCAGTGGGAGTCTCTTTTGTGTTACAGTGTGAAGTGGGAATTCAGCCAGAAGAAAACAAGAAGGAGACTATACTAGCATGGGCTGGTAGGTTACAACAGTGCATTGAGCTAAAGAGCTAACATGGTCATCATGAAAATGCGAAACATGCTGATGCTAAGCAGAAATAAATGTTTACCTTGTTCACCATCTTTGTTTAGCGTGTTAGCATGCATTAGTGGAATGTAACTAAATACATATCCTCAAGTAGGGGAGACCCGGGATGGTTGTAACATTTTTGACATTTCTGTCAGCATCTCTGAGCTCTTTTAAGCTAGTGTGTTCAAAATGTGATACATTTACAGTTACATGTGTCTGCTATTAAATGGTGTAGCTTTCTCTGCAACACAGTCAGAAAATGCATGGTTTAGTGTCAACACAAGGATTAAAACTTTACAATTCACCCCATAGACTGGGTTAGTTGTAAGATACCCTGGGGTGAAATGTCCATCCATCCATCCATCCATCGTCAGCCGCTTATCCTGCGTACAGGGTCGCTGGGGGCTGAAGCCAATCCCAGCTGCCATCGGGCGAAAGGCGGGTACACCCTGGACAGGTCGCCAGTCCATCGCAGAGCCGGGATGAAATGTAACATTATGTAATAAGGAATATGAGAAACTCATGATATTGAAAAGCTTTTATTCAACACATTTATTTATTTATTTACATTTACATTTTTTTTTACATCATTTACATATTTGGTATGTAGCTTACTTAGGCTACTTACTATTAATCAATAATGTGATTTGTAACTTGTTCCTGATTGGAGAAATTGGACGTGTTACAACTGACCTGTGTAATAATCTCCCCTAATGCAGGCCCTACTTAAAGTTATAGGCAATTTATTTCAGAAGCATTTCTAGTTAGCCTATGTTCATTAAAATTCTCTTTACATCCAGACAGCAATCAATAAATCAAATGCTCTGACACACAAATGAAAAAAATCTGTAACCTTATAAGCACATCCAATCATTTCATTTGGTCCAAATTAAATATTGTCTGGCCTACTTGCATGTCTAGCTGCATGCACTCTGTAGGTAAGATTCAACACATAAAACATGTGATAAGCTTATAAAATTGCATGCCTTGTTATAGATTAAACCATCAGTAACCTTTATAAAACATAGTCATCTCTCCTACCATGGTCTCGGTAATCATTTGATAAATACTTCTCTGGCTTCGGCAACCTTCCCAACCACTTTCAAAAGGGCTGGGCTTACACCCTTTCTCAAAAAGCCGTCTCTCGACCCAACTCAAGTCGAGAACTATATTCCAGTTTCACTTCTACCATTTCTATCCAAAGCTATGGGAAGTCTTCAAACACATCTCAGAATTCCTTTCACGGAATGACCTCCTAGAGCCATATCAGTCTGGTTTTAAGAGTGCCCACTCTACTGAAACGGCTCTTGTCTGTGACAGAAGCCCTAAGGTCAGCTAAAGCTAAAGCCCAGTCCTCGGTTCTTATCCCGCTTGACCTATCAGCTGCCTTTGACACAGTGAATCACAGGATCCTGCTATCTGCACTCTCAGCAATTGGCATCTTGGGCAAAGCACTCCTGTGGTTCAAATCCTACCTCTGGGGGCATTCCTACAATGTTTTGTGTCAAGGACAATCATCTTCCTCCCACTGCCTCTCTACAGGGGTACCCAGAGCTAGGACCCTTCTATTCTCAATTTATACCACCTCACTGGGGCCGATCATTCACTCACATGGCTTCACTGGCTACATTTGGCCTACTGAATCAAATTCAAGTCACTAATGCTTGCATACAGAGTGACTACTGGGTCTGCACCCATCTACCTAAACTCCATACGAACGCCGCCTGGCTCTCATCTGTGACATCACGATGGTGGAACGAGCTACCACATGCCACCAGAGCAGGGGCATCCCTCTCTAACTTCAAGAAGCTCTTGAAAACTCATCTCTTCCGAGAACACTTCCTCTTACAACACCTCTAACCACTAACCTCTAACCAGCACTTCCTGTGTCCTTCTTCTATCTATCTATCTATCTATCTATCTATCTATCTATCTATCTATCTATCTATCTATCTATCTATCTATCTATCTATCTATCTATATTCTATGTTCTTGAGATATTTCAGTCTGGACCAAAGTGGTGGATAGACCATGCCACTAGCATGGCTAAAAAGCATAAAACCTTTGTAAGTAACATTAACACAGGTGAGGCTGTACTATCATAGACAGTGGCAAGCAAGAGAAAATCAAAAAGACAAGAAACACTCCTCGGTTCACATTTTTATTAGGAAAATCATTTTGCAGATTTGATAATTATTGTCATATATATATATATATATATATATATATATATATATATATATATATATATATATATATATATGTGTGTGTGTGTGTGTTGTTTTCAGTTATTCAGAGGATGCATCAGCACAGTATATCTTAATAGGAAGACTATTGCTAGAATAAATATCTATACATCATAATTAGATAAATAAAAAAAGTCCCAACAGAACCCCACCCCAAATAACAATAGAATAATTTACAAAAAACAGTAAGTGCTTAAAAGAAATAAACCATTTGCGAAACCAAAGCCGTAAATGCTGCTGAGGAATTTATTTAAAAAATACAAAGATGATTCACAGTTTGTGTCCTTGTTCTCATGCTGGCTGGAACACTAATAGGGACCATGCAGGGATGAAGGGCCAGAGCAAAAGGATAGTACCAAACTACATTACCCACAGTCTATATGCCCCATTTTATGCCCCCTGTCCGCCAAAAAACAGCTTGTGAGGATCTGAGGTAATTAGATGAAATGTAAAGGGGTGAGCCGGAGAGGTTAACAAGATCAGTTTTCTGCCTCCAACACTGATTTCCTTTAGATCCTCTGCCTCTCAGCTCGACTCGACTGAAACCTGTCCTCGTTGATATAATGAGTTTATAGAACATACCTTTGATAGACTAGAAAACTAACACCTTTTATTTAAATTTTACTGACTGCCCTTCGTTTCAGCGTCACAGGGTCATACTTCCCATCTTGCTATGGAAGAACACATGAGAACCACGCTTCCTCTGCTGTACGAGACTCGTCAGCAACATGACCAGTAAGTTCCTCACTGATGACAAACAAGGTGAGATAAACTTCACCTAGTCCTAATTGAAATTTGGGACAAGTGCTTCCTATGTAGAGTTTTATGGAAACCCAAGTGTTCAATATTAAATAAATATGGCATTGTGAAATAAATAACACAAATAACCTAAAGACAGAATATGAAATTTTTCCATGACACTGATGATGATGATGATAATCCTAAATATTTTAAAACTCAGCCCAATATTATTACATATAATTTTATCCTTTTTTAAAAAGCATAGTTGAATTTTGTTATTTCATTCAGGCAATATTTATTTCAAAATGTCCTTTTTCCAAAGTTTTTAATTTCACAATGCCATTTTACCACTGGCTGTTTATTTTATAATGTCACTTTCCATCACAACAAACAACGAAGATTCTGTTATGTGACTGCTGGTTTGGTTTGATTAGACAAACAGCCAATCATATGACTGGTTTTAGCCTGTTTGTAATGCTTGACGGACAAAGACTGATGAAAAGTGGTGTTAAAATAAATGCCCAGGGATGAAAATAACAAATTAAAAAACACACTTTGTAAAATTGACATTTGGAAATAGAAAATGCTGAATTAAATAAAAAGAAATTACCCACTTACTACTAATAATAGCTGGATTTCAAACATTTATTGGATTATTTCAATTTCATTGTTATATTATAAATTATATATTTATTTAGATATATGATTATTAATTTTACAACATTTTACTTAATTAATCTAATATTGAACACTCTGGGCCTCCATAGTTTTCCTCATTTAAAGTCAATTAACTGTTTTTCTTGCATTGCAATTGAAGCACACTTTGGATGCTTTGAGTAGAAGAAGGAAACGCAGGCGACAGCACCTTCCCAACACAGCATCCTTCCCTCTGCACACCCTCCTCTCTCATCTCTGAAATATTAAGTCCTTTGAACACTATTTACAACTATCTACAATCAGATGTGAGCAGAGTCTGTTCAAGTGCAACCGACTCACAATAATCACACATACATCACACACACACACACACACACACACACACACACACACACACACACACACACACACACACACACACACACAAATAAAAATAAAATAAAATAAATCCGAGGGATGAATGTGAAACAAACTTAGGTTTTCAGGGGGCGGACAGCTGATATATGGAGAAGTAGTGCTAAGCTCAGAGCAGAAAAACAGCCAGTGAGCAAATTAGGTTTCACTGACAAGGCCTGTGTGAATGTAACATGTGTGTATAAGTGTGTGCAACTGATCTATTTTGCCTCCATGCCTGTTTTATGTGCTTTTGTGTGTGTGTGTGTGTGTGTGTGTGTGTGTGGTTATAGTGGTGTGTTTGAGCAGTGCGGGATGACTCATGCAGAAATGTGTAGGCATTCTCCACAGGAAAGCTTCAAATATCTGACAGACATTTGGTACAACAACAGCACACAAACATGCACACATACACACTCGTGCAAACACGAGTGAAAGGATGCAAATAGGTGGCTGATTGCGCATGTACATGGATGCACTCATGGTCGCATACAGACACAGACAGTGAATATGTTTCATTGACAAATGAGATGAGACAAGCCATGGGAGGACGGGAGCAGAGGTGTCTGTCCTGATTCATGCCAGCGTTTAATTCACACAGCCCAAAACACGATGGACGCTTGCACACTTCCCATGCACACCCCCCCACATGCAAGCACATTTGAATCCTATACAGGCCATGGCCCACATTTTTACACTATTTCTATGAACAGCAAAGCTCCCTCTCTCGCCCCAGCTTGTTGTCCATACTGCTCTTGCACGGTGTCTCGTTTTTTTCCCTCCCTGCTGTATCATATTCCACGCAGGAACATGAGCAACGGCAGTCTCCTGTAGACCATAGAAGAACAACAGATTGCACAAACATGCACTCGCAATCTAGCGTTTGCGTGAAGCAAGCACACGCGTCAAGATCGTATTTATGCAGCGTGTGCATCACCGCTGCCGGTAGCTACACATCAGATCAGACCCGAATTGTCTGATAGTTGTACAGATATTTTCCAGCTTTTGTGGGTTGTTTTTACTAAAATGTTTTTACTTTGTAACCTTTAGATGGACACATCAGGTAGGTACATGACAGAAATCACTCCATCCTTCTGGTATCTTTACAGGCTGAAACAAATGCAAATACAACTGTATGGAGAGAAAAAAAGAAAATGTACGAGTGAGCATTCCTGGCATCTAACAGGTAAAGGGTACGTTTACAATGCAGATTTTTGAGTTTAACAGGACCTCACGTTAGTGCAAAGTACAACACATCGATAACAACAGATTCATTCAGCTCTCAAAATAAAAAAAGTAACAGCCATGGAGTGGAACCTTTAGTTACATATTCACATTTTGCTAGTATTATCTGATTGATAGATCTGATGTGTCAAATACAATATATCATGAGCATCATTATTAAGCTGTATATTACAGTACATAGCAACATCAAACTTCCTACTGTAACATTTCCTGATTATAAAGGACTTATTCCCAGAAAGACAGCGGGTACAGTTTTTCTTTACATGGGTAACATCTTACTTGAAGCTCTTATAAATATTTAATTCAACTACCATAATGCTTATTTACAAAAACTACACATTTTAAGTAGTTTTTATGTGGGGGCGTGAATGATGCGGGAGGGACATTTTACATGGTGCTTATAAATGAGGCATTGCTGATTAATAAGCAAGTCTTCAAGTAAAATGTCACCCTAAAGTGCCCAGTTGTTGATTCTGCTGCACACATAAAGACAGAGAAGGGGACAGAGGAAAACAGTTGCTGTGCTTTTTCTTTTTTTCCAGAGAGATTTACACATAGTTAAAAGGGGCATTATCTGTGTCTTCGGGTATAATAGTACAGGCGTAGATTATACTCCACCCAGATTGTTGTTAAAAACCGCCTGAGAGATGGAGAAATGTGGACAAAATAATCTGACCCTCCTCTGCGTCCTACGAGCTACAATCCTGTGGGGTGACGCCACTTTTACACGCTTCATGACCACAGCTAACCGGTCACATCACGGTACCCTGTTGTTCAGCAGAACCACAACCTCATTGTGCCATGTAACGGGACAATTAAAACACCTTAACATCGAGACGGAGAGCTACCTATGATCATGATGTGATTGTTCCTCTATGTTCAGGACTGGTGAATAAATATTGAAAGATGAAAATCGCACAAAGAAGACAAAAAAGAAAGAAACAATATACAAAAAAGAAATACAAACAAATGTACAAAACGATATGTCGGTAAAAAAGTATTGTGCTTTTGGCTGTCCTGTGTACACTGTGTACAGTTTTCAGAGCTCCTGCATGAAAAAAAGGGTGTATACATGCACTTTGGACATACAGTGGAGCTATTTAATGGCTCCAGGAGGATATTCTGTGTTAAGCAGAGAATGCATAATATAGGCAAAAGAATATGACAAATTACAGTTGTGTGTGTGTGGGTGTGTGTGTGTGTTTATGGTATAAAGTGCAATGTGAGGGCATTTAGGCTGAGTGAGCCCTGTAATTTTTTAGTCAATTTTGTTACTCAGATTAACTTTTTTAGACAATTGCATGAAGGCATTTGTGCGCGTGCTGTCTGTGTGATGTTGTGTGTACGTGCGTGAGACCCATTCTGTTTCCATTTACCGGTGCCTGCATGAGCGTATGACAGGTAATGTGACCAAACCAATCAAAGAGGAAACGCATTGAATGATCTGCATGGAGCATTTTACATCCATCCCTTATTTATTTATCTTTCCCTCTGTGCTTTTTGTTTAAGGTGGGTTTTTTTTTAAAGAACTTTTACATGAATTTAAAGAGCATCATAAAGTAAATAAACAAGGGAAAAAGGAAAAGGAAGGGAACTTTCACATGAAAAGTGCCAAAGCAAACTGACATTCACAACCTCAAAACCAAATATCATTCCCGTTCGCTTTTGTCTTACCAGCTTGGCAAATGATTATCCAAGAGTATCATCCTCAAGGCAGACTTGTATTTCTGTTTCATATTTTGATGAGAGTCCATCTTCTTTTCATCCAGAGTGATTCTACACTAGATGAGAGTCTTAAAAGGATTGTTGCGTCGTATCAGTAGCGTGTGTGTACCCTGCCGCTGGATGTTTCTCCACTTCAGATGAGGACATTTAGAGAGTTTGCAGATGAGTTTTCAACATAACGAGAGGTTGATAAAGGTAAAGTATGGTCTTTTTCATTTTTCAGGAGGGATGGTTATGATGAGAAGATTTGTCCTCTAGCCACAATTTTAAGCTAACTAAACCATACTCCTGTGACTGATTTACTTGTTTGGGCAGGACATGTGTAAAATAATTGGAATATATTTAAGTATCCCATGTTTATATACATCAGAGTCCCCAGGAGTGGCTCTGGGATGTAGCTGGGTCGTATGTTTTGCTGCTGTGATGCGTGTTGTTCATGCTAGCAGTCTCAAACCTGTGCTTTCTAGCACGACGGTCACCTCAGTCTCTTAAGATAGTGTTTCTACCAGATGAGTGAGCTTAACTAACTGTGTCGACTCTGTTACATATACATTACATTTCTCTATATTTGTTATAGTATGGGGGGTATGCGTAGGATGAGGGTGCTGGGAGGACGAGGGGGACTTAAGGTGTGAGCTGAGCAGGGCAGGAGGGGCGGGTGTAGAAGTGAGAGAGGACACTAAATGTTTTGTGTAGATCAGAAACCTTCAGTCTTTTTTCAAGGGGTGCTGGTGCCTGTGGTCTTTCTATTGCAGTCCAAGGTCTTGATGAGCTCCTCGGCCATGCTTTGTGGCACTTGGATGATGCAAAAGCCCACACCCACACTGTCCGACTATGGCGGACGTCCACAGGTAAATCATCTGTGACACGCACTTCTTGTTTCAAATTTGCTTCTCAATATTCTGCGCAACTCCCCCTCATCCCTCCTTTTAGCAGAATGCACATGGATGTAATGCTTCAAACTGAAATCCTGTATGATTTCAAAATAACTGCTGATTTGTGTTTGCGAATGCACCAGTCAGGAGGATGTGGATGATGAGATTCCTGTTGCCTTCCAGACGTTTTTCTCTGAGTGATACATGTAGTGAGTCTCTCTTCTCTCTCCTTTCTTATTTTTCTCTTTTTCTCTGTATTTCCTCCCTCCTCTCTCGCCTCCACCTCCAGTCTCCTACTCGCCTGGATTTACATTACGCTGCATTTGCCCTTCAGTCTCTCGGCACGGGACTGCTTCCCCGAGCGCTTGCCGTCGATGTTGAGGCTCATGTTCCTCTTCTTGTCCAGGTTGAGGAGCTCCTGGAAGAGCTCGGTTACGTTATGGTTGGTCTTGGCCGACGTCTCCATGAAGGCGCACTTCCACTGGTTAGCCTGGGCTTCCCCATCCTTGGTCTCCACCTCTCGCTGGGTCTCATCGCTCTTGTTGCCCACAAGCATGATGGGGATGGCCTCAACATTGCCCTTTATGGCCAAGACCTGCAGAGGAGTAGGAACAGTATGTTGTGTGTTTCACTCCATACGTCTGGATAAAATTGATTGTTTAATGTATATATTTGTTTATCAGATATTTCAGTTTTTATTCAGTATTTCTTTTGTCAATATTTCCCATAAGCCCCAAACTAGAGACAAGTCCAGTTAGCAGTTAGACAGTCAGTAATAACAGCAGGAAGGAGAGGACAGCAGAGATTACAGGTAAAAAGATGAAAAATGAATTGTAAATTTTCATGGGAGCTGTAGTATGTTTGTAGGCTCGCAAAGTAACCATTTAAGTTTGAAAAACAATTGTGAAAATCTCCATTTCTTGACTTTAGCTCTCTGTAAAGTGTACATTATGGTGAAGAATTTTGAGCATGTTGAGCAAAATATCACACAAACAGCAGGTACAAAATCTGATAATCTCACCATCAGTTGATCCCCAAATTTATATGCTCAACCCCATCCTCCCCCTTGACATCACACACTCACTTCAATTAACCCCAGCCCCACACAAACACCATCACTCCCCACCTGTTGGTAAATGGGTTTGAGCTCCTCCAGGGACTGTTTGCTCGTGATGGAGTAGACCAGGATGAAGGCGTGGCCTTTAGAGATGGACAAGCGCTGCATGGCTGGGAACTGGTGGCTCCCTGTAGTGTCGGTGATCTGGAGGGTGCACACGCTCTTATCACAGCTGATCACCTGGCGGTAGGTGTCCTCCACTGTCGGGATGTAGGTGTCCCTGAAAGTGCCCTTCACGAAGCGCAGGACCAAGGAGCTCTTTCCCACTCCACCCGCCCCGAACACCACCACACGATAGTCGTTGCTCTGCTCCGGCATTCTGCCCCCCTCAGGCTTAAGACAGTGTTACACCTATGATGTTGAGGGTGGGAGCATGGGGAGAAGGCAGGGTGAGAAGGGTGAGGGTTGGGGAGAAGAGGATAATTTTAGCACGGTGGAATTTTAGCAAGTGAGCAGTCAGCAGATACAAAGCAGGGAGGGAGGGACAGGAAGGAAAGTGCTGGTGGGACTCGACCTCAGGCCAGTGCGTGTGAAAGTACTCTAACTGTCCTCGTGGTCTGACTATGAGCCAGAGTACAAATTAGAGAGGATGAGGTTGGTGAGGCTCCAAGTGTTTCACCTGACGCAGACATTTGCTTTAATCAATACTGTTCGCAGAGTCACAGTTTCTCAGTTTCAACCCCAGAAACATTCCAGCGTTTCCTCATTTATCAACTTCAGCAACTGCAGCAAACCCTGGAAGAGACAGAGACAGAATGTCCTTGCAGAATCGGAGAACAACAATAACAATAACATGAACTCATGCATAATACAATGCAACAAAACCTCAAACAACAGCCTTAAAAATGACTACAGAGTTGAACCAACACCTCTCTAACACAAAAACAGAACATTATTAGCACCACAAAAGAAGTATGTACTGCAGGGATACTGTACTGGATTCCATTAGGTTGCATGTGTATATGATTATGCGTACTTATCCTTGAAGTATTTATGACAATCGACTAAAACTGATTCTCTTCAGTACCTATCGGCTGAGTTTCCTTTTGGTATTGATCCAAGCACAGGTATTGAGGATAGGCTGTTACTGTACATGAAAGCTAAAACTAAAAAGATGAAAACTAGATGTGAAAACAACCCTGTATGTGCCATATGTTTTTCATTGTCATTTGTGTTTATGTGAAAGGTAAACACAGACATTTATTTGGAAACTGATTTTCCTTTCTGAGCCCTGTGAGGTGATGCAATTCTGTAACATCACTGTGAAACATCTCTGGCTCTATGGGGAAATGTGAATGTTGCCAGAGTCAATTATATTTTTATTTGTCTATTTGACTCATATTATAATAATAATATAATATATTATAATTCAAACAAAGCCTGGATTGAACCAAATGCACGTTGTGTTATAAAACAAAGAATTCCAACGCTATAATAAACCTAGTTTGTAGTCAGCAGCAACACTGCACAGTGCAGGACACTTCATTCTCAATATTATTTGCTGCAACTCATACATATGCATCTGAACAATGTCCTCACACCTAATCTATTGCTATCTCTCTAAGTGCTTGTGTGTCTGCTGAGTGTCTGTGCACGATTAAGCATTTTATCTGTTGCATTATTTATCTGCTGTGGTTCTAAACTTGCTTTAAGGTCCCATAATAAGATACTCATTCAGTTGTGATCATGTGCTGTTCTATAAGCTCTTGCTGTAATGAAACAGTAAATTGACATCAATACCAGATGGAATAAGTGGATTTCTGTCATGCTTGCACTGCTGGAACCCACTATTGATGGCAAGGCCCCTGGAATTGCATTGCCAAGTTCTAGATAATATCAGTCAAGAAGTTCAAAATAAATGGGGTTTCAGGGAAAGCCTCTTGAGTTTTATAGTCAATCTATAGCTGTGAGTCTGGGTGACATATAAGATAACATTTTATATCCATGCTGAACACACAACCACAGTTTCATTTGAACTTGAGCCTGTCTTCTGCTCATATGCCTGCAGACAGCTGACTTTTACTCTGGTCTGGCAAAGCAGAAAATCTTGTTTAATGGCCCTCAAGTGCCTTAGGGTGATGATGCACTTTGCATTTTTTTGAGATAGTGAGAGATACTGTCAAAAATGTTTTAATGTTACCTGTCAAAAAGATTTGCCAGTGTGACTGAATTATAAATTCTGACATAAACCCTGCAATAACTGATTTCTTTGGCTACTTAAGGTCAGCAGAAATAAGTTGTAAACACAATGCAAACACTGGCTTATTTACACATCCAGCAGTTATGGAGCAAAATTAGTTGTCATGAAGTTGTGTTCAAGCATTAAACCTCCAGGTCTGAGAAGTGAAGCCTTAAACCTGCATTCTTTCTATTGGCCAGCAGTGGGGCGACTCCACTGGCTGTAAAAAGAAGTCTGATTGTATAGAAGTCTATGACAAAATGACCCTACTTCTTACTTGCTTATTACTTCAGTAAACCTATTTTTGTGAGTTTATGGTCTCTTGATCACTAGTTTAAGTCTTGTTTAATACAACATGATGTTTACTTTGTAATTTCTCGTCCCATTTAGAGTAAAATAGACAATAAAGCAGAGTATGCTTTAGGGCATGGGTACTTTGGGATTGACTTTGATTTGAAGTTGCTACCACAGCGACCTGTCAGGCATAGCAATGCGTATCCCTCCCCAGCTCCACCCTCTTGTTCAAATATGGTCACTTCTAGTTACAAAACATATAATATAAATATATAAATATATAAAGTGTTTCTGATTCTGAAAACTCCAAGATGGTGACGGCCAAAATGCCAAACTCATGGCTTCAAAATGGTTGCCCACAAACCAATGAATGACATCAAGGGTGGCTATGTCCAATTCTTTTCAACAGTCTATGGTCATGTTTCTGCATGAATATCTCTTTTAGCTCTGTTTTGGTCTCCACCGACTCCTGAGGGAAATATCTGTGTCTTTAGCTGCTAAATGCACCACTATCTTCACTAGCTAGTTGCTAACTGCGTGTATCTGCTGTTTGAGCAGAAGCATATGGGTTTTTAGAGCTTTTTCACTGAAAACACCCAAAAATGACGCTTTGAGAGTGGTGAAAGTAAAATTGTGGACCAGGTAGTTGAACAAAGAGCTAAAACTCGCTATGAGCTCCAAAAGCCAAAGGGGAGCTGCAGGTTCAGGTGATAATTCTCTGTAGGTTCATCACTATGAGCAACGCTTCTCACATTGTCACATTGTCATTTGATACATAGATAATCTAAAAATATTAATAAAAGAACCAGCAAGTTGCAAGATTTTTGGTAATATTATTATGTATTAGTAATAATATTATCATTTTCTCTTTCAAATAAATTTGTCCAGAGTCTGGTCTGACTTATTTTTAGCAGTGTAGCTGTGTTCCCAGATCACAGCAATGTCGAGTTGCGTGAGTACAGTGAGTACAGCGTCGTTATTTTTAAAGGTAGAAATAATGGCCAATACTATAAAAATAAAACCCAACTTGTAATAAACCAGATTTTTGCACTGTGCTTCTAATGTGTTGATAATTTGACATTTATAATAAAATACCGCAAGGAAATGGATAACAAAAAAACAGCTGGCAAAATATCTATAATAAACGTATATGAACTTGTACAATTTCTGTGGTTTAAAGCTGATATGTTGGTGCGTCTGTGATGGAGCAACACTCTCTTACATGATCTGATATTGATATGCTCACTAATATTCTTTTTACGTTGTCATCTGTAGCCCTCAGTCTGTTTCTTCTCTTTATTTATGCATCTTCAAAATGTTTTTCTTTGACCTACTCCCTGAGCTTCTTCTTTCAGTTTCTCCTCTTGTCTTCTGCTCTTTCACTCCCCAGGTGTCTATGCTGTATGATCAATAAACTAAGGTCGCTGTGGTTTTGATCGATGGGGCTCGTCTGTCTGGGCCCTGTCAGTCTGTCATCCTGCCTCGCTTGGTGCCTGTTGGGGTTTATTGGAACGCGGATTTTAGCTCTGTGACAACAATCCTGCTCATCAAAACCTTCCTCCGCTCCCCTTTCTTCTCCTTTCACCTGAACTAAAATTAGCTGTCTCCCTCCCTCCCTCAGCAGCTATAACTGTGCACAGCGCACACAGGTGCAACCTCACAGTGACATGCATACACATGAAAGCACACACACACACACACGAACATATGCCCACTGTACTTTCTGCTCCTTCACCATTGTCCTTGACACCAGGCCTCTGAGATTAATGAAATTCCTCCCAAATGCAATCTGTCTCTCTCCCTGTCCTCCTCGTCTCTTATTTTATTTGCAATAAGAGGACTGCAGTTCCTTAATGAATTAATGGTATACTGTAAATGCATCTGTGGCAGTGCAGCTAAATTCCATTAGCAGATAGCTTTGGCACAGACCAAACAGGCCTCCTCTCCTCTCAGTCAGAAAATAGATGCAAAGCAGCCTTCTCCACTCGTTTATTTCACAGAGCGAGCAAGGAAATGTCACCTTTAGCAAAAATATGCACATAATTTCCCTCAAGAGAGCCACTTACGTAGCTGCACAAAGGAAGTGCATTAACCAACATCAAACACAATGCCATTCAACAGATCAAGAGCGTGATTAAATAGACACCCACAAAGCAGTCCCATGGTATCTTGTGGGAAACGGGGTTTAATCTAGCCACGGATACTGGAATGCTGCGGATAAACTCATATTTGGCGAAGTGTGATTTACAGGAACAGCAGATTTTCGGCTCCAGGTTTTTGTGAAATATTCGGTCCTCCTCTGGCCACAGCTGTGCGCACACACACTAACACAAACACTCATCACGTTGCCTGAAACCTGCACAAAGTTTCGTTAGCTGCCAGACTGTCAGTTGGTGTATGAACGTTTGTGTGTGTGTGTGTGTGTGCAGTCAAGCAGGAGATTCTCTGTGCACACATTAGCTCAGGCTTTTCAAGTGTGTGTGTGTGTGTGTATGTGTGTGTGTGTATGTTTTACCAGAGGAATGAATCTGCATTTTTAGAGAGAGCAATTTTTAGAGCCAGCGTTTTCATTAGCTTTGAGCAGTCTCTGGAGGTTCAATTTATAAATTTTGATTCAGTCTCACACATTCGGTCTCGCTGCTGCTTCACTGTGTTCACACCAGCCAACACAACACACACATGGAAAGCCCACAGAAAACAGCTGACATATGCTTATTTTAAAATCTTTTGGTCATTTAAGATTTATGAATGTGAAGAAGTTTCTCCATCATTTTCCTTGAAAAAAAAAAGGAGGATAAAACCACATCTCTTCCTGTCTGCTTCAGTCTGTGTGTGAGCGTGTGTGTCTATTAGAGGGCGATGATGCAAAGAAAGGAAA